AACAATCTCCTTGCGTCCGGTGGGATGCTCCTCTGAGACAGCGACGGGAATAGAGGCGACACAGTCTGTGAAGGTGCCGCCTCGGTCGATACAGACACGAATACTGTTCTTGCCTTCTGTTTTTAGCATTTTTTCTCTATGTGGTGCGTTTCTATGGGATGGAATGAGAATATGAATGAGGGCACAGGGAGTGGGATGGGGAAGCAAGGAATGAGCGAAGGATAAATGCGTGCGAAAAGAAGGGATCATTTTAAGTCACATCTCAGTGATCATTCGTGGGAAGACCAGGGAAATCTGCACGGACTTCCACAGTGCGGACAGGCACTGGTACATATATGGGTTCGTCTCCATGTTGATTGATACAATTAAACACCCTGACTCCGAGTCGTTGCTTGCGTTGCAAGGAAGACGCGACCTCCGACTGCGCGGAAACAAAGACACGATCCTAAGCGAGGAGAGTTGAACATCGTCGGGCCAGATGGGTGCCCAAGGATGTCGCTATAGATGATGCCATAGCAAGACTGTTGACGGCGATTAGAGTGCTCCTGTTGCCTCTGCGTGTTGGGTGTGAGTGAAGTGTGACAATGGGAACACTGGGTTCAAATTTGGTGGCGATATCCCAGAACGCGCAAGGTTCAATAATAGGCAAAGACGCCCTGCCCCTTGGAAAGGAAAAAAATTCTCTGTACGTTTATTCAGGACGACGCGCGCTCCACCTTCCTGTAAAGATCGCCTCACAACATCCATCCTACACGATCAATTCTGCGCCCATCAACTATTCGCCGTCGACCCGACTACGAGCCGATAACAAATAAATACAGTCTGGAGAGGACCCGCATAGCTCTGCCCACGGAACAGTGGAATGTCCTGGAATGATTTCCTGCCCGAGCTGGCAGTCAAGCATGAGGTCCTCGAGTCCCTCTATGCTGACATTGGAACCCCAAACGATGAGAAAGTAAAGCAATGTCAGTCGCTCTTCGACAATCTCATGACCGTCGTCAGCCAGCATATCGAAACCGTTGAGCGGGAAAGGACTCGTCGTGTTCAGGAGTGCGAACAAATGATGGACGATATCAGGCGCATGACTGGACTCGTCGGACAAGGCGAAGAGGGGATCACAAAGCTGGCCGAAACATTGCATGGTATGGCTCTATGGGATCGACACTCACTACTTAGAGAGGAGTATGCATACATATTTGAGGTGAGTTCTGCTTCCACGTCGCACCACTTGTTATGATCTTTTGAGCGTTTCAGACGCCACTTGATGGCGGTGTCAGCTAATGTAGGAAAATGTCGCTCCGCCATAGCATTACAATCAAAAGCTGGAAGAAATTAGGGCACTCCATCGGGAACTATCGGGATACGCAACTGTTCTTGGACCAACGTACGTTCAGCCTGGGCCTTATCCAGAGGAAGGTGCGGCGGTGACCTTTGACGTTATCCAACAGTTCTCGGACAACATTGACGCATGTCAAAGGGAGCAGGTAGGATGTCTTTACCTGGCCTCCTAACTTCATATGGATGCTATATCAGGATAATTCAGACTAACGCATGTTACCTGTCTGCTCTTTATAATTTTAGAAGCGGCGCATTGGGGTCGTCGAGAGTGCGATCGTTACCATAAAACACCTCTGGAATGAACTTGGACTGACAGCACAGGATGGATTCGAGCGAGAGATTATCGATTCTGATCAAGGAGATATTCCTATCTCAGACGACGCTATGAGACGGCTGGAAATGAAACAAGCTATGGTAATGCAGATGGAATTGCAATATCGATCGCTCGTGCACACTGATGATATGCATACTGATCTTCTACCCTATCCATATCATAGTTGGAAGACGAACGATCCAAACGGGAAACTCTTGTTAAGGATCATATGTCAACGATCACCTCTCTTTGGGACAAACTGAGGATCGAAGAAGATGAACGCGAGGAGTTTCTCACTGCTCATGTCGGGCTGACTATGGATGTGATCCGAGGCGTAAGTGGTACTTGAAGCCTGTGGACATTGTGCTCATTAGTCTCATCAGGTCGTAGCCATCATTAATGATCTGTTCTATATTTCGTTGCTTAGTACAAGGCGGAGATGAGCAGGTTGGAGAAACTGAAGAGTCAAAAGTTAGAGGATTTTATTATGGAGGAAAGAGATGCTCTAGATGAGCTATGGGACAAATTGTATTACTCATCGGATCAACGCCAGGATTTTTCACCGTTCTTTGACGAGGATTTCACGGATGAAAATCTCGCGCTCCATGAGGCCGAGGTTGCACGCCTAAAGCAGGAGGTCCAGGATAATGAGCATATATTGCACGCAATTGAGCAGTATAGGGCAATGCTGGACGATATCAGGAACTTCGAGATCAGCTCTATGGATGCACAGCGACTCTTCCATCGTGATCCCGGTCGCCTACTCCGTGAAGAAAAGTTCCGCAATCGGATAGCCCGAGAATTCCCCAAGGTCGAATCAGAGTTAGAAAATGCGTTATACGAGTGGCAGCAGAACAAAGGACGACCTTTCTTAGTGTATGGCGAGGAGTACATCAACACCATGAAGCAGCACGCACAAGAGGCACGAGAAGGCAAAGAGAATGAGAGACTCTGGAGGGTAAGGCGTCCAAGACCTTGACTTGTCGCATTCAATACGTGGTCGAGGAGAAGCTATTCTAATTTGCGTTTTATTCAAATATCTGAACATACAGGAACAACGGAAGCAATTGATGTTGCAGAGGGATCTGCGGTATGGCTCTAAGAACCCAAAGAAGGTCGCACCGCAATCGCCTCACCCACGGCATATTTCTACAAGCCTTATTCCTTCAATTGATCCACCTGCTACCAGCGTATCGCTCCCACAGACCCCCACCTCTAAACGGATCGGGATACCAACAAGTCGGCCAGGAACCCCCAGTTCACAACACACTAGGACTATATCGTCGTTCATCTCAGCCATGCCAACTACACCCACGAGAGCACGCTCACAAACACACCAGACAGGTTTAACCTCGGCTATAGGGTCGATCCCATTCCCCTATTCACCTCGGAGCCATCAGGCGCAACGACATTATGCACAAGATGTCAAATATTATTCTAGGAGCGAATCCCCAGCAACAATGTTTTCCTTGACAAAACCTCCCTCAACCCCTACCTCCAAGAACAACGGCATGCGCAGCTCTGGGCCTGCAGCGATGTCGACAACCAGAGAACAAGTCAGACGGAGCAATTCTGTAATCTCAGTTTCATCCGCCACAACTGAAACCCAGGCAGAGCCCTCGACGCCAACGCGGCCTCGAATCAACCACCCTATCAGTTTCGATCTCACTCGATCCTCTATTCAAGAAGAAGACGAAGTGCTGCTTTTATCGCCACGACGACTCAAGAGGACTGCAGCTGATCTCTCCTCACCGTCGCATACACCATCTGGATCGACAAGAATTCGCCGTCAGGATCACAGGAGGAAGTCAAGAAGCCTCTCGCCTCAGGCAGAGATTTCCTCCGCAAAGAGTCGACTTCAAACAATGGAGTCTCCATTTGTGTTGAAGACTGCAGACAGACTGGGCCCCGCACAGCTAGCCGCAAAGGGGGCAGAGCAAGGAAATCGGTTCCTGAAACAGCTTCTAAGAGCAGCAGATGAGCAAGACGATGATATTGATGACGAAATGATGGGCATCGAGGACGATAGCATAGAAGAGGAGGACAGCGTTATTGAACTCGATCGATCTGAGGCTGAAAAGATCTTTTCGACTCCACGGAGGGCCGTGGAGGTCGTGGAGGTTCAGGATGGCCAGGATTATGAAAGTGATGGCTGGGAGACTGACAACGACGAATCGCCACGGTCAAGGAAACAATCAAAGGTCAATGCTCCAGAAGCATCATCGAGCGCCCTACAAACGCAGCATGAAGCGAGTAGAGATTCGTGGAACAGTGATGGCGAGGCTTGTCGAATCGAAAGGATGCCATCGTCTTCTACACCATCCTCCAAGCAGGCGCCGGGATTTGAGATCAAGTCTGGAGGTTGTTGACGTGGCTGTCCAGGCCATTCCTATTTGTGATATCCTACTCTATACTTAATGTTACCAATCTTTTTTCTTTGTGTTTTTTGTCTGCTTCAATCCTGTACATTACGCTTCGTTTTCATGTAAATAAACCTATATTTATCTTGTCTTCTAAGCATTTTATTTCGTTTTCCGGTGCGGTAGAAGCAGCTTTAAGCAGTGGTGGCATGCTTCGCAGCACCACGTTTCATGTTCTCCAGCAAGATGGCACGGATACGGGGCCAATCATCCTCAAAGAGCTCGTATTGCCAGAGAGAGAGCCACTTCTCGGTTGCTTGACACCATACTTCCTCCTTGCGGATATAGGCCATCGGCACACCGCATGTCTCTTCCAGGAACTTGCGCATACCCACATTAGCCTCCGTCGTCTCGTAAAGCAGCTATTGTTTGTCGTCCAGAGGTTGCTCGTTGATTAGTGAAAATGTACATTTTCCGCAGAGATCCTTTTCAAACACAAGAGTTTGTAGTATTACCTTGTGCAACTTCAGATCCTCAAAAAGCCCACGCATGAGCTCGAACAACGCTTCTATGCCATATCCTCCGGACCAATATTTCTTTGAGAGAATGATTCCAACTGTTGCATTGCGATCCTTCATATTGATCATATTAGCGCCCATGACGCCCGCAAGCTCTCCTGTGGACTTGTTGTGGATATAAAATGTCGATCCCCGTTTATCGTTCATGGTCTTGATGTGGTTCTCGCGACGCGCGACTAATTCCTCGGGTTTCCAACCGCCTTGCCATGATTTGGCCATGTACTGGAGGTGGACCATCGTTGCAGGGTCCGAGAGCATAGCGCCCATGGCGGCATCGTCCACAGCCGAGGGTGGGTCAAGTGAGAGACGAGCGGTTTCGACCTTGGAGGTGCTACTGGCGGTATTGTCGGCCATAGTGTGGGAAGAATGAAGAAAACCGAGCTGAAGAAGGTTACATTTTATAAACACTGGAATGTTGTGACACTTTCAATGTCACTCAACGTCAAATTTCTTCTCCCAAAGACTTTTTCACATCCTATCCCGCCACGCATATTAATCCAACTGAACGACCATGTCGGCTATATACACGTACATGGAGAACCTGTTCAAGGAGTCTCACACCCTTCCGACGATCGTTGTCACCGTCGCCTTGGCAATCCTCATCACCCTCTTCCAGGACCAGCGAAAGCAAAGCAAGAAGGAGGACGACAACCAATTAGAAACTACAGACCTTAACAGCCAAGACAAAAAGTCATCCGACGCTGATGCATCCGAGTCCGCTGCGCCGAAACCCAAAGCATTCGCACTTCCCTCTACGTATGTCTTTTGCACTCTTGTTCATTCTGCTTTCTATGAATCAGTCCGTTCATCCCAAATAACCTCCCATTTGGTAAAAAAAACAAATCTTATATGGCACGCTGTAGCCCATTGCCACCACCAAATTGGTCCCGGATCTTCTCACAGGACGAGCTCGCACAGCATGATGGCGCAGCCGATGAGGACAAGCCTATCTATGTAGCCATCAAGGGTACCGTCTTTGATGTCACCACCAAGAAGGCCATGTATGGACCATCGGGCGGATACCATTGCTTCGCAGGAAAGGATGCCTCCAAGGTAAATAAAATGCGCTGCAGAATATTCCGTGGGAAACATGGTTTTGCATTTTGCATGGCTCAAATATGGCCATCCATTAATCACGCCACTGTGTTTAAACAAACAGGCACTCGGAATGAGTTCGCTCAAGGTCGAGGACTGTGTCGCCGACTATAGCGGCTTGGACGAGAAGGAGGTAACGAGCAACTAGAGTTGTCAAAACAGCGAGTGAGGATGACTATTGCTGGTGATGATAGATCATTAATGTCTTTTTTGCTTTTAATCTGAAATAGCGAAAGACCCTGGATGACTGGTACACGTTCTTCGAGAAGCGCTATCCTATTGTTGGCAAAACTGCCGACGCGTAAAGAAATCCAGATCGGTATAGAAAAAAAAAAAGAAAAAAAAAAAGAAAAAAAAAAAGAAATAAATCGGTTCGCGAAGACTTTGGATCTACGTGCTGTGGCTCTTCATTCCTGCTAAGCGGTGATAGAAAGACAGGGGAAATCCATGCGAGGTCAACGCCTTTGACAAATGTATGTGGTTGATGCGCTGTTTTATTCGAGTTCATAGCCCAATTGCTCCTGTTCTTGCGATTTGATCTAAATGGGCTTAATCTAAACGATAGCACATATATGAAGTAGAGACATGAATACTGTGCCTCATCTGTAAAAGAGAACTCTGTGGCCACATCGAAGAAATGAATAGACAGCCTTACCTTCCAATGCAGAGTGATCAATGAGAATACTAGGCACTTGAGGTCCTGCACCAAGTAGTAAAAGACACGGAGACCCTCGGGATCTTCGCTTCCCTGCACATCCACAAGCGAGCCAATCTTGGCGGTCTAGTAGGGTGATGATTAATAGAGAATTGATCCGAAATCAGTAAAAAGTCCTGTATTGTTTTTTATGAGCATTGAAAATTATCCGCGTTCTTGGGTCGCCACTCCTGAAGTGTCCTTTGTCAACCCGATGTACTCTTCGAACCGTGTCCTTGGACATGGTCAGACTGGATCTGTTCCATGCACTTATATTCCTATAACAGCTGACTGGTTACTATAACCATGCCGTCCAGTTCCCTGACATCTCGTATCCTGCAAATGTTCTATTGCCAAAATTCCATTGCCATGATCCTTGCCCATAGCTATCGTAGAATGATCCTGATGGTATTTCGCTGGAACTTTACCTCAAAAGAAACGTGCTCGTTGCCAAGGCGAATCTCGAGCTCCTGCTTTCCGACGACGTTCTTCTTGGGCCACTTCTGATCATCTTCCTTCATCACTTCCGAATCCGCAATGATCCTCTTGAGCTCCTTGATCATCAACGAACTCACAGTCACTGCAACGAGCGATGTTGGTAACAAATAAGAGCATAGAGTGAGTCCATGCATCCCGATGATATTGATTATAGCATAGGATACGGAGTGATACAGGGTACAATAGCACATACTCTCCTTCTTGATCAAAGAGTCGTTCCTGTAGTTGGAGTTGTTGGCATATCGGCAACGTCCGTCAGCGTGGAACTCAAACTCGATGAATTCGTGTCCATATCGGCCCTGGTGACCCGAACTATGGTCAAAGAAATAGTGAATAAAGGTAGATGTCTGAGGGTAAGCATGGATACGCGCTATGTCTGTGTCTTCATGCCTTTGCCTCCTCAATGACCACCATGAGATCCACTCTTTTGAGGTCGTCCTCCTGTTCCATGAGTTTAACTCTGACAAGGCTATCCTGACTTACTAGTATCGCACATAGAATTCCTCGGATGGCATGATGGATGTGTGTACTGTCCGATGAAGTGCTGGAAGGCGGTCGGCTTGACTTTGGGAGAGGAGCTGATTCGATGCTTGCTCAAGAGTCGCTGATGCCCTTACGTTCAAAGGCAGTCTTCGCGCGAAGTGGCCTCCCATGACGTAGTCAGCGAGTGCTTCCGCTTGGAAATCCATTCGAACCAAACCGCGGTCGAGGACATTTTAAGTTTTCTGCATGCCAGTGCAGCGGGACATGACGCACCGATGCAACAAACCGAACCGCAGTTGTATTTTATTTCATCCGCAGCTGTGCATCCTTGGGCTTTGCTCCTCTGATTTGATATAAAAAGGCTCTTTTCTTTCTTCCTTCACCCATTTACCCACTTTCTTCCCCTGGTCATTTACTCTACTCGTTCTTCGTCCAGCATCTCTCTCGATACCTTGTCACATACACCTTTAAACTCTCGTAAAAAAATGCCCTCCATCCGCCTTACACTCGTTAATAATGCAAAGCAGACGCAACGGTCAGCAGTCATTCTCAAAGTAGACGACGTTGGATCTGGCGATCCCATCAATGATATCCTTATCCTAGCTAAGAACAAGTTGCGACTCAAGAAGGCAAAGACCTTGTACCTGAACCATGGAGTCGAATTCACCGATCCAGCCTGGCTGATCAATGGCAAAGTTGCTCAGGATAGGTACTCTCCTCGAAGTCATTGCCAGCTTGAAAAGTATACATTTAGAATGTCTTATTAACGCAACCGGTTTCCTTTCTGCGCGCTCTAGTCTGATCTACGTGTCTTGCGGGGAGGGATATATTGGACAAACTATGGCAGAAGCCGCGCCATCACTAGTACCAGTATCGTCGTCATCGACAGCGGCACAAACAGCTGGCGAGTCGTCAACAACATCCGGCGAGAATGGATCTACCGAGTCCAAAGAAAAAAACGATTCAACTACCGCAGCAGACTCATTGGCCCTTGACGCACTTGTGCTCGACAGTGATATATCTGCAACCATCGCCATCCTCGCCAAGAAGAGCTATATCGACCCGGACGCAAACTCACAACTCAATAGGACAGCAATGTTATCCGGGATGCGTCGAGTCATCGGCCAACCTGACCTCCACCCAGGTAAGGAGAAAAAAACACGACTGTTTGCCTCCTGATGTAAACTTCGCGGTTCAAATCTCGAGCTGACACTTTTTTCCCCGGGAATGTTACTTATGAAATGAAAGGCAATCAATATCCCATTGGAGCAACGTTCATCACCCAAAAACTCATTTATCCAGCCCTGATCGGAAATGATATCGTAAGGATTGTGTATTCACTTTATTTTCAGGCACAAAAGAGATCCATGCCAAGTCAGCTAACAGCAAAGCGCATTGATCTCATACGACTATAGGGGTGTGGAATGGCCGTGTACAAAACACGGCTCTCCTCCAATATCAAACCGCAAAAGATCGTCGACAAACTTCACAACCTCGAAGGACGCTGGAAAGAAGGCGACCCTCACGCCTTCCTCATCTCTCAACTCGGCGAGGAACATTCCGAGACTGGCAAAGCCCATCTTGATCAACTCGGCACCTTGGGCGGTGGAAACCACTTTGCGGAATTCGTTGTGATTGAAAACCGCGTCGATCTCGAACTCTGTGACTCCTTTGGGCTGACCGATGACAAGACCTACCTTATCGTCCACTCTGGCTCTCGAAAGTTTGGCCAAAATGTCCTTGAACTCTCCAACAGTATGCAGACCAAGGCCGAGAAGAAGCATCTTGGTATCGATGCCGATTCCGACGTCGGTCAGACTTATTTGAAGCAGCACGATCTCGCCTGCGCCTGGGCCAAGACCAACCGCGAGCTCATCGCTCATCGCGTGCTTACCCGCCTGAACGCCGAGGAGGACGCGGCAAAAATCCTGGATATCTGGCACAACAACGTCGAACAAAAACTCATCGAGTCCATCGATCCTGAACGACCCTGCTGGGTCCACCGCAAAGGTGCCGCACCCAGTGATCGCGGACTAGTCGTGATCCCGGGCAGTCGCGGTCATTTCTCGTACCTCGTGCTTCCTGAGGGTGATCAGGATAAGAACGGATTCTCGCTCGCGCATGGAGCAGGTCGCTTATTGCCCAGAGCCAAGGCCTTACAGAAACGACCTCAGACATCCAAACAGGCATCAATTTCGGCACTACAGACGACCGAGCTGGGTTCAAGTGTTATCTGTGAAGATACAGATTTGTTGTTTGAGGAGCAGCCGGGTGCTTACAAGGAGATCACAGATATCATTGACGATCTGGGACCGTTTGTCAAGGTCGTGGCTATCCTCCGTCCCATTTGCACGTACAAGATGCGCAAAGAGAATCGCACATAGACACCATAGACACATTATTCTTAATACACAGCGGAGTGCTCAGCGCTCGAACAGCGTTTTTCATTCGTGTGATTAGAACATGGAGTTTTTTTTTTATTGAAGTTTGAAGTTTGTATGATACACGGGGATTGTGGTAGAGAGAATTTGTAGTGTCCGCGTCTAAGCACGGGTCAGCTTTCCGTAGATGTGAAGAGCAAAGACAGAGGCAATGAAGGCCAAGGACAAAACGAGGACAACGACAGGGTCACTAAGCATGAGCAATAAAAACGAAAGATATTAGTCAATTGCTGCTCCCCAAGATCCAACCAATCGGTTGTAGAAGACAGAATAAATGTATGGGCAAAAGAGGTGTGGGATATGTGTGGTCGACGGACACAGTAACACCTCTCCAGCATCTTCGACTGCATATCGCGCCTCCCGATTGAACAATTGCGACCCATTGAAAGCAAAGCAGAGAGTGCACTTACACGCGGAGACCAGGGGAATCGTCCGTGTAGATGCGCATCATTCCAGAGGTGCTGGGACCAGGAGCGCGGGAGGTCTGGCCCTTGGAGGCAGTCGTGCGTCTCCTATTCATTGTGAAAGAAACAAAGAGTTGTTGCCGCTGTTTAGCCTCATCAGATCTTCTAGCTGATCAGGCTCATTCAAAAGACACAGGTTTCCAAGTCGTCGAGAGTCGAGGCATCGGTCCTTAAAGTAAGACTGACAGCCCGGACGCACCTGACAGCGGCAGCGCGGGGAGAGGCACCGGCGGGGTTGGGGGATGGAGCAGAGTCAGACTAAGAAAAGACGAGAGGACAAGAATAGGATGTTAATCATCTTTATCCAGATCTGATCCTGTACTGCGGTTTCACTGCTGAGTAACATGGCTGCTTGAAGGCTCTGCTAGAAATAGTCATTGCCCAAGTTATCGTTCGCAGGCTTGCATACCATTATGAGGAAATGAGGAAGGAGTGAGTGAGTAAAAGGGAAGGATGAAAAAGAAAGTGGATGAAGAACGATGGAACGAATAAAACGCTGCTCGAGGCATGGGCCAATAAGAACGCGCCTTTTCAGTTCCCCTGGGCAATATCTTTCCCGCAGATATTTAAGCACATCTTTTTGTATTCTCCACACATCAGCTTCATCCTTTCTCATCAACTTCACTCTAATAGCGCATCAACCATGGCCAACCTTACAGCCTCCAACTTTGCTGATCGCACTTATCCTGACACCATCTGCCTGTTCGATGTCGACGGCACTCTGACCCCTGCTCGCTTGGTAAAACTCCCCCCTTGGTCGTGTTTCCCCTTCCTGTCCTATATGAACCCCAATTGAACATGCAATTGCTAATACCAAACGAACTTTCTTATCTTTCGCCCCTCACAGGAAATCACAAAGTCCATGGAGGAGACTTTGGTTGAGCTCCGCAAGAAGTGCGTTATCGGTTTCGTCGGCGGATCTGATCTCAGCAAGCAGGTTGAGCAGCTTGGTCCCAATGGTAAGTAAGCGGCCGTATCCATGCCATTCATGTACCTGTATCGGTCTATTTGTTGGAATTCTGTGCTGGACCAATTGATCTTTGACACGTTGAACAATGAAGTCGATCTTTGGGCCACTGCTTCCTGCCGTCCCCCTCTCTCTGTGCTCTAAAATTAAATGTAATAATAGATCGCTAATCTTGGTCGTCCATCTCTCTTTGAAAAATAGTGCTCCAGAACTTTGATTACTGCTTCTCAGAGAATGGTCTGACGGCCTACAAGATGGGTGTCCAGCTCGCCTCTCAGGTAACTGACTCCCACCCTATTCTGACAGATCAAGACCAGTTCGTTTTGTCTTGAGAGAATAAGAAAAAAAAAGAGTCTAACTTTGATGTATCAATGCGATCATAGAGCTTCATTGGTCACTTGGGCGAGGACCGTTACAAGAAGCTGGTCAACTTTGTCCTTCGCTATATTGCCGATATGGATATCCCTGTTAAGCGGTACGTCTTAGGGGGAAAAAAAAAAAACGCCTGTTCGCGCAGAATGTATTCTCCAGTCTATGATTCTTCTTGCCTTCTTTTCGGTTTAGCTGACATTCTACACATTTTCGCTTTCTACAGTGGTACGTTTATCGAGTTCCGCAACGGAATGATCAACATTTCTCCCATCGGACGAAACTGTAGCCATCCCGAGCGTAACGAGTTCGAGAGGTTCGATTTGGTATGTATACTGCCCTTCAATCACGACTATCGAGAAAGGACCGATCGTATATGGTCTGATATGTCTTCGATCTACTAACACTCTAATAACCATATGGATCAATAGGAGCACAAATTGCGCGAGAAGTTTGTCGCTGCTCTCCAGAATGAGTTCCCCGACTACGGCCTCACCTACTCCATCGGTACGCAGCCACGAAACAAAATAGCACAACGAAAAGAAAGAGCATATACATCAGAACCAAATACTAACGGTGCTCTTAACAAACTTGCCTGAATTCTGAATTTGCAGGTGGCCAGATCTCGTTCGATGTCTTCCCAACTGGATGGGACAAGACCTACTGCCTCCGCCACATCGAGCACGAGAACTTCAAGACGGTCCACTTCTTTGGTGACAAGACCTTCAAGGGCGGCAATGACTATGAAATCTACAGCGACTCGCGTGTTACCGGTCACGCTGTCAACAGCCCCCTAGATACTGAGAGGATCTTGAAGGAACTTTTCTTCTAAAGTACATACATAACTTCAACCATAGACACCACCACTTCCAATGTAATCTTCCGCTTTTTTAAAAAAAAAATATACTTCTCATCTCTTTGCTTGAAAGAAGGGCCGTAGACTTGTCATATCCGCGTATCATTTGAGATTTTCAAAAAACTGAAAGTGTGCGTTCTTCAAAACAATTCGGTTTTCTATGCAAATATGATATTATTTATTCATCTGAAAAAGACGCGTAAAATAGTACGCATCGTGTAACATCCATACTGGCTCGCTATAAAAACCCAACATTACTCTTCCGTCTGATCAAGAATGAAGGTCCATACTTCTGATACCCCGTCTTCATAACTATCACCTTCTCGGACGCTGAAGGTGACTTCATAGTTACATCTCCGATCTGCATCGATAGCTGACGGTTTGGACGGCGCAACCACCTTGGTTTTAGAACCCTGGAGTGGCTAGCTTGCTTAATTTCTTTTGCAGACGCTTATCTGGTTTTTGCAACAGGGGTCATCCCGTCGGATAGGACGGCGTTTCCATACAAACTCCCAGAGTTCGGACGTGGACTTGTTGGTGGGGACCGTTGCAATTTTTGTGGGCTGAACAGTACTCTGTGGGACACTCAAACCTACATGAAATAAGATAGTACCAGAGAGATTGTCTAAGACAAAAGGCATACAACAGAGCAAATAACTGAAGTAGGTATTTACCAACAGAAGTTTATTGAATTCCGTGGCATTTTCATCTTGGAGACCCATAGTGCCTCAAATATCCTCAAAGCCCACTCTGTCACCCAACTACTCCAGCACCTCCTCAAAATCATCCGCGATATAGGTCTCACTCTAGCTGGTGAAAGGATCACTCCGCCATCGTCAGAGGCGTCTTTAGCGTGCTTGTCAACTCCTTCCCTGCCGGATTTAACAAGCCAAGGAGACACATGTTCGGCGCACGCATTTGTTGCACTCTGCTGCATTGAAGGCCCGTTCGTGCGCAAATAATTTATTCATTGGGCGTTGCATCTGTATCGACGTACTGAACATCGAATAAATTGCGCCCAATAGAGTACCGTATAAGTTGCGAGGTGATCTGATTCAGGATGAATGCAGAAAGCAACATGAGCGTTGCATCAGTCTTCTGTCTTGTTCCCCATGAGCTCCCTTTTCCCCCACTTGTGTCGATTTCTTTTTTTTTTTTTTTTTTTTTTGTAGAATAAAGAGAATAAGGCCCCCTTTGGGGCCTTCAAAAATTAGTTCGCATTACCGCGCGATATAATGCGATTCGATCCTCAGATGGTCAACAACTCTGGTGCTTCTGCTCGCTCCTAGGTACGCGTGCCCAACCCCATCATTAAGTGTCCCTGTCTACCCATTGTGTGTGGGGATTAGAGTGCGCGTCACGTTAACGTTGGAGACTTTCAGGGGAAGAGTGCGTACCAAAAAGGTCATTGCATTTCGCTAGCCATTGTCTAGGACCATAGAGGTCTGAGCCATTTATGAGGAAGAAGAGAAGGGAGAAGAATGGTCTTTTTATACTGGGAAGGAGCTAGTCACTCGGAACAATTGATCAAACCGTTGGACCATGTTTGTCCATTTGCAATTGTGGGACCCTTTGTTCAAAAGCACAACAGTCAATTTGCATGAGTGAGACAGCGCATGACTTTTATTCAGTAATGCTATTGAAGTGAACTTCCAGCCGTATTTTACAGCGGTCAAGGAAGAAGTTCTCCTGGCACACACATAATCGAAACAGCGCTGCAGACATCCTGCTTCTTCGACTGCTCTGAGTCCTCAAGAGTCGGTTAGCTAATCAACGCAGCCGACCATATCGAATAGGAGTGTGAACCTTGAGCGCTCTCATTGTAAGACAGAGCTGTCCATTCTGCACAGGCCAGGCAATGATCACATTTTTGATCTGAAGCATAGTATGCCATGGTGTTGTAAGAAACCAACGGCAGCACCTTCATACGTCTGGAGCACCCGCCCTTTCATGAGCCAGAGGAGTGCCAGCCAACTTCCATCATCCGAAGAGTGGCGCCATGTACGTAAAAGCATGCGTACATATTGTATGAGGATGCGACCCGGTGACGCGTCGTTTTTATTTATTTTCCTCCCAAAAGCACAAACAGCATCCCTCATCTCTCCATCCATCCATCTATCGATGATACAATTAGCACCTCGGTGTCTTTCAGGTATGTTACTGTGTGAATGGAGCTGTTCATTCTGCTTCGCGAACTGCGATTTGTTGTTCCCTGGCTGCATGGTGCTGCTGTCTAACGATAGTGCTGTGCTTGTGCCTGAGCCCACTCTGTGATTTCCATTTTTCTCACACTTGTTTACTCCGCAGTTTTGCACTTTGCTTCGCCCATCAGTGTCTCTGCCTCGCTATTCGAGCGAGACTGACACAGACTCAGTGACCCAAGAGCTGCAGTAGCCACACAGCTGCAGCGGATCACCGCAGTGGCCAGCGAAGCTTCAGAAAGGTATGCTTTGGAGATCCAGTTGCTGATATTTTCCTTTCGTGAATATGGATGCCATCGTCCTTTTTTCTCAGCATTAATGCCCGCGCCTGACGCCAGAGGGTGTTCGTCACTTGATTTCTAAGCGTGCTTTTCTTTTCTCTTCTTCTTCAGGGAGCGAATGAATCTCCACTCCACCGCACCTGCCATTCGACTACAACGGCCTCGATAGCACTCTGACCCTGTCAACTGAGACCCTTCAAGGAGAAAGAAGCAGAAGTTTATAAAGGTATTATGGACGGCCATTACCTACTGTCGTACTTGCGGATAACAGGTACCTGTGTGTGTGTTTCTCGCTTCTTAACTGTTGCTCCCCTTTGAACTACTTTTCTTGTAGCCCCCACTCCCTTCTACTTCAAGCGAGATGCGGCAGCAACCATGCACCGTTTACTCGCAGCAAATGCCCCAGTCCAATCAAGCCTGGTGCTGGACACACGCAAAGAGGCGAGTGCGCTATGGGTTCAAGGCGGTGGCGGAAGGGGTAGGGGGAAGGCAAGAAGAAGTGCTGACTGGGGCCGCACAGCAGACCATCCTCTCTCAGCCGAAGAGCAGCAATTTCCGCGTCCTGGGGGTTGCTGGTCGCGAGCTCGGCTCCTCTGCGGAGATGGTCAATATGTACGGGGCACAAGAGGGGGAGGGAGTTGGGATATTGTCATAAACGATGAGGAAAAATGGTGAGAGAAGAAGCAAAAGAGTGCGGGCGATGAATAATGGAAGGGTTCAAGAGGGGTATAAGAGGGAGTACAAGAGGGAGTACAAAAGGCACGCGTGGGAGGCATTGGGGAGTTGTGCAAGGTCCATCTCGGGTTCGAGCAACCAACAAGGTAAGTACCATTCCTCTGATATGTTTCAATGGTATTGCACATCGATGTCTTCGCTAATAATTCTTCTTATCGTGAACACTGACCAGGAGGCCCTAAGCCGATGTCATAGTGGTGTCAAGGCAAATCACCACATGAGGACTCGCTCTTCAGAGCTGTCGCTCGTAGACCACTGCTCAAGCACCGGCTGCGACGTTCATAGCAGTGCCATCAAGAACTGCAGTCTCAACTGAAGTGGTACCAGTTCACGCTTACAAAACCAAGTCAGTGCGCCAGCAAGATATCGCAGCCATCAATACCAACAAGCAAAACGAATAGTGCTAGCTGCAATAGCTGCGACACACACAAGGCGCGGGCCGAGGCAAGACTTGAAGTACATGCAAAGAAATGCCAAATAGGACATCCAAACGATAAAGGGCGGCATTTGGGTCGATACCGAAGTCCGAAATTCTATTGACTCACAAATAAGAGACATTGTTTGCTGTATCGATGAGAGCGAGGCAAGCGAGTGACCGGGGGAAACACAACCGCCAAAGTACTTTAAACCCCTATCAAGAAAAATATAAAAATAGCCTCAATAAAGTCCTCAATAAACTATACGAAGAACAGCAACAACGGCCTTGAATTCTACCTCTGCAAATAATACAAATGCTCGGGTAAAGATTATGGAATAGAATCGGCTTCTGTGCGTCTGGTGAATCGGAAGAGGGCTCTTCACAACTGTTGTGCTTGATAACTGGACCTATCGCCTTGCTATCCTTTTTTGTTGAATTCGTTGGCCGAATCCAATTAATGAGGATAATACCCTGAGCAGACAGCCTCTTTATGGTGTTCATCAGTAGGTACTTCATTGATACAGGCTTCATTTGGTGTACCCCGTTTGTCTGGCGTAAGCTTGGCCCTATATTATGTTCAAGGGAAGCAATGAAATATCATGGCTCTTTACTATTCCAAGTATCACCAGCGCGACCATATTTCTGACCACAAAGACGTCCGGTATCAACACATCTGCCCTTCGGGATGATATGCCAAGCTATTGCTGAACTGCTGGCTGCTGTGAACAAACCTAATATCATTTTATTTGCTTAAATATACTGACGAACTAACTGATACATGGGGATGGCTTCGGAAGGGAGAGAAGGAGACGTAAGGTGGGTGGATGGCATATGCGCGCATGCTTTTTTTTTTTTTTTTTTTTTTCATAGAGGTCCCATCAGTAGTTGTTGAGCGGATGATGTTCAGTGTAAACAGGATCTTGCATGTAATTACTCCGCGCGTTGTGTCTGGTCAGTCCCGTCAAAAACTGCAGTATTCAGTGAGCTAGGTCATGGTCACTGTTTTTATGAAGCTCTCCTGTAGAATAGTTTGCGCTGTTCTGCGTCAGACGCGACAACGTGCTGTGCTCGGCCTTAAGGTTTCTCGCGTCGACGCGACATGTCACCTGATACTTCAAATTGGCAAACCCTGGGAATTCCGGGCCTTCGAGCTCACAGGGCGGGGGGATCTGATCAGCTCTCAAGGCACGACTCACCATTCGACCATGTCGAGCTCCACATTCCTACTGAGGCAATGGCCTCGCTGCGCACGCGGTGCAGGAACACTATCGAGTCCACGGTATCCCACCCTGCAGCTCCTCAAGGCGCGCGCTCTTATCTGTCCACATGCAGCCCTCTACAGCACTCAAACCACCTCGCCGGATCTGGCAGAAAAACCGTACTACATTACAACGCCCATTTTCTATGTCAACGCCGGTATGGAATTGGATCCTGGTTATCTGGAAGCGAGGCAAATTGACCTTGACCAATAGAATGATTCATTGTTCTGACGAGCTATGGTTTGGTCGCGCTTTATCAATTAATAGTTCCTCATATCGGACATCTGCACTCGGCGGTACTGGCGGACACATTCAAACGGTTTCAGGAATTCAAGGGCTGCAAAGCGATGCTCAGTACAGGAACTGACGAACATGGACTCAAGGTGTGCAAGCTGATATATACAGTTATGTACCATGGCGATCACATTCGAGCAAGACTGTACTGACTAACGAATCATGTCTTTGCGCATCGATAGATCCAACAAGCGGCAGAGCAGGCAGGAGTGAAAGAAATTGTACTCTGCGACACTGTATCTCAGCATTTTAGGGCTCTATTCGATGCAGCCAACGTCAGCTATACGACATACATCAGAACAACAGAGCCTCGCCACGCAGATGCAGTCAAGGAATTGTGGGATCAGTTATGGACAAAGGGGTACATCTACAAGGGCAAGCACGAAGGCTGGTACTCGGTCTCGGACGAGGCTTTTTATTCGCCATCTCAGGTGGAAGAAAAGATGAACGAAAAAACAGGAGAGAAATACCATGTAAGGCAAGCTTCTGTGCACAGTGTTTCCCTCTAGTCCACGGACATAGATTCTCATACATTTTATCAACCAATTAGGTCGCAATCGAAACAGGGAAGCATGTTGAGTGGATGATGGAAGAAAATTACAAGTTCAAGCTGAGTGCCTTCGCAGACAGGTTGCTTGATTGGCTAGAGCAGAATCCCGATAGTACGTACCAGTTCTGTCTATTTTCGCTAATTCTACTGTCACTTTCTGGACTTTAGGTTGGAACTAACACGTCGTCATGCTTGAATAGCCATTTTACCGAAGAGTAGACATCAGGAAGTTCAGGGCTGGCTCAGGAATGGACTTTCAGACCTTTCAGTTTCACGACCCAGATCAAGGTTGACTTGGGGTATTCCTATCCCCGGGGACGATAGCCATGTCATGTACGTCTGGATGGATGCTCTTACCAATTACCTCACTGTTACTGGATACCCATGGAGCACTATTTCGGAAGCACAAAAGGCTGTTTGCGGATGGCCTGCAGATGCCCATGTGGTCGGAAAGGACATTCTGCGGTTCCATGCTGTCTACTGGCCTGCATTCCTGATGGCCGCAGAGTTGACGCTACCCAAACGAATTGTGGCGCATGCACATTGGACGCAGAGCAAGATGAAGATGTCGAAGAGTATTGGAAACGTCGTTGATCCCTTCACGGCCATGAAGGAGTTTGGCACGGATGCAATCCGCTTCTATTTGATGAACGACGGAGGCCTTGCTGACGATGCAGGTAAGGGCACGACCCAAACACACATTAGTGCTATCACCATGTCCATGAGGAACGGGAACTGACGCTTTCGAAATTTCGTCCGCAAAGATTACTCGTCTGCATTGGTAACGGAAAGATACAGGAAACTGCTTGCTGGTCAGCTTGGAAACCTATTGAGTAGATCGTGTTCACTGGCATTGAATCCATCGTCAACAGTTCCTGCGTGTCCGTCCATGGATAATGTGAATTTTGGCGATAAGGTTCTGCACTCGAAATTGGAGCAGCTCCCAGAGATGGTTGACGAAGCCATGAGCAACTACAGAACCACACACGCCACGCAGGCCATCTTTGACATGCTTGCAGAGGTATGATGTCCTTCATTATTCACGTATCTGTACGGATCGGTCTATTTCGCCACATTGCGTTTATACTAACATCATCACGTTTGGTTCTATTATTTGATACAGGCAAACGCCCATTTTAGTCATTGGGAGCCATGGAAGCTCGTTAAGGACCCAGCCAGCAAGGATCGTCTGGATACTGTTCTGTGGTATGCCATGGAGTCAACGCGTATGGCTGCACTGCTCCTCCAGCCAATCATGCCCACGAAGACCTCAGAGATGTTGGATCAGCTCGGCATTCGCAAAGACGAACGTTCGTGGGAGTTTGCTCGCATTGGACGTGGCTGGGAGACGGGGGCCGAATTGAGACGCGTCGTTGCAGGCAGTGCGCCCATGTTTCCTCAGTTGAAAGCAAAAAAGCCATAGTCTGAATCCGGCTGAAATACATATTAGAGGCATTTTGCATTGTAAACATTGAGTATCGGGTCGTATCAGGGTCTTTGGGGCTAGCGAGCTTGCGCGTTCATGATGATTTTTTTTTTCTGCAAATGCAGGGTTCTTTATTTGCTACGCGTGAGAAGAACGAATGTTATGTACAAACAATCAAAGGGGAAGGTGCTGAAAGCGAAAGGAGCCGAGAGATAAAACGACTTGACTTGTTCTTTGTCACAACGATATAGTGCGGATTTGACTTGACGACCTTGTACTGGGACTTGACAACCGATTTATCCACCGAAACCATAGAGGGTACGGCCCTGGCGCTTGAGGGCATAGACGACATCCAGCGAAGTAACGGTCTTGCGCTTGGCGTGCTCAGTGTAGGTAACGGCGTCGCGGATGACATTCTCGAGGAAGACCTTGAGGACGGAGCGGGTCTCCTCGTAAATGAGACCAGAAATACGCTTGACACCACCACGACGCGCGAGACGACGGATGGCGGGCTTGGTGATGCCCTGGATGTTGTCGCGAAGGATCTTGCGGTGGCGCTTGGCACCACCCTTTCCGAGACCCTTGCCTCCTTTGCCGCGACCAGACATGATGTTGAGGGAGAGTGAGAGAGAGAGAGCTTTTTACGAGTGAAGTGGAGGTGTGCTTTAAATTCGTTTAACACGAAAAAAAAAGAAAGTGATGTGGGAAGGGACGGACGAACGAATGAAAGGAAAAGGAAAGAACACGGAAAATCGAAATGTATTATGTCCTCCCTGGTAAAAATGCGGCTTTGCACAGCATGCTTACAGCAGACCGACCGTGAAGAGTAAAGGACGTCCATGCCCCATCAACCTTGTCTTTGACAAAGAAGTCCGCTCGACCCTCCTTCCTCGTCACATCCCTCGAAAGATCCTTTACCGCCTCGCGGACGAACAGGAACAACCTTACTCTCGACAGCAGCGCCATGGCAAACCATGTCCAGGTCCTGGGACCCGACGGTCAGGACTACCTGATCGAGATCGCAAAGCACTTTGACAGGGTCTCGGCCTCACAGCACAACTCGTCAGGGATGTCCTTCACCACCGGCCTCCTTCTCGGCCAATTGAGTGTCGTCCTGCTCGTCATTGTCTGCTTCAAGTACTTGCTCCTCGAAGATGTCCGATACGGTCGCAAGGTAAAGGATGCCTTGTTCTACATTTTGCTATCCAGTTCTAGGGTCTCCCACAACCTGTACCTTTTCTCTCAAGTCTAATTGCCGTATATCATTGACATTGCTCGCTGTTAGCCCCGATCGTTTTCAAACAGAGGAGTGGTAATCCCAGCACCCCCGACAAAACCTTCACTTCCATCAACAACGACAATCTTGAACAAGACCTTTTACGATATCTACGACCATACTCCCGAATCACTCGATTGGATGTCGGTCTTGATGGCCCAGGCGATCGCTCAGTACAGAGACGACTCCAAAGTGAACAACAGATTGATCAAGGCATTAGCAGAAGCATTGAACGGGGGCGTCAGGCCGGACTGGGTGGTAAGGGCGTGTGCTTCACTTCATGGAGAGCGCATCAAATTGTGCACATGTGTTTGTCGGCAGAGTTTTCGCTCACACCCACGATGGCTGACTTTTGTTTATGATACGATTAGGGACATATTCGAGTGACAGAACTCAACCTCGGCGAGGATTTCCCGGTCCTGAGCAGGGCTAGGATCAGACCGGCAGATCATCCTGCTGGCACTGTGGTACGGAACATGGATGCAGCAGTATCAAGAGAATTTTTGGACAACAACTGGTGGCCATGAACGGATTCAACTGACAAGAGAACAAATTGCTCCATTTATATGTTCATACAGAGGGCGGAAATCGATATCGACTTTAATGACCAGATCATGTTGGGTATCGAGACGTCAGTGCTGATCAACTGGCCACGGCCGAGGATAGCGGCCCTGCCAGTGTCACTCGTTCTCTCTGTTATCAAATTCCAAGCAACGGTATGGCCACTCGACTCGGCTTTTTTATTCGATGGACGGAGAGAATACCCGAGGAGGATATTGCGCACTAATCAAGCAAATTCGCCTCCCCTTCCTTGACAACTCTGTAATAGATAACGATGCAATTCAACACGATCGACGGACAACAACATATTTCAATATCAACACTCCCGGATTTCAATCTTGAATTCGGGGTGCAATCGCTTCTAGGCGCCAGGACAAAGTTGGAGGACGTACCAAAGGTCACGGATCTGATCACGTCCAAGTTGCAGAGCTTCTTTGTCGACAAATGTGTTTATCCGAACGGACGTAATATTGCGATGCCGACGTTCTGGGCGAAGCGCGACATTTATGCAAAGAGCCAGAGTAGTAGTAACACTGGCGGTCCCAAACAGCAATGAAAAAGAGCGTGTTTTTTGTACAGTAATTTTTCTTTGGCTTTGTATAAATCTGAAGTATCGACTACTGACACGAGAAAAAACGGCATTAAACCAACGGAGGGCAAATGAGTCTACCGATATTGTGACGGCACCAGCACTGCATGAAGCGCATCAAAGAAAGAAAGGGAATTGGAGGAAGGGGGGCTATTTCGCCTACGATGGTGCTTTGTGCTTGTTCACAGCTCAATGCCTAAACAGCGGCAGTGCTGTAAAGGTGCTGGTGTCCATCACAGGAGACTCGATTCTCTGTTGCGGCGACAAAAACCTCTGCTGCTGCTGCTGTTGCTGTTTCTGGCCCTAACCTCGAGCCTGCTGCTGCTGCTGCTGGACTGTCGCTCTCACACCACCAGAGGGGCTCATCCGCAGATTCCTGTCCTTATGTCGACTCGCGAGCTCCTCCCTCGAAAAGGCCATCATATTATCTACCCCGGCATTGATCGTATCCACCACATCTGCAAGTGCATGGCATATTGCCTGCTCTAGACCCTTCCGAACCCTCTGAACCAAAAGTGCGTGCATCAACGTGTGCATCACAGGGTGCTTTGTCGATAGCACCTGGATGTCGAGTTTCCGAACACGGACCTTGCACTCCTTCACGTCCAGGAATCTCTTTCGATTGAGCTCACGGTCGTGGCCCGTTGAGCGGGTGTCGTCGGAAAGGCCGGGGATAGTAGTCCTAGATCGATCTTGGTCTTCTTCTAGAGGGTGACCCGGCGTGCTGGAAGTCTCGATGGGGTCACGATAGTAGTCCCGCACGGCCGCAGTTCGGGATTCGAAGGAGATGCCGCGACGGCGTGCGCGACCCCAGGTAATGCGGTCGCCTGAGGCGACCCGGTTCGAGAACATCTGCTCAACGCGGTGCAGGCTTTCGTAGGGTTCTTCGAGACTCCGCAAGGAACGGTGGCGTGGCTGGTTCGGGTAAAGAACCGAGCGGATGACCCTAAAGGCGGTGCTAGCGTCCTCTCGGACCACGTCTCTAACATGTTCGCCGACTTGGGCGCCGGTTCTGGCTAGGGATCGTCCCATCTCCATAGCCCTGTAAGCAGGTTCCGAGTGGCGTCTTCCAGTTGTCTGGTCCTGTGCAGCGGAGACGCGGAAGGGAGATCCGCCGCTGCTCTGTCGACGTGTGTGGGCTAAGTCTGTGATTATGGCGTCGGGAGCGGAGGATGCTTGAGGCGAGAGCGCAGCGTAGGCGGCGGTGACGATGGGATGGGTCTTACCAGGCTGTTCTTGAGCGCGACGGAGGGCCGTGGTGGCGCCGCGACGGATCTCGGGGACCGTTACCGTAAACCTGATGTCGAGGTCCAGACTGTTAGGTGGGACCCTGAGGCTGATCTCGCCAACGTCGACAAAGCGGCCGCGCAAGCGGGACTCAGCGACGTAGAAATATGGAACGTTGTTGACGACGGCCTCGACTCCTTTGCTATATATCGCAAGTTGACAACGCAAACTTGTGTTAATGTATCTGAAAAGAACAAGATGAAGACGTGCTGTGCTCGGAGACCTCGAGAATGATGATTACACTTTGAGATCCCACTGCCGACAGGGCCTGTTACTTCTATCAAACCCCGTAGACGTCTGCAGTTGGATGCCACCTGGGACCAAGTTCGGCAAATGAACCTCCATCGCACCCAGACAGATCTTCGAGTCGCCACGCGTCCAAACGATACTCGGCAAGGGGATGGGCGTCGCGTCGTTGCTGATCGCCTGCACAAACTGTTCAAAGTCCTCCATCACATCCCATCCACCTACTCCGGATCCCGCATCCTGGTCTCCCTCAGTCCCGGACGCGCGAAGCAGCTTTTTGATCACAGTCGCCAAACACTTCTCGATTACAAAACTCATATCCGTTGTCCTCCCACCCTCCCAGAGCTGATAGGTTGTGCAAACAATATTCCGGATCAAGCGCTGGGTCGGTCCGCGGTAGTTAGTATTATACAGAGTCTTCTGCAGGTTCTCGAGCACTTCATGTCCCTCATCCACCCAATCGGACGCCGACGCAAAGTTGTACTGTTTGAGCGATAGCATCACAAATTTGAACAACAAATAGGTCCCGGACTTGACGGCAGGATCATTTCGGCCGGTCTGCAACAGGTTGCGGTACTCTTGGACAATGGCTGCATGTCCAGGAAAGAACTCCTTGATGATCTCTGGCAGGTCTGGTTCGGTCTCCTCGAGCTCCTCGGGCTTCATGCGCATCCCATCCATGGTCCACTCGTATACGACCGTCAAGAACCGTCTCAGACTGGCCTGGGCGATGGGCTGTTCAAACAGATCAATAAACACATCCCGCAGTTTCTCTAGGACGAAATTTCTCTCATCTCCCAAGAGCGGACGCGGGTGCTCGCCAAAGGCCTGGCCGTTCATGATCCCGAACCCAGCCTCGAGAAGATGTGCAAGCAGGCAGATTCGGAAGCGCAGGAGGGGTTCTGTGAGGAGAAGATAGAGTAGCAAGAGATCATATGAAGACTCGCGGGTCTTCTTGATGACCGCCGGCATTTCAGCTGGCCGTGGGAACACGACGCGCCTCTTGCTTGCTATCGTTGTTTCCGTTATTTTTTTATAGGCGTTCAGATGACAATGGGCAATGTATCGGTTGATGATCAGCGATGGAATAGCATACTTAATGGTCAGGTCGCATGACGCATGATCCCTTCCCACTTCAATGGAAAAGAATAAAATATCGATCGATCAAAGCAAAGCAAAGCAAAGCAACACAAAACAACGAAAGAAAGAACTCAAAAAAACGAAGCAGGCCTTACTGAAGGTAATTCGAGCAGCCTCTTCGAGAGTGACAAACTGTTTCCTCGAGAGTCTGGTAACCCCATCTGGTTGGAGATACAGCGCTTGCACAATACGATCGATCTGGTGTCGTTCCAGAAAGTGCTGATAGACCATTTGACAGGCATCTTTCAGATCCTGCGAAGACTGGAGAGCGGGAATACCAATGGTCGTGTCGGCCGGTTGAGTGAGTGCTTGCATAAATTCCTGGGTGCCTTTTGGCATCGGACCGATAGGCGGGCTGAATGTGGCTGCGGAAGACCTATAATATGGCATATGTGCAACACTGTAAGTTGTCCTGACGCTGTGAGAAGTGGTTCTGTTTCTTCAAGAAACGTCGCACTGCGATGTGGAGCAGTACCTTAAACCTTGGGTGCTACTTCGCGTTTGGTTGCGTTCGAGGTGCGGCTTGAAGCCGCTGGCAAATCTGGCGGACTGGCGAGCCTCCATCAGGTTAGTGAGACCAGAGTTGTTGTGGCTGTGTTCTCAAAGTTCTTGAAGCGGGCGAGAAGCGGGACAAAAGACCGAGGATTTGGAGAACAGAAAGGAGATGGTGTTCAGGCCAAAAGAGTGTCAAGACGACTGGAGAGAGGAAGGAGGAAGTGGGAGAGGAGGAACGAAACGGGGCGTCTTTGGTATGTTATATAAATCTGACGCGTCTGCTTTTGTGTCATCAGACACCCTGACCTGATATACGCGCCTTGGTCTCGTCCTGGTCGTGATTTGCATGTATCTGAAAGCCGCTTGAACTAGCGCCCCGGAATATAGAGCAGGAAGTTGAATCAACGTGTCTCTGATAGTGTTGAAAATAATAGCAATAATAAGGGCTTACTGAGAATATTGGCTTTCTCTTATCGGTGCCACTGGCATTGGCACAGGAAAGAATCGATACCCGAGATGAACTGGCCTTGTAACCCGTTGCCTTATCTCTGCTCAGTGTCCACAGGCTCATTGTCTGCAGAAGCAAGCCGGTTTCGTCGGCATTGTACTGGATACTGAGCGATCACCGTCTTGATCTGCTCGACCCTCTTCCACGAATTTGGCTCACGTCACAGAACCTGATTCGCCCTGCACCTTACGTAAACTGAATCCCCAATGTTTCTTGTACCCTTCGACCCCTAGCTGCTTGAGAAATTAGGTCGCTCGAAGCAGAACCTATTCTTTTTCTCTAAAAGGGTGTACACCTCGCGAGCTAGAGTCTTTAACAGCGCCTGATCGACAGGTAAGTGCCGATCAAGAATCCCATTGATCCAATAGATAAGAGCCGTTTTTACTGAATAAAACGGGCGCTCCCTGGTATACACATAGCAAGTTCTCTTTTGGACGCGTTGCAAACTCGGCGATGAAATTGAAGGAAATAGGGAAAAGAAAAAGAAAGGGACAGGCTGTTCAAGACAGAGGTATGCAATAGTACTTTTATAATTTCCAGCACGTTCGCTTCGAGTCGAGCGCTAGGAAAGGCTTCATCGCTCGAGACAACGCATAGAAGTCCTGTTGAGCCGCAGTGACTTTATCTCTTGTCTGGGGTCCTCACTTTCTGTTAGATTGTCGATGCACAGATGTTGATCCTTCTTTCTTTTTTGCTATCGATCTGTGTTTATTCTTCTACTCTTTTTTTTTCTTCCATTGCTTCGGCAATTGCGAACAGAAAAAAAAATAAAAAAAAATAAAAACTATAAACCGATACTTCACACTGATTTCTACAGTCAAATATGAACGGGCAGCTTGTGCGACAAGCCAATAGCCCAAAGAGGTGGGATTCTACTTCGCCTGAACTAAATTACAGTTTAAGTCGAAGTTCATGCACTCCACGAGACACCAGTGTGGCATAGTCTTTGACAGATCCGATTCATTGGGACCCATCCAGAAGCAAGCCCGTGGACAGAAAGCCGTCCGAACAATATTTTCGCAAACCAGAACCGCATTGCTCTTGATTGATTGATAGGTAGAGGGGAATGGTCAATCCATTTCAAATCTGGTTGCACCCAATAGTCAGCATGTTTCTATGAAAAGCGGCGATTATCTTAATTAAGTCGCATAGCCTGCGAGACCACGGATACATAACACTCAAACTGATGTTTCAGCTGCTCCATCGACGAAGTAACGTCCTGCGCCCATTTCTCCTCTCTCTGGAAGATTTCTGTGTTCCTCCGCCTTATCTCCTCCAGTGCCCTCCGACTTTCTACCAACTTTTCTTCTGCCTCCTGTCGACTCTTTTCCAGCTCCATGCTCTCAGCCTCCTGCTGCGCCCGTTTTGTTTGCTGTGTTCGCAATAGTGCCGATGACTTGTCCTCCAAACCCCTGGCCCTTCGCTCGTTCTGCTCCAGCTTGGTCCTGAGGGTCGATAACGACAGTCGTTCTTTCTCGATCTGTGACTTGACAGAGTTGACATCGGATATATCTTGTTGTACCAGCTCCAGTAACCTCAGAGTATCGGCCATCATTTCCAGGATCATCGAAAGATCCCTGGGCACGGATTCCATCTTCTCTACGTCTGCGTACCGGCTCTGGATCTGTTTGCGATATTGCTCAATCTGGCCCGCAATCGACTGGATGGACTCGGGAATTTGAACAAGGTCCTGTTCGAGAGTTTTGGGGACCTCGACCCGCTGTGCCTGCAGCGCGTTGAGCTCCTTGGTGGACTTTTCTAAAGCTGCACTTAGTTCTTTCTGTAAGGACAGAACAAAAAAGGATGATGCAGACGAAAATTAGAAAACCACTGAAATAGTTGCTGAACATTTTTAGAGAAAAGAAACTTTTAGAAGAAACAACCGTGTCCGTACATTTTTCTCATTCAAGGCCAACCTGTCCTTGGTGACCTCGTCCTTTTGCCTCGTCATTTGAACCTCCCGCTTCTTGTAGACTTGCATCTCCTCTGCCAGTTTTTGGTTGGAAGCTTTCAGCTCTTCTACTTGTGGTTCCTGTGCGATTTTCTTTAGCCTAAAATACCGTAAAGTAAAAGTGAATTAGCAAAAAGTAGTGTGTACCCTCTGAAAAACCGCTTCATGCCAAGATTCTGCCAAAGTTGCATACCTAAGTGCTTCCAACTCGGCCTTCAAGATTTCATGCTCCCTGTCACGTTCCGCAATGATTTCGAGAATGCTATCGGACGTCCGCAGCTCTTGATAAAACACGCCCTGTCGATCCTCCTTGAATTTTGCAAAGTTGATTACTGCACTGAGAATTCGACGGACCCGCTCTGCCTCTGGCCTTGTCAAGTCCCTGGAAGTAAAATCCGTAATCCCGACGTCGCGCATCATGCTCGTCAATTGATTCAGAAAAATGTAGAACCTGACGCCGTCATAGATATATTCCTATAAAAATAAAAGTTGGCCCCTTGTCAGCCAAGTCATATAAACAGACATCACTCCATGATCCATCTTCCTCATTGATGTTGATGTGGTTGTTGCGCATCATACCGGATGTGGAGAGACGTTCATGCTCTGGAGATTATCCAGCGTCATATCGTCGCGCTTCCTGCCAGTGACAATATCCAGGAAGGTCTCATAAATTTGCATCATCTTTTGCTGGGTCGGCCTGGCGAGCTCCTCCTCTGTGCATGAGACCTGAACATCAGCCAGACATGATACGATCGCCTGGGGTTTGAGCAGCGGGAAGTGGTAAACTTCACTGGTCGCACGAGAGGATACCGGGTGGAGTTTGACGCTTGAGTTAAGTCGTACACTCGAGTTGAGCTTTGAATTCGAATTATTGCTAAGGTTGCTATTGCTATTGTGGTGGTGGTTATTGGCAGGTGGAGTGGTGTTGACAACTGTTGCAGTCGTTAGCCTTGGGATGCTGGATCCTGGGCGCCCGAGTAATGATTGGCGTCCAGCTAATGACTGGCGGTCCGCTGGAGACTGACGATCGGCTAGGGATTGGCGACCGAGTATTGACTGGCGAAAGTTGCTCATCTTGCGATGTTGTGGGTGTGCTGGTTATTTTGTGAAGGGCGTTCGTTCGCTGCTGTTGAAGGAGAAAACACAAAAAAAGCGCGTCGAGCAGCGCTCCACAGTCACGCCTTGGATGTCGCGCCCTGATTTGGTGGCGCAAGATTCAGGGGTAATGATAACCAGGGGCTTCTTGGGAACTACTGAATTTGGTCCATATCCACAGTATGGCGAAGGATCTGCTGCCATTCATTAACTCCATGCACCCTATTACCAACAGCGCGGGGTGCTTCAGAAGGGGAAGTATTATACTTCCATGACAACACCATTGAACACGATCTGCGCCAGCTACTCAAGCAGCAGACAACCATTCGACGACACCAGGCCTGGACAGCTCAACGCCGTGTCAAGAGAGCGATCTCAGACCTTGACGACGTCGAATGGCGATCGACTCTCGCCCTTGTTCATGACAGGCGATCTGTATATACATTCTACAGCAACGCCGCAGACACGCGTCGGAGAACTCACCACATCAAGAAGCTACATGGTATGCTGCCCACTATGAACGCCATGAGGACTCGCCATCCCGACATCTATTCCGACCGTGTCTGCTGCGTCTGCGACATCTAGGACGAGGACAACGACCACCTGTGGACTTGCAGCGCCAATGGCGATGTCTGCAAACAGATCTGGCACAATGGTCTGCAGCAGATCGACAAGTGGGGCTGAGCTGAGACGGCAGAGCATACAACAAGAAAAGCAAGAAGCAGCATGAGCACGACATTGCCTGTAACAAGGCCCGTGCCGCTGCCCCGAAACCCATTGTATGGGTTTGTCCCAAGGCATCGACCCATATCCAAGGTCTGTCCTGCATCGGTGGGACTCAGTCGCTGCTCCTAGGCGACGACTTTATCGACTGCTCTCCGGATTTAACCTGGAGGATTAGCGATCTGTACCGCGATATCACGCCCATCAGCCTAATCAAGGAGTGGGGTAGCCTATTCACCTCGCCACCTTCGATTGCGCGACAGGTCATCCACAAGTTTTTCAGCTTTATTGAGATGCAGGCTACGGAACTGACCTGGAAACCACGCTGCAATGCGACCATTGCTTGGGAAAGAGAATGGGGAATCACAGCCAAAATGAAACGCGCATCATACAAGGGCCCTCGAGGAGACTGGAGTGAGGGCAACGGATACATTCGCGACGCTGGCCACTGTCCGTGTGGTGCGTTGCTCGCCGATCATGCACACGGGAGCTACCCTGGCCCCGTACTCGACCCAGGCGCAGCGGATCGGACGCTGCTAGACTGCCTGCAAGGGAGGAGGCGGTTGACAACCATGGAGGAGATGGAGAAGATACCCTTTTTGTAACAAAGGGTTTTCAGCTTTTTAACACACTGATGAGGTGTGGCAATTGCTGCACAGGTCCTAGGGGCAGGCCCGGGGATGTGACCTGTCTTTTGGCGACTGTGGATCGGCTCTACATTGGTGGAAAGGACGACTGTAGTAGGTCATTGCTAGTTAGGTCCGATAGAGTCGCAGGGTCAATCGACTCGAGAGACAAATTGATATAAAAAGGAGAGGGAAGTATTGTACCTTGAAAAAAAGGCCTGGCATGGGCGGAGGAACAAGAAGCGCCTTGAAGTAATATGCCGTGCCATTTACGCCACTCAATTTCCTATGCATGTACCACCTTTCACCCTGGAGTTGACGATAAAATACTGGTGCATCAAAAAAGGATGGTCGGTCGACTTTGGTTATCCTCGAATCGGATGCTGTATATTTTGTGCCCCATGGATCCAATCTGAACTGTATAAATGCGACTATAACCTTATTATTGTATCCATATGGAGACGCGAGAAATTTTTGGCGTATTTTTTTAGAATGACACTTCCGACGACTTCGGATGCGCTGCCGAGCGGGATGATGGGTTCGGTAGTCCATGCCGTGTCTGCAGGTCCCAATAGGTGGACGTGTTGTTGGCGGCGCTCATTGTTCGAACGTATAAAAGGAGACGTTTCAGCCTTAGGATACAAGCACATTGCTGTCGCCTGCTCGTCGACATATGAATCTACATCCTCATCCATACCTTGACTACATCGTACCCACTTCCGCGCCTATTCACACACACACACACGTACCCACTTCCACGCCTATCCACACACACACACACACACACACACACACACACACACACACACACACACACACACACACACACACACACACACACACACACACACACATACCCACTTCATCCTGCGCGCTTTCATCTCTACAACGTTGCTAAAGCAATTGGTAGCATCATAATCAATTCAACATTGTATGAAATCACCCCTTATCACCACACCACAAGTTTCGCACTCACAGAACCTGCCGCTTATTATTTGTAAGACAGGCCAATCTTCGCTCAACTCCTCATTATCTCCAGTCCTTTGCTTTCTATCCATCGCAGCTATTGAAAACACTTGACGCTTTGGATTAAACTTTGCGAGAATGCATGTATACAACCATCCACAAACAAGAAACGCAAGATGACAGTTACAGTAGAATCATATTATAGGTATATTTTAATGATGATGATGAAGACTACAAGCTACATTGCGCGACCTTCTATTTAATAGGAGCCAATGGCGTAGTAGGGCTCACCCTCGAGAGGGCACAAGTCGTCACGGGTGCCCCACCATTGTACCATAGAGGCATCACGGATGGTGAAGATGAAGAACGACAACAGGACCATGAAGGCAACACCCGAATCAAAGGCAGCCGAAAGGACATAGGTGAAGCGCAAGTGCCACTCGGGATGGTAGCGGCGGGCGAAGAACTGGAAGGCGAAACCGAGAGCCAACCAGTTGGTATAATGGTAGGCCTGAGCGGGAGGCATCATACCAGTAGCGGCCAGCAACACAGGGATGTGGACATACTCCAACCAGCTGTTGGGGAAAACCTTCTTGAGGTAGTAGAAGGGGATGGGGAGGACGAAACCAATCAAGAAGAAGTAGTTGATAGAATTGTACATCGAGGTAGATCCGAACATCTTGTTGGGCGAGATGACACCCCAGATGACCGAGGCAGAGTAGAAGGTTCTGGCAGAGGGGCACGAGAAGAGCGCGTTCTTGGTCGTGCAGACATCCGCCTGGGATTTCAACAGCCAGTTGGCAGTCAGCAAGTTAACAAGACCAGCAATGACGGTTCCGAGAAGCTGAGCCCAGAACATGGCGCGTGGGGGAACCTTCATGTAGTGACCCAACTTCAAGTCAGAGGTGAAGGTCATAGCCTGAGCCATCGAAATGTAACCGAGGGTCTTGAAGGTAACGTTGGCAATGGGACGGCCAGGAAGGATGTAACCGATAACGTACTCAGTGATGATGTTGAGACCGGGCTGCTGGTTGGTGATGGCCTGGATGAGACCGACGGGGAGGGAGAAGATGGCAGCAAGAGCAACAGCCAAGATGACGCCCCACCAGGGGAGCTTGTAGTCCCAGACCTCGCAGGTGATGACGGCAACGGCGGTCATGATGACGAAGAGAGCAGCGTACCACCAGTCGGGAACCTCAGGGTAGGCCTGCATGAGCTTGTGGTGGATATCCTCAGAGTGCTCGCGAGATTGCTTCCACTGGGCAACCAACTTGTGGCGATGATACAACCAAGTGTGGGTCATCATCGAGGCAAGACCAGCAAAACCAATACCGTAGGTCAGAGCGAAGAAGGTCGAGATGCGAAGAGGACCATAGGCCTCGTACTTGGTCTCGTCCAAGACGTTATCGGTCATAACCGACACGGTAACGTATTTCTCACCATTGTCGCGGAAGAGACCCGAGGTAAGAATGGGGAATCTCTTAGCCTCCCACAAATTGGTATAGTAGGCAATAGGAACCAAGACCCAGGCGATCAAGAAGAAACCAAGGGCGATGTTGACCTGGGCCCACCAAGGAACGATCAAAGGAGAACCCAAGAAAGAAACGATGTTGTTCCAGTCGAGAGAGATGGCACCGAATCCAAGACCACCAGCACCAGTGAGCTGAGACAGCACCAGGTTGTCAGGCTTGATCCAGCAGATCCAGGCAATGGAGCTGACGACGGGGAAGAGGAAGCCAGGAATCCACTGGTACAGGAACATGACCAAGGTAGCGACCAAGAAGAACTTGAAGCGAGACCACTGGCCAGGGGCGAGGTCCTCATCCTGGTGAAGGGTGTTGAACAAAGCGACCTGGACCAAGTTGGCAGGCCAGATCATGGCAGCGGGGTAGACAAGGTAACGACGGAGGACACCGGCCATACCGTAACCCAACATCTGTGTGCAGAGAATGAGGAGGAAGTTGGCGAGGAAGCCAAAGTCCTGGCCATAGAAGACCTTCTGGATGACAGTGATATCGACAGCATAGGCAGTACCACCAGCGCAGTTAGCAGTCAAGGCAACCAAGACGTGCTCCTTGATGTTGAAGGGACCGGGGTTAAGGCGACCAGCGGGGAGGACCCTGGCCAAGAACTTTCCGAAGGGGAAGGACAACAACTGGATGACCAAAGTTGAGATGGTCATGGGCTGCGTACGGAACCAGCTGTGAGATGCAGAAAACGAGTGTGAGGTGAGTACATGTTATGGAGGATGCGTTAAGAAATATGGCTGGTTGGTAGTCGTTGAAGGCATGTTGACGATGACTTACAAGAACTGGTTGAAGAAGGAGAGGATGACTGAGAAGATAACAGCCATGATCCAGAAACGGAAGGTGAGAACTGGGGTGCTGGGGTCGTCCTTGTTGGAGACGATGGCAGCAACCTCGGGGATGGGGGAGTTCTCCTCCTCATCGAGGATGACGGACGAGCGCTCGATATCGAGCTTCTCGTCGACGTACTCCTTCTCGTTGGCGTATTCTTGCTTGTGCTCAGACATGATGCCTGTGCGTGTGAGGGTGAGGGAGGTCGCGGCAAAGATGGAGGGAAGAGAGGGAGCAAGGACCTTTTTGTTTCCTTTGGGGAGGAAAAGGGGAGAGGATGGAGTATGGGGCGCGAGTGAGAGATGGTACTGGGACAAGGAAACAATGGTGATCCGGGGAAGGCAGGGCTTTTATAGGCGACTGAGCCTCCTGAGAGGTGCCCATACGATCTGTAGTCTCTTAGTCCCCCCTTTCTGAGCACAACAGCTCCCACGAGTGCTCATTTCGAGGACGCAAAAGGGAAGCGCAATAGGGTTCTGTCCAAATGTGGGCACCGCCTGTGGTTGGTTGGACAGGACGCCATCCTCGCTCCCTTTTTCTTTTCCAACGGCTGCAAATGATACACTAAGGGGGGTGGTACAGGCCGTAACCAGGGATACAAAATCAAAATAGATTATCCAATAAATGCACCCCTCGGTCTGCTTGGTCTGGAGCGACCAGCCAAAACAAGTGGGATGCAAACCGAGCTACAGGATCCTAGTGCTTTGCATCGCACCAGTCGTCGTTGCCTCCCATAGCTATCGCGCGGATCATCCTGTTCTAGAGACCTCGGTCATCGTTCAGAACAGAGTAACCCTGATGGTAATAGTAAGGACTGTAAGTGGAAGGCATCACCTTCAGCTCCTTCCTTGCAGTGGGATATTACCCACCCTTCTGCTCTCCATCTCTTCTTGAACGAAGACCGCGAGATACTCCTTTACAGTTAGCTTTTGCTTTTTTTTTTTTTCCGTGCGAGAGAGTACCAAAGCAACAGAATGCTTCTCTGGCGCCATTGAAGGAAGAATAAGACTCTCCTGCTCCCTTGATCCTGTCGCCGCGGATCCCTGGTTTCACAGCAGCATATAGACATCAAAATTGCTGCCTTGTGAGCAAAATGTATGCAATTGCATGGTGTTATCCATCTCCATTGTCAGGCAGTCTGCTTAGTTCAACATATTTGTTTTCATTTATTGAATAATATTCTTGCCATTAATCTGGTTCTATTGCTTGTTTATTTGTTTGTATTATAAAAGCGCTTATACCATCTCCGTCATTCTGTTGTGCCCCATTCGAGCCCACACAAACATCTGCCTCCATGAATGATGGGTAAGCTGTGACACTGTGTGTATGTGTTTGTGTGTGGAGGAATATAGGTCGATATTTGAACTCCATCATCGTTTGGCTAGTAGGATAGTTGATAGATGTAAGCAACGCGACAGCGATGACAAAGATTCCTCGGACACGAACTGAAAAAGGGTTAGGGACACCACAACCTCGGAAACGGAAGCGCTTGACCGATGAGCAAATGTTCATTAGCATTAGCACTAGCCGACTGTCTCGGACTTGGTGCAAGTCTGAATGGTGGGCACTAATGAAAGAAAAATCACACGCCCGCAAGTGAGAACGCTGGCAGGCATGCCATTCGCTCCTTCAGTCGTCTGCTCACGTTAAGCATTCAACTCAGACGTAAACATTAGCCATGAATAGAGAAAAGAACGCTTCTACGCCTTCCATTTCTCTTCGTATTGCCATGCTCCCTCTTGCGAGTATCCAATCCCGTGCAGGGGATGGAAATTAAGCACTAGCAATGCAGCTTGGACAAAAGACGCCAAAGCGGGAGCGAATCGGACTCGTTCCTGGCCACAGAGAGGTGTTTTTGGAAGCTGCACCATCCTTTCCTGGGATTGAATTTTATATTTCGGGAAACGCTCGTGGGCTGCTGGAACGGCGGTTGGACTGAGCTCGTCACGAGGAAGCCGCGTTTGGCTGCTTACAGTTTGACTAGACCCAAAACGGAATAAGATGCGTGAAATAGTAAATCCTTCTCCCCTAGTGTGAGCGTTAATGAGAGATTGACAATGGATGGGAGCCATAGTCATTTAATCATTCTTAGCCCCTCGTTTTCCTAAGCAAGCACGGCACCGCAACTGAATGACCCTTTTCTGTAACCAGAGCTCATAGCATAACGCCATCGCTCTGTTCAGCCTCGCGACTCGGTTGAAATTAATCGGTCTGTCGCTCCATGGACACGCCCAGTTCGATCGAATAGTCAAAAGAACAAGCAACCAAAAGGTCTTGCTTCATTTACCTCATTCTGGGTTTCTCAGCAAATCCCGGCGGGCCATCCTCAGCTTTCCCATCATTCAGCGATAGGCATAGCCCACCATAAAGCTCATTTTTTTTCGCGTGACAAACGATGATCCCTCGGATTCCGGGCTTTACCTTCCCGGTCTCCAACCTTTAATTCAAACTAAGTCATTGGGACTTATGTTGCATCGGTAAGAGGGTTCACAGTTTTTCTTTGTAACCCAGATAAGAGCATACTCGGAATCGGCTGAAAGACGCCTATTCGCTGCCGTGCCTTGTACACGCGAACTAATACCTGACATCCTGGGAACCTCGGAAAGGCGCTCTGCCGCCAACTACCCAATGGTATTTCATCTCCTTTAACCTTTCCCTATTTTTGACGATACGATCTGAAGTACTGAACCACCAAGGTTTGCTTCCAACTTCGGTCTACAGTTAGACTACAGACATCGTATGTACATTTGTGGTGGCCAGGCATCTCGATTCTCCGGGAAAAGAGTTGTTGGGTAGCCTGCCTTTCCCTCGGATTCCAACAAACAAGGGAGCTCAAAGGCGCGATTCGTTGAGGTCTTTGCAGTACAGTGTGTCGGGTATATCTCGGATCGACTTCCGGTAAACTATGTTCTGCTTGCTCATAACGAACTCTATCCATTCAAAGTTCGTGTCTGTGAAAATGAAAGGAGGAAGCCCAGCGCTAGGGTTTGATGGATTTTGCGGATCGTCTTCCGATAGCCCGCCGGCGATTTGGCGCTTGTTCTTTGGGTCTAGAGCATCACTCGGCTTTCACATCAAGAGCTGTTGAACACATGGGCATTCATGCATCCTGTCGCAGTAGGCTGGCTTCTTCTGCGCACTTTCCCAGCAGCTCACCTGCACTATTTTCATTTCATCGCTTCTATGGATTGACGATAGACTAGTCGACCAATATATGCATGTAGCTTTGACATTATAAGAATACAGTGCGTTTTTCTTCAGGTTTTTCGAGATCGACATGTCATGGGAATGCTCTCTTTTCTCGGAGGTCACTTCTATGGCCAAACCAGTTACCGAATCGATCACGGCGGTTGCACAATCCCACATTCGCCACGGCACAGTATTACCATCCTGCTCTGGAGATACATTCATTTCATACTAAATGTAATAGATGTCTATTGCGCATGAGAGCAGTCTGGCCACAGACTCAAAGGCATCGTGGGAAGATCATCCTGTCTGCTTGCAATCCAGTCTTGTGCGACAAAGAATAATTTATTTCAGATTGCATCCTATCAAATCTCAACCTGCAAGAGGCCCTCCTTGTTGGCAGGCAGCGCTCCCACAAGTTCTGGCCCAGACGCCGACAGTTTTAATACGCATGAGCTGCCTACAAAAAGATTGCCTAGAAGATCGCGATACAAAAATTGAAAAGAACAAGGGTTAGCAGACCGTAACGAAACAGGTTCGTGAGCATCCATGCAAGTGCAGGTATGCAATACAACGCAAAAGTTACCTGATTCTATCCCGATTCTGTTCGCAACAACGAGATACACTTCTTGCGAAGATCGCTGACCCATACCATAGTATGGATTCATTCTCACTGCCCAGTATCGGATCGTTTCGTGCTGCAGCTCCGATTGCTCTTCGTCCTCTTCGTCCTCTTCGTCCTCCCACTCCTCGTCATTATCATCGTCATCCTCGACCTGGTCTCCTTGTTCCTCCACGTCGCCGGCCTCCTTATAATCGCCACCTTCAGATGCCTTCGCTCTTGCTTTGGATGCGGCGGATTTGAGCTTTGGCTCAACCTTCTCCGCCTTGGGTGCCTCATCACCCTTGTTCCAGGCCATGGAGCACAACAGAAGGTTGGTGTTCTGCTTGAGATGAAAGTTGGAGAACTCGTAATCCAAAAAGGAGGCCTTAAATTGATAAGGGTTCACATCCATGCAGATGCCAAACCCCACCTAGACAACACGGTAACGACCAATACGCCAGGCTTAGAGTAATGATTTTATTTTTCGAGAGTGCGGATCAAATTTCCAGATCGGTGATGTTCACTTACTTGACCGAGTCCTGGCACCGGCATCGATCTGAACCCCGCCCCTTCCTCTGCCCAGTTTTCGTCCGTGTAATACAAAAAGTGTTTTGAATAGGTCGCAAGAAGGTTGCCCTCTGGAGATACGAAGCAGACAGAATTGTAAAATTCTTCGTGGAACTTGTCTTCCTCATTGATGATTCTCTTTTCTGGGTATCCAACCTGCACATGGGCACCCAAGCGTACAGCTAGTATGTAGTTTTGATGGAGTGTAAGTAGGTGGAACGTAATTTCTCTCCCGAATAATAATACGAATACTAATAGAAACTACCTTGAGTCTTGGCCCATTGTACACTTGGTCCAGTCTCGGCGTCTTCCAGGTATGGTCGGATGTGTTCCTTACTCGTAAAGACGTAGCCTGAAGTGAACATTGAGCCATTATATTCTGATCAGTAGCAGTTCCTGGTGCATAAGCACCATTGTAGAGCAACTAACCCGCCCATTCATCAAAAAATAATAAAATAAAATAAAAAAATGTCTTGACCGTAGCTTAAACGACAACCCCATACCTGTGAACGCCATTTCTGGAAGCACCAGCACATCCACATCCTCAGGCTTCAGACTAAAAACACGTAAAATGTGGGTGGTATTTTGTTAACATAGTATCGTTTCACGCTATATCTTTTGAAGGCCTTCTGGTAGCTTACTCTGCAATCATCTTGGTCGCATGGTCAATATTTCGCTGGACCTCGCCCAGGAAGGGCTCGAATTGCAAACAAACTAAGCGCGGTGGAAGGTCGAGGTAAGGTCAGACTGATCGCGGGGTTTAACGAAAGGTGAATAACCGTGTGTCCATTTACCAATCTTCATCTCTAATGTGTTGAATGAGATGTGTAATGGTGGGGGTCAAAACAAAGATAGTTCAGGCCAGGGTTGACGTTGGGCATAGTATTGTGCGCAGCTTTTCCTTCCCCCAATGTGCACTACCTTCGATTTGGATATCATATAGTGGCTTTTGACCTCCACCACGACCTTGAAGGGTCCGAGATCGCGGGGAAAACGTTCTCGGCATTCCTCACCAACATTCTTGTCAACCAAACCAGCACCATGTCAAGCCTTCCGCTCATGCGAAGACTCGCGCTGTCTCTCAAATCCATAGCTCCAGGAGGCGGACGTCGACTGGCGGGCAAGGATCTCGATGGAAACCTGTACTTTGAGAAACCAGATCCCAACGGTAATACAACCACGGAGGTCGAAATTGGAACTCGGCGCCTTTGCATCGCATACGATTTAATATACATCGACTTGATTGATCCTTCAGCTCGCATACTTCGTCTGGGACATGTTAGCGCATGGATCTAACCAATATACCGATGCCTTGCGCAACTGGATCATGGGGCATTAGGCGGACGATACCCTCGCAGGACTGTGGAACTTGCCGATCCAACGTTATCCGAGGCCAACTACGACGATGCCAATATTACAGGTATGCTTCAGGGAAATTTCCAATCGTCAAATTCTGTATTGCCATGATTTTGAGCCGTTCCACTAACTGAGATCTCATCCTCCTAAATATTCTAGTCCAGTGGCAATCATGGCTCAGGAACACGCGTAAAGACCCACCGACATTAGCCGAGATTCAAAGAGACGAGGCGCGGAAGCAATTGACGATCACTCGTGCCATGGCTCTGGATCAAGCATGGCAGGATAGGAAAGCAGAGCTGGCATTGGAGCAGGCGCAGGGCCGTCAGGCGATCTTGAGCATTGCCTCGAAACAGGCGGCTGGAACAGAAGCATCTACGTCTCCATCTACTTCCCCATCCACGCCGCCATCCACATCTTCATCTACGCCATTACCGCCAGTATCAGAGGACGAAGTTAAGAGTGCAGCTAGGAAGCAGATTGAGGAAAGAGAGGCCGCACGTAAAGGTAACAACGTGCATTGCCGGTCTTGTAGATCAATTGCTGCCTTTTATGCCTTTGGGCAAAGTTATTAACCGCGTTTTCTTTGTCTTTGTGTTGGTGTTGATTTCGCAATAACTAATAGCTGGTTTCAAGCCCCAAGTGCAGCAAGGAGACACATTCCAGCCTCAGGCCTGGTCGCCGACGGCTTCCCGTCGTCGCTAAACGACTTTTGGATTAGAAGTATAGGTCTACCTTTCGCGGCCCTGAAAATAAATAATTTGTGATCTTTGAGTTTCAGCAAAGTACCCTTTTTTTTTTCCGAACGCTGCTTTACTCGGTCAGATCTAGATCAGCATGAACTGTTGCAACAGCAGCAATGGCAGCAGCATTCTGCACCTCCTCGTGCGCAACATCAGTCAAAGCCGAGCATGGCCACATTCATCGAACACAGCTCCGTCCAACGTACGGATCTTGTTTAGCACACGACTGATCGACTGTCCTAAGCGGCACTATTCTTTGACACCTCGCCTTTTCTTGCAGCACACTACCGCGGATACCATCAATGGCACCACAGTGGGTACAGGCGCGAAGGTCCCACACGTTTCCAATTCTCTCAGGCCCTCATCCACTCGAACACCAGCATGGACTCGCGACGAGGACCAGGCCCTGTATAAATACGTCCAGCAGGGCAAATCCTGCCATGAGATCTTCTTAGCCTTCCCAGGGCGCACCCTGAACGCTATCAACATCCGCATGTCCCGCGTCCGAAACGCCAAATCGGTTTCAATGAATGAAGACGGTAGCGTGGTTTCGCTGACAAAGGCCCACCGGGAGAAGGATCTATCCGAAGGAAGGCAGCTAGTGATTATGAAGAAGATATGGAAGGAGCAAGGCGCGCAATCCAAGCTGGAAAAGTTGGAGAGGGAGGACGAGAAGGAGGCATTTGAGAAATACGAGCGCCGAAATACCTTATTTCAGTCGACGAGAAAGCTCAGGCGCTGGACTGAGGAGGAAAGCAAGCTTTTGATAAAGTTAGTGCACAAGTACAGGGAAGAACCTGGGATCTGGGGCTTGGTCGCAGGTGGTACGATCGAAGATGATGACGGGAATATGCAGACACTGGCTAGGATGGGGATGTCTTGTAAACGCCAATGGGTGTACTTGAATCGGCCAGAGCAGATCAAGACTGGCTATTGGTCGGCAGACGAGAAACAGAAACTAGTAGAGGCGATCCGCAAGCGAGTAGGAAATGGTTTTGAGATCACCATCGATGTCCTTCGAACCCCAGGGACGACCACAGCAGCAAAGGCGAACAAGGCCAAGCGAGAGCAGGACAAAAGCACAGCGACAACAGCATCAACGGCGAATTCGACTACGGCGATAGGAGCGGACGCCTTAGAGCGGGGTAAACAGAAACTGCTGAAAATGGGTGGACCAGAGCTCTCGTCATTGAACTGGCTCGACATTGCGGCGGAGGTGGGCACTCGGGATGGACTGCAGTGCCGGAATCATTTCTATGCCAACATGCATAATGGTCGACGCGGACATTGGACTGAGGAGGAGCGGAGGTTGTTCAAGGAGGCTTACAAGAAGTACGGGAACCAGTGGAGGGCCATTGCGACCCATGTGGGCACGCGCTCATCCGCCCAGGCAAAGTACGCTTACCAGACTATCATGGGGAAGGAATAAAAGAGACCCCTTTAGCTCTGTCAAGTAACATAGATCAGGGTGAATGCAGTAATTAGTGCCCTTGGCCGCACTTCCCTTTAACGTTCCCTGCAGAGCGAACGAGGGGGTCCTGCATACGATGATAACCATGGGTGAATTGAATTATACGGTAGACTATAGAAAATAGACGGTGGGGCAATACATAGAAAGAAAGGAGGACCATTCATTACCCCGCACTTGCAAGTGTTGACCACGGAGACGAGGACGCAGCAGCGCGTCCAATCCATTACAAATGAACGCGGGCAACTTGTGCTTCCGATCGATCTGCATCAGCTATTTGTTTATTAGCAACAATTGAACAGCAATTGCCATATCAACGGGCCACACATCCCCTTCACCCTCTCGTAATAAATGAACATGACCTAATGCTGCAGGAACCTATGGACGTGATGAAACACATTGGATGGTCGAGTAGGCTGTTAGGCGCGCGGAGTGCTCTTTCAGTCCAGACGGCGCGCGTCCCCAGTCTTCAGTCTTCTGGCCCCTCCTCCGCAATTGTGCAAGCTGCAAGGTGTTACACCAAAATGCCAGACTTGGTGCTGTTTCTGCTGTTGTGGGAGGTGTAGATCTATAAACACACAATTACTTTGACAACATGCACGGAATGTGTGGCCCAACAATACAACGAAAGCCGTGTCGTATGCTGCCTAGATGCTTCCTCCATCTTCCACCCCGGACTTCCGAGGCTTTTGACACTTTTGCTCACATCTTCTTTTCCGCTTATATCTCCTCCTTCCCTCCCATTTCCTCGTTTGCCTTTTCTTCCATTCAAAACGCCGTCTCCTTTTCAGAGCATCCATTTCTTTCCCCGCACAATACCGTTTCCTTGAACGTGCTCAGTCCTTTGACGTCCAACGGAACAGAGCACATCCCTCTAACACACTCTGGCCTGCAAAAAAAAAAAAAAAAAAATGACCTTCTTCCTACCCGCCTGGAGCGACAAGCGCAAACGGAGCGCAAAGTCCAAGAGGAGTCCCTCGCCAACCCGGCTCCCCTCACGATCCACCTCTTCGAATCATGACTCGGGCTACGGCAGCTCCACCATTTCCTCGTGTGCCACAACAACCTGGAGAACCTCGGTCATAGCTCATTGGGGACGCAATACCTCCAACAGCGATCTTGCACAGACACAGCGGTCCTCACGTTGCCTCAATGAACCTAATCGTCAACCTTGCTGCTCGGCTCCATCCAAGCTCTCCCGACACCCCGCCTGCAGCGCTCACTCAGACTTTCGGGGCCATCCTTCTTCTTTGAGCTCCATAATGTCCTCTCCTCAGACGACGGCGAGCCCTGGCGCTCCTTCGGGTTCTTCATCGAACCGGTTCAAGGCAGTCATGTCGCGGTTACTATCCCGGAAAAAGGACCATCACTACCACCAGCACCAGCATCATCCTCATCCTCACTATCTTCATCTAAACCTTTATGGCCTGCACTCGGGGCAGCATCGGGAAGAGAGTGTCATGGCCGAATCCTCTGCAGGATCTCTTTTTGCGGAAGAAAAACAGAGCCAAAAGCAGAAGCGGCGGTCCCGACGGTTCAACAGCGCGTTGTTTCAGCGTCGTCGTCCTCGTTCCCATGTAGTCGTAACTGCAGCTGCAGCTGCAGCTTCATTTGAAACTGTAACTGCTGCACCTGCAGCCGCAAATGCACCTATTTTGGTCCATCCGTACGACGTTGCTGCTCCGGCGTGTTATCCAGGTACTGGACCTGTGGCGATTGCAACGAAGCAACAGCAGTTGTTGGGCCTACAGAAGGCCTCGAAACGACCATGTTCGGCCTCGACAAAACCATCAATCCAGGGGAATACGACCACAACAGTTACTATGCCAGGAACGGTGCCAGCGGCTACGATGTTGAGATCTAGAGGTAGCCGGCATTTGATACCGCACCATCATACCTGCCGCCAACACGACCTGACCGGAGGAGGCGCAATTCAAGTACCGCAAGACAATCAAGCATGTGGCACCTGCCCTTCTTCTCCTCCCTCTTTGGGATTCCGCCATTCTTCAATCGATTCCCTATCTCTCACCTCTGGATCTGCAACAGCTGCTTGTCTTCCCTCTCCTACGTTGTCTTCGAGCGTGTATAGCCACCCTCATCCGCAATATCAGCATCAATGGACGGCCTCGAGCTGGATCTCGGCCTCAAAAGACGATCGGTCGTTCATCTCGAGGCGATCGATGGACGAAATGGAGGTGGTTCCAGCCGTAACATTATCGACAGCGAAAGCGGGAGCTGGTGATCGTCGGGGGTCAAGCCAATCGGCCCTGTCCTCGACGTCTGTCGCCAGCATGCTCTCCCCCTCGTCATCGCCTTATTCGCTCGCCCCGGAGCGTAAGAAACCTGGCACAAGAGCATTTGGACAAGGATACGATATCTCGACCATGTTCAAAATAGGCCCTTTACCTTCTGGTACTCATACCATCATTCCATCCGAGGTGGTATCCTGAGCAAATCAGAGGTTCTTTTTCCTTGTGTTCGATTTTTACTTTTATTAGTTTCTGCAGTTAGTAAAGTAAATAATAGTATTACACTTGCATCCTTTAACCTCGATGAATCCACTTGATGACCAAGTGCGCGAACCAAGTCCCTTCTAACACGACCCAGCGCACCATAGCCTCGATAACGATACAGTCCACCACGCCAGAATAAAGACCCAGAATCCCATCTCTGCGAATCGATCGTATCCAGCAATCCCAGAACCCGGAATAGGGCGTCGGTAAGACTCCGATCCCTGGGAACGTTCCGCCCTGGGCAGAGACGCGACACGCCACAGTATCGAGCGGATACAGCAGCACGCGTGTGATCATGCTACTGGTCATCGCACAGACCATCTCTGGATAAAACTCTTGCAGCAGGGTAGGGTTCCGAGGCGTAACCGTCGATAGGTACCGGAGTCCTCTTCTCGCCCGATTGACGGCCACGGTGTTCGTGGAGCTCGGAGCATTGGATGAGGTGTAGGTCGGCATTGCGGCCATGATCGTGGCCGAGATCTCGGTCGCGGTCACGGCTGTCATCGTTCCATTCTCGGAAGGCGATGGTGGTTGCTGTTGCTGGCCGCCCCGATGCGCTGCTGCCGTCGATGCGGGTCGTCGGCTGGGCGACGCTGATGATGAAGACGACCCAAAAGCATCTGTGATATTCCTAGAATCAGGCCCGCTGGTTGTGCTTAGAGGCATGGCTGACAGCAACGGTGGAGGCGATGGTGGTGACACGCCCGATTTGGATGATTTCTTCCTTGTAAAAAAGCTGGCGGGGACCAATTTGGGGTAGATCCATCGGAAGATCCAGGTCTGGATGATTTCAAAGAGCAAGTTCAAGATATACGATGGGAGTACCGTGGAGTAGAGCGGCAGAATGCTTGGAGACCGGCCTCGGCTGTAAAAGAGGCCGATAAGGTCATGGACATAGTCGATCGCAAAGGTCTTGAGGAGGTAAAAGTAAGACGAGTTGGCGGGCCAAGGTCCAGTGCGAGAGTCCATTCTGAGGAGCAAGGAGTTCCGGAGGAGCGGATAGAGGGGTATATAAAGAAGGAACTCGACTCTATGGTTTCATTTCCGTAGCATAAAAAGCGGCGGAAGATATCAGTAAGAGAGCACGAGCTGTAGGAGGAGACGTATGTGTGATGAAAGAACAAAGGGCTTCGCGGGGTCATACATCCGCGTTGAGAGATAGATCATGGCCTTGGGGAGGACTTTGCGTGATCGCTGTCGAAGTCGTCCAATGATGCTGTTGAGAAAGGCCTCGTAAAAGATGGTGCAAGTGTGGCAGATCATGCTGCACGGCATCCCGTACCAGATCCCCAGGACTCCTTGTGATCGATATACTTGTCGAAGATATTGAAAAGAGGATCGGGGCGATGTCTCTGGGAAGAGCTTTGGAAACACCTATTCAGCATGGACACAAGAAGAAATTGGCGTCAATTTTATGTGCCTGTGTTGAATATCAAACTTCGACGTCCAGATTTTGGGGCGTGTAAGGGAACGTTCTAAATGCTCGTGAAGTACCTGGTGCCTGTCGCGGATCCCAAAGAATGGATAGCATCCAATGTTATTGAGGGTCAACGAGGTAACGACGAGGATGAAGCCGCTCTTGTTCTCGGCTGTCTCGTCGCGGATGCTGGGTGCGGGCAGATAAACGGTCGTCCCGAGGATGTCGCGCTCTGCCTCAGTCACGTCCCGCTGTCTGGCAAGTATCTTGGCAATGTTGACCTCATTGTCATCGTGATCCTCGCCGTGGTTCTGGTCGTGGTCGTTGCTGGTGATATGACTCTCATCCTGGGTCTCCGGTAAGGGGTTGTGTGTACCAAAGGCCAGGGTCCAGATTGCGCTCAGCACCATGGGTGATTTACCGTAGTCGTCTTTGCACTAGTCTGCTAAAAGTATTACTGTTTGCCTGTTGTCGTTATTGTCATGTCCTGCCTTTCATCGAGTTGTAAGCGAGGTGCCATCACCTCGAGAAGGGCTCCATACTCGCCCATTCTCCTGGCCAGGGGCGAGGGACCCATTTTCAAAGCCACGCTAGCAGACTCGCTTCCAAAATCCACGCATGGTCTCCTGCAAACGTTCCGCCGTGTCATCATCAGGAAACAGATCAGTTTTTCTAACATCCACATCAACCTCAGGAAGAGCGGAGCATAATACATAATACAGACAGGAGCAGGAGCCTCTACTTTCACCAATTACACAAAGAAGCAAGGAAGCACATTAGCACACATCTTTAATACCATGGCGGACAGTGGGGATACTGCCGCGAAACCAACACCAGCATCAGCACCCAGCTCGCCAAAGCTGTATTACATCAAAGAAGCGCGAGGTACCGCAAGTGAAATCTCATCAGCACCATCGACTGTTCAAAATGGTCGTTTGCAAACTGCCATTCTGATCCGACTGTCTTGTCTTCTGGAATAGCCAAGTCGGTACCACAGCAATTTACCGGAAGTCATGATCTTATGACCACCTTCAACCTCCTACCGCTCTACAACCAATATGTCAAGCAGAAGACAAAGAATAACGAGGACCTACCACCAATAGAGCCGACCTATTTTCCGTTCATCAGCGACCTACCAGGTACAGATATAGAACGTCGCCGGGAATGACCTTGCTAGCTTTCAAGTATCGAACAGGATGCAACGACATATGATACTCAATTGACCAATTGCTCTCTATCCTCATATGGACCTTTAATATGTCTCTGGTCTGACCTGCAGGAAAGAATGCAATAAGACCAGGAAACTATATTCGAGCCTTATTGGAGGCGCCAGAAAAGAGTTACGGTCCCATTCACCCATTTGCGTCGTCGACAATCCGAGACGGTTTCACTCTTCGTCCAGGGCCTGTACCAGGGGTAAATGTCTTTTGCAGATTTTTTTTTTTTTTGTTACATCCATGAACCCTGTGAGGAAAAGTGCTGGGTTGTTAACGATGTATGCGCTCCGGCGTTTCTTATATTTTCAGTTTGACAGCTCAGTCCTTGGTACGGATGAAGATGGCGCCTACAAGCAAATAGTCAAGGATCTACCAGTAGCAGGAGATTCTCTTAAGGCCATCAACAACACAGTGACAGGACTGGGTGTGGCAGGATACGCGGATCTGAATTCTGTGCCGCTAAGTGGTTCTCCTGCACCATCATCCCATAGCCAGCAGCATCACCAGGGGAGCCACAGCCACAGCCATAATCATGGCGACAGAGGCGAGCGTGGAGATGGCGACGGCAGTCGAGAACATAGACACAAGAAGAAGGTAAGCAATTGTGCATAGAATGCACGTTCTTTTAACAAAAGTTCTTTTTAAAGAATCCATAAGAGCTAACAAGATCCGTTTTCTCTATACAGAAAAAGAAGAGAAAGCACGAACACGATCATGAGCACACTCATCATGAAGGCGAAGGCGACACTGAACACCGCAAGAAGAAGAAAAGGAAAAAGGTACTGTAGTTTGTTCTTTTCTTATTGTGGAGCAATCGATGACTGGATATGGATTTACTAACCTAGCATCAATGTACGTTTGTCCCTTTCCCATTATGCTACTATTAGGAACGGGAGGAACATGGAGAGTACGGCGAGCATGGTGAACATATTGACATTGTTTAGCATATGTGTTTTCTAGACCTCCCCCTGAATAAAGCAGCGGGCAAATAAAGAAAAACATATAAAAACCAACACCTGAACTTTGGGGGGTGGGGAACGAGCCTTTCCGTTGTTTCGCATTCATTCACCAATCCCCTGTTCAACTTCATTTCCCATGATGACCGCCTATGAAGGACCTCGCAAGCTGACCCTCGGCGAAAACCCTGTCATCATCAAATGTAACCCATTTGGTCATTCCCCTTCGGTGCTCATGTCATACAGCCTCAAATACGTGAACTAACCGAACAACGTCCTTTGTCTTTGTCTCTGTCTTCGTTTGTATAGTCAAGTGTGCAGGAACCAACCTTCGCGTGTCGATTGCTCAAGTACCAACCTTCAATGAACTCTGCTTCATGGTCCAGCGGCTCTTTCGTTCCGCACTCTCCTCAAACCTGGACAACCTAATCCTGCGATATGAGGATGAAGGTAAGGGTTCCAATCCATTATGTTGGAGCCCTTTTTTTTTTTGTGTCTCTGCTGTGCTCTCGTTTTCAATGTCTGATTCGCTTACATGTTCAAATCCAAACGCGCGTTGTACGCCGTTGTTAGACGGCGACCTGGTTACCATCCAAGACGATGCAGATATCACGCATGCAGTTTTGCTTTCACCACTCCTGAAGCTAACAGTGAATGGTAAGCCGACACAGATACCCCCGTTTTTTTTTTCTTTTTTTCATGCATCGACCACAATGCAACGACGACCTCCTTGGAAGAGTCGACCGTGTGACTGAGCTAACCCCTTACTGCGCCATTTTTTTTTTTTTCGGTGTTTCATGCGTAACAATAGACAAAGTGACCCATCCAGTCGTGTTGCCTATAGAGCATCTCCCCAAGACCCTCGGGGGCATGGACGAGAAGCAGACCATTGCAGCGGTTACTGCGGCTCTAATCGATCTCCAGGAACGAATTGGCCGCGCTGTACTGGTGATCCAGTCTCAGCATCCTGCTGCTGCTGCTGCCGCTCTTTTCAACGGCAATGGCGGCGATACAGCCTCGACGACAAACTCGAGAGCTGGAGGAAGACAGCAGGAGAGTGCGAATACCGGCCATAAGGCAGCACAAGACCGCGGGTTTACGGCGCTGGATTCGACCCCGCTCGTTCTTTCGGTAGAGTCCCTAGGTAAGCTATAACATTTCCATGAAGACCAAATGTTTTTACTGACTGGTTCTTGTCGGTGCCGTATCCTTGTGAATCAGCTTCTTACTGCTTCTTCAATGGCTGCACTATAGACCAGCTGCTCGCACCACGGAAGAGTCTTGTCCAGCAGACGAGCGTATCCAGCCAAGCATCGCATCAAAATGCGCTGTCGCCATCTACGGTTAACCAAGCGGCAACACAGCCGACGACCTTGACGAATATAGGTTCTCAGTTGCAGCAACAGCCACAGCAGCAGCAACAGCCGCAACCACAGCCGCAACCACAACCACAGCAGCAATATCAGCAGCAACAACAGAATATGGCATCCATGTCCTCCCAGCCTTGGACTCCTCAACCAAACCAGGAATCCAGCACTATGCAACAACAACAGCCTTCACCTGCTCCTACAGGTGTACCAGGCTCGTCCTTCCCACAGCAATGTAATCAACAATACCCTCCTCAGCAACAGCAGCAGCAGCATCAACAGGCAATGCCATTTGGACAATATACCGCAAGCAATGTGCCCCAGCAACAACAACAGCAAGCGCAAGCACAATTCCAAGCAGGCCAAGTCCAGACTCAAGGACAGCGGCAAGCCCTTCCTCAAGAACAGCAACAGCAACAGCAGTACATGACTCAGAACCAGGGCTACCAACAAGCCCAACAGCCGTTACCTGGACATGCCGTGCAAGTCCCCCCACAGCAGCAACAACTGACGCAGTCGCAACAGGCGCCATACATGCAGATCGCGTACTCGCCAAGTCTATCTGTGCAACAGCCACGGTTTTCGAACCATGGAGCGTATAGTCCAGCCGCGACTGTAGCTACATCGGGCGGAAGCACGCCATTTGTGCGAAACAGTAGTTTATATATGTCGCAACAGCAACAACAATAACAGAATTGAGGAGTGGAATAGAGGGATAGCAGCGATGGCTATCCAAGGGGAGACGGGAAAGTTGTTGTCGTTGGTGTTTTTTTTTTTTTTGTGTTATTGTATTTAAGTCTGCACATGGCGCCAAAGGGAAATTGTTGCAATAAAGATATTCAGATATTCAGAATCCTTCATACAGTCAGAATGTATTCGTTGTCTTCCGGTATGCTGTTCTTTGAATATCGGTACTGAAAAGACCCCTTTGGATTTATACCATCGATAAGACTTTGTCTGTCCCAACATGCGTGTATTATTCAAACATCATACAAGTCAGTCAGGGCTTGCATGATATCTACGCGTCGAGAAGCAAAAAAAAAAAAGTTCGCGCGACGCGTATGAATCTGACCCAAAAAGGAAGGAGCCTACTCTAACAATCTATGGGTCACGGGAAAGGGGGAAGTCAAGTAAGCAGCGACCAGCTGAGAAGGAGCACCACAAAAAAAAAGGGGAGGGAGGTGGGGAGTGAGTTGAGCATCGCATTAAACTCACGCTACGCCAGTTACCCTTCAACCACGACCGCATCAAGCATCAACCCAACCCAAGACCAATCCGACATCTTTACAGGAAACCGAAATCGTACACCATCATGAAGCCCATGTTCTCGGCCGGCCACGCAACGTGCTGCACCATCCTATCTGTCTTTGGAGTGATCTTCCTGGGGACCATGTCCTTTCTCTTCTCCTTACCAGCCGAGTCCTTGACCCATACCGTCAACGACCCCGATAATCCTGCCGAGGTCGCCAAGGCCTGCTTGACCGCCACGGCCTTCTATGGATTCATGATCCTCTTCTGTGGTTGCCAGGTAACAGACCAGTGTCCAAAGACAAAAAAGAAAAAAAAGGATTGCCTACGAGTGTGACGTCGAGCAGTTTGGATAGGAATGCTGGAGAGGTCGACTTTCTTACAGTTTGAACGAAAGGAAGCAATGGATGACAGGACTACGAACAGACAGGAGTACCAAAATGGCATGAAAGCGGCCTAGAAGGAGAAAAAAAAAAGGATGAGGCAGTAAAAGTGTACTGGATGGACAAAGCAAACGGGAGCCGGCAGTCGAAACGGCATTCAAGGATCCTCTTTCAATCCTTTTTTCTGCCCGCTAACACCAAGACTCGTTTTCTTATTTCCTAATATCCTAATAGAGCTGGTTGAACAAGCGGGAAGAGCGTGCACAAATTCAGTTGCAATAAAAAGTCGTCTTTTTATTCAAGGAATCTACATTGGTATAATCGCTTTGCTGAGATAGCAGTGATGCCTTGCTATTAATATTTTTTGTCCGCACACTGATCCCAGTTGCCTTCAGACCTGTGCATCGATGCACCCGCTAAGAATGTTTATTTTCGACATGTCTGCAAATGTGTTCATAAAGTCTTTGAACAAATCCTCGATGCGCCAATAAGCAAGAAAACGACATCATAAGCACTATGTGTATTAAACAAAGGCGATGGGAAGAAGAAAAAAAAAAAGAAAAGAAAAGAAAAGAAAAAAGAAAAAAGAAAAAAAGAAAAAGTGGAGTAAATGTACACGGAGGGAAGAAATGCAGGTGTAATAGAGGGGACTTTTACTAAAGCAAAAGGAAAAGGATCGAGGAGAAATTGTACAGTTTCGGAAATAGAATAGCGAGAGATAGCAAAATGAAGACAGTAAAAGAAAAGGCTAGGTAAATTGAAGAAAATAGAAAATAGAAAATAGAAAAGAGATCAAAGAAGCAACTGCTTCTTTACGCATGTGGAATTTGACACGCTGGATTGATCAGCGTGAGTCCTTCCATGTCGGTGGGCATGCAGCTCGACATCAACGCCCCCAGGATCTATCACAGCATTCACAAAGGACCCAAACAAGGATATCGTAAGCAAATAAGAAATGACCCCACAAAGCAAATAACCATTAAACACAGCACATCATCGCTGGCTTTGCTCACCTTGAGACTGACGGGCTTAGTCATATACCCATCCACTCCACACTCAAACGCCAATCGCTTATCCTCGTCCCCTGCCAACCCAGTCAGCGCAAAGATGATCGTCGGGTGATAGCCTCTCCCCTGCTCCATGTTTGCGTCGACTTCATCCGCGCACGACTCAGTCTCTAGCGGGTGCGACAGCTCAAACTGCTTCGTCATCGACCGCTCAAACTCCCGGATCCGCTTCGTCGCTATATTACCGTCCATCACCGGCATCTGCAAATCCATCAATACAAAGTCAAACCCGGCCCTACCCTCCCGTCGCCACACCTCTTCCTGGAACCGCTCCACCCCTACCTTGCCGTTCTCGGCCTCAACTACACTGATCCCGCGCTTCTTTAGGAACGTTCGCAGAATCATCCGGTTCGTGATATTGTCCTCCACAATCAGCACTCGAGGCCATGGCTTCCTAGGCGTCTCACCGCTGCTCTTGATATCTTTGGCAGGATGACCTGTAGTCGTCCCAGTAGTACCAGCAGCCAGTGCAGACTTGTTTCTCTGCAGCTTCTTTTGCGCTTGGTAGTCCTTCATCGATCGCTGTAATCTATGTTTGGGCGCGCTCTCCTCAATATTGTATTTGGACCCCTCCATGCTTACAGTGCCATTCGACACGGATCCTTGAGCAGGCGGTGTTGTAGATTGTACGTTCATGGTCCCCAGTCGGTCCTCAGAGTTAGTGGTGCTGTTCCTTGGGCGCGACTCTTGATCCGGGGTCTTTACCGAACTGGGTCTCGACTTCTGGGTTCGAGGAGGAAGGACAAGTCCACCTGGAGAATGCGGAGGGAGTACAGCCATCGTTCGCCGCTCGTTTCCATCCGCCTGGGCTATGGTAGGTAATGCGAGCGATTTTTCGATAGCTGTGCTCGCAGAGAACAGGCGGCTGTCATGATGAATGCCTAGGGTCGTCCTAGCGATTTGGGGTATGGTCGCTGATCGAGTCAACGGTATTGGATGAAGGCTCATCGATGCCACATCTGACGAAGAATGTGGCAACTCTTGAGACGAGGACTGCTGGCTAAGGTTCGAGAAGGCAGGCGTGAAGCATTCGCGAAGGCACTGTATCAACTTGACGGGTCCGATTGGTTTGGTCATGATCACGATGCCGGCCGGGCGTTCAGAATCAATCTGCTTCTCCAGATACGCGTCCACTAACTTTTGAATAACCTTTGTGTTCGGTGGCGATGTAAGTACCAAAAGTGGCATTGGGGTCTTGGGGGTCTCGATTTCACCCTCCTTGATCGTTTGATAATATTCAGTCCAGAACGACAAGTAGGTCCTAAGTCGCGTAACGTCGTCGTTAATAATCAAGAGACCGCAACGAGACTGGTCGTAGAGATCTCTGAGCATGTCCTCGCCAGTGATGTCCTGCTCATCGCCTCTCTCAACATTCATATTGAGTTGCTGACCCATCATCCGCTCCCCCATAACCTTGAAGAGTCGATCAGAACTAACGGAGTGCTCTCCAGCATAGAACCTACAGGACGCTCCATGCCAAGGGCCAATGATATCCCTCAACGACTTGGTCTGGTGGGGCGCAGGAGTGGCCCAGACCAGCACTCTCACTACGCACCCCTTGCCCTCGCCTTCACTCCAGACTTCCATCCAGCCTCCTAGTTTCTCGACAACTCCCTTGACAAGAGCCATGCCCAGCCCGGTTCCAACCTGAAGTGGATCCTCTTGTGAGAATGGCTTGAAGAGGTGAGACTGCACAAACTCTGCAGAGATTCCCTTCCCTGTATCGCGCACAGTGAACACAATGGGACGAGCCTCTGGATGTGGAGGTTTCATTGGGACAGGACTGTCTGTTAAGGCAACGGCCGAGATCTCTACAAACCCGGCTGTTGTGAACTTGATCGCATTCTCCACGAGCTGGCAGTGGGCGCACAATAAAAGAATAAAAAAATAAAAAAAAATGAGAAAGGGAAGATCAATGTGTCATTATACCGGTTCATACAAGCAAGCACAGCGGCCAAGTAGATAGATATTTCACTGACCTGGGTCAGAATTCTGGTTATCGATTTAACATCCATGGAGAAATTCCAGTATGTACCCTGACCAGGATCTCTTTCCGGCTCATCCATGGCCACCATTAGCTCGAGAATCGTCTTACAAGGGGAGCGGATCCTTCGCGCCGTAAATGAGCTGCCCAGGGACTCTGTCGATGAGGTGTATGCGATGCCTTGTAGTGGGTGATTAAGTGATGTCGCGACATTGGTAGCCGACCCTGCTGTCGAGTTGGATGTGGAAGAGGACAGCGAAGACAGCGAAGGCTTCGACCAGGACGGAACCACCATGACATTCTTGTCTGTACAGAGCTTCGCCATCGAATCTGCGACTTTCTGACATAAATCACGGATATCTACGGTTTCCAAAATAGTTTCTCTCATATCGGGAGAAAGTATCGAAGTGCTATCGCGGCGGGTATCTCGAGCTTCCATGTTGTTATCAGGGTCCAGTTTCGCCAGGTCAATGATGTTGCTTATTGTGTCGATCAGATTCTTTCCGGAAGCCTCTGCGGACGAAACCATGGCCATCTGCAAGTCGCTCAATGGTTCTTCTGGATTGGCATAAAGTAGTTCCAGAACGCCGAGAATAATGTGAAGAGGCGTTCGAAGCTCGTGTGAGATGCTAAACAAAGTGGAAATTCATGCCAATGCTCGTCAGTATATGCAATCGAGATATTGCTCATAGCATACGGGGGATTGATGATTCAACGAATATGTGGACAATCCACGAATGTAACATTCTTACCTCTTGATGAAGATGCCCTTGGCCTTGTCGGCTGCCTCGACTCGTCGCTTCATGACCTCGGTAACCAGACAAGACCCAAAGTTCTTGAGATAGATTCTCTCATGGAATGAAAATTGCTTGGTGCGTGATGCGGAAAGAATGACAAAGTACGCCCAAGGCTCCTCCATCGACATGTTGTGAGTTGTCGAAGGGCCCAAGATCGGCACAACCACGGCTGACTGGTACGGTGTAGCTGCCCCTGACGCAAGTGCCGGCAGCGTTCCCTGGAAGGTATGACATAAATTCTTCCGTCGGGTAGGGTCCTTGAACGTCGAATGGTTCGCGAACGAACCGAACCTATCGTTCTCGATCGCGTCTTGATCATGCGAATACGTATAGAGGTCTCCTTGTCCTGGAACGCGTGGCGGCTCTGGTATTTCCTCTCGCACATATCCGAGCATCTCCTTGATGACAGGCAAGTCTCTTCTCCAGATGGGCTCAATTGCATTCAACAGGGCGTCACCGAGGCGATGGGGCCTACAGCCTACATCCGTACACACCCATGCCGACTCCTGTCTCTTGGCATACTGGTTCTCCTCATCAAAAACCGGTCTTGCAAATGCCCTATCCTTGCGGGATGAAGCAACGCATGTCAGCGATGTGTTGGCCTGTTCGGTCTCGACATGGGCTCCTTTCACGACGCCGACGAGATTCTTGCGACGTCCTGCAGCGTCCAAATAGTTCCAGACCACTGAAGATCCCGAGGGTGGAATGATACACTCGCTGGAGGAGGCCTGTACAAGATAGACGGCGTCCACATTCAGTGTAGCCTGGATCAGCATGCATGCGGAGGGGAACGCTTTGTCCTGCAGAGAGTTCCCGGTTGTATCTGCCGGTGTCGCTGATGCGGTTGAGGATGCAGATGAAGCCCCATCCTTGGAAGCGGACGCAAATGTACTGGAAAGGAAGGTGGGAGATCCTGAAGGGGTAGGGAATGCTGGCTCTGCTGGCGGAGACATTAATGCCGGCTCATCCTGCATACCCAGGCCCGCTGCTGATGACCCCAAGATCCCGGACGAAGAAGTAGAAAGATCTGATGGCGTTAGGAGAGCTTGTGGTACGGGGCGGAAGGCGAGTGGTTGCCCCTGTCGGTAATCCTGTGAGGCGACCTCCCTATTGATTGGCGGATCTTTTCCCATGTCTAAACATCCTCGAACCCAGCGTGTCACGTCTCGCATCATACGGTTCCTGATACAAAGCTGGACTTGATCGTTCCACAGCTCCATCTCGCGCATGACAACCGCAGCAAAGTCGACCAGTAGCTCTTTTTCTCTGTTCGAGAACGTTGCCCGCGGCTCAAAGTCGATAAGACAGAGTGCTCCGACGTTAAGCCCATCTGAAGTCGTTAGTGGAGCACCGGCATAAAACCGAACTGATGGCTCCAAGACGACAGCAGGCAAGGCTCTGAACCGCCAATCCGCTTTGGTATCGAGAATGACTAAGGGATCATTAGAAGGGCGCAAGATGGTGTGTCCGCAGAATGAATGCTGTCTAGGGACCTCTGGAAATGTAGTCACGTGCTGGGCTTTGACTGATACACAGCGATGGTCCACCAAGGTGATGACGCATCCTGTGGCATTCATAACGGCTGCCACCAACTGCGTGATGCGCTCAAAGTTGGGATCGGCTCCCGTCTGCAAGATCTGAAAGCTGTGTAGTGCTCGTAGGCGCTGCTCCTCGGTTGGTGGTAATGGAGGCGCCAAGAACGGCAGATATTCATATGGAGGACCAACATATGGTGGCGAGGGTAGAAGTGATGTTTCTAACTTTGGCCTTGGGATAGGATAGTCCGCAGGAAATTGCCCTCGTCGGTAATGGTAAAGAAAGTCGTCCCATGATTCGCAGTCCTTGTCCAGCGAAGTACGACATATCAATTCAAAGCGGTTGATGTTATCGGCCGAGGGCTGAGGCGACATCCCACCGTGCGAAACTGGTGTTGAACAGGTGGAGTTAGATGTCATAGTCGGAGAAAATTGTCCTGGAGAGTGTGATGAACGACTGAAGCTTCGAACAGTTTGTGCGAGTCGTTCAGCAAGTGCCGAGGCAGAAAGTTTTGAAGAAGTGCTGATCCCTGGCTCGGATATCCGGCGGGTCCTTGATTCGTTGACTTTGAGCTGATCCACGCTGGTCTCGACGCCGGCCTTGTTGTTCCGTGAAAAGGTCTTTCCCGAAATCGAGGTCGGGGCCAGTCCTAGGCTCGATTCTCCAACGGCTGAATCGGCGACTCCTTGCTCTGCTCTTGGTAGTCGAAGACTTGTTCCCTCGGATTTGCGTCTCTGCACGGACTTGTGCTGCATTGTCGAAGACCTAAACACGACAGGAAATTACGTCGAGAAGAGACGCTCCATCGCCGATTAGATATCAAAATACAAACACAGAAATGGAGGCGCAGGGGTGCACAGCGTCCGCTCAATCAACATAACAGAACGTTAAATGAAAGGAAGATTGGAAGTGCCGTTTTTTTTATCAAGGCAATGTTCACACAAGGAAACAAAATACGACTGCATCCATCCTGCGCTTCGGTCATATAACGTCTGCACATACACATATAATGCAAAAAAAAAAAAAAAAAAAAAAAAGGCTGACACCAGTGGTGTCTGCCGATGCGCAGGAAGAACAGAAATGCGGCAATTTGGGATAATCATTCTCAGTAAGAATAGGTGACAGAAAGATGGCAATGCTGGTCATGACATTGTAATGTATTGTCCATGGGGTCCAGGTCGTTGTTCGCCCAAAGGAATAGACAACTCCACTGTCCATGATTGGTGCATTCGTCATGATTTCTGGGCTCATTTTTGAACCATGCACAGACGCAGCCCACCATTTTGCAAACAAACAAAGGGCGACATAAAATATATGCATCTGGCATAGATTGGACCAACCAAGCAAACCAACACCCCGATTGTCAACATGTTTGCTCTTTTAAATCGCTGTCTCCTGATTCCGGGAGAGGCGGTTACCTCCAACTCAAATGTCAATCAGTGCGCAACCATATACACAAATAGGAAGGAACCGGTTTTTAAAGAGAAAAAAGAGAAGAGTATAAAGCATCCCTCTCCCAGAAAGATAGTAATGGATAATGGCATCTAAAAAAAAAGAAAAAGAAAAGGGTGCTTGGTTGCTGAGGGTATTTGCTGTGTATGCTTTTTTTTTTGGTGGCAAATGGAAACTGAATACAGCCAACTTTGTTTGGATACAGTTGGGTTGTGGGGGTCTGCGCTTTCCTTTTTCATTTATGTCCCTGTGCTTTTGTTGTACAAAGAAAGTAAAGTAAAAAGCACAAGAGAAGATGTTTGCGCGGAAGAAGAGAAAGAGGCGGGGAAAAGTGCGAGAGGGACAACGGATACCGTACCCAGTTAGGGGTGAGTTAGGATGTCGAAAGAGACTATGGGACCAAGGGTTTTGATGAAAAGACAAAACGGAGGGGAGATGGTGGTGGAGGACAAGGAGGAGGAGGAGCGGAACGAAATGGATGCGATGGATGAATGGGAGTATGGATGCGATGGTATTCGTTCGTCCTTCTCTTCCTCTTCTTTCCTTGGCAGCAAATTCATTCAGCACTAATGAAACTAAGAGATGCGACCGGCCTAATCAGACGCCTGCACGACCGCACCGTACCTCCCTTCCTTTTCGTGATGACATCAAAGCTTCTGGATCGAGGACCACCCGTCCAGATACCCAAAACAGGAGAAAAGAGATAAAGACAGGGAGGAAAGGGAATAAACAGAAAATAAAAAGCACGTACTTCATAAACGATACTCATAACGACGACGACCAACGGTAATAAAATAAACTCACACAGATACGGATAGTATATAAAGGAAAGAAAGTAACTACGCTCGGACAAAAGATCATCTTCGTTCAAAAGAGTCTCAACCACCTTACCTCGAGGATATCGACGATGAGGATTGTGAACATCTCTCCAATCCAGGACTCTTGCGACCACTACTCCCGAACCCTGGCATCCAATTGAACTTTAGACCCTTGGACCACCGGTGTTCCTTGAGCGACTCCGTGATAGAACTCCTGGGCTGCTGTTGACTCGATGACGGCTTGGATGACGAGGATGCGCTTGTCTGGGCCATATACGGAGGGGGTACAGACGGTGTCGAGTGCGACCGTTGTTGGCCATCACCATTTGGCTGCCGATCCTGCTGAACTGGATGAACTCTGGGGCGGGTTAAAGCCTGTAAGGTCTGTTCCTGAGATGTGTCCGGTGGACCTATTGTTGTTGCAGATTCAGCTATTGATGCCATGAAAGAGGGGTGGTGATGGTGGTCCTTGATGGTGCCGACTGATGATGATGATGTTGATGAATCCGAGTCGAATGAGAAGGCTTCTCTGAGTGCAGGTATAGGAGAGGTAATCGACCGTAGGAAACGTGGTCGACGATGGAAGGGACCCTGTTGTCTCTGATGTGGAGCGTCCTGGCTCGAGGGATCTGGCGGCGACCCATCTGAAGGGTGTGAGGTGGATGGTATGGCTACCATGTACGATGATAAAACGCAAAATGCGAGAGGGAGGGCGGAAGAGGCTGGTGCAGTGCAACGATACTCCTTATTGAAATGAGTGTTTGTTGCTTCGGTTTTTGCTTTTTCTTTTTCTCTGGGGGAGGGGGTGAAAAGAGGGTTTGTGCCACTGCCGCTCTTCCACTGCTGCAAATCCAGTCAATTCTTTACTTTGCTTTGCTCTTTCTCTCTCTCTCTTCCTTCTGGGTCGATGATGCTAGCGTTGTTTACGCCGTTGAATGGTTGGTTGGTTGTTAGCGGGGCTATGCGTTGGGTTTGCTTTTGCAGCCGGATGTGAGGGGTGGGTGTGATGGAGAGCGATCAGCGGAATGGTGGAAGGTGTTGCAAATATGAATATGAATATGGATATGTAAATGAATACGACAATGTTAATTGATAATTGATGATACGGTGTGAGTCTGTGAGGACACACACGCCACTACAGTTGCTGCAGTTGGTCAGTGGGTAGGCACAGGCAGGCGAGGGGGAGGAGGAGAGAGAGAGGGTGGGCGCGAGTGGCGAAGAGGGTCAAGGGTATATGTGAATGCGTATGCGTGTATGCGTGTATGTGGGTGTGATTACGGGTGGTCGAGGACGGAGGAGGGGAGAGGGTGATGATGGGGATGGCGAATGGGAAAGAGGGAAAGAAGGAGGATGGGACTCTAATCGCGTTGTTGCTTGTGTTGTATTTTAAAGTAAGACAGCTGAAAAGAGAGTTAGTTGCACGAACAAACTCTTTTTTTTGGGTGTCTTCAACAAAAAAAGAAATATGCTAGTCTATGGAGCATTGAGGAATGCCGGTGGTGACGCCTCTGTCCACGGAGGGGACCCGTTCAAAAATCCCCTGATATCCATTCGTTCATTCATATATAGAACAAAAGAACAAAAGAGCAAATTATCAGCGGTCAATGGTCAAATGGACACAAAAGGTAGATTTGGGGATAGACTGAAGGAAGAACCCCCAACACGAAGAAGAATAAAGACGAAACACGAGGGGAGACAAGAGGGAGGAAGAGGGTTGAAGAAAACCGTTGGATGTTGAGTCGGAGAAAACCTCGAGCTGAGTATCCGTTAACATTTTAGGGACGCGTTCCTTCAGAGGATCATCATCAGAGACGAACAAGATTTTGTGGCAGATGGCTGCCGAATAAGACTCACAGTACTTGGCGCGTCCCTACGCGCGTGCAAGGCCTGCAAGGTACTGCGGCTACAAACACGGCGACCTGGGAAAAAAAGAAAAAAAACCCCCCATCCCCATGCATAGCCTACCGCAACGGGCAAAAGGGGGATCTGCACCAATCACACCAATCACAGTACCCCCAGATCCTCGCTATATTATTATTTACCGTCAAGGACCACTCTTCTTTTCAATTCACAAACAGAACCCATTGGCTATCAACACATCCGCTTGTAGAGAGTACATAGACCCAATATCTAGTATCGGAAAAAGACGAATGAGCAATTCACCTTTCCATAGCGCGTGTTATGTGTGTTGTTTGTCCATTGATGATCCCACCCTCGCCCCGCCTCCCCTCGCTCTCGTATTCTTGGGCAAAGAGAGTTTATTATGCTCTGCGGATATAACAAATATATATATAATATATATAATATATAATATATAATATAAAAAAAGGGTAGCCCCAATGGTACCACCCAGAGCGCGTTTTTTTTTTGTCACCCGATAATCCAGCAGCATACAACGCAACAGCACTTATAAAAACAAGGTGATCTGGACCATCCAAGTATGGGAACTCACTTGAAGACGGAAATGGTCGTACAGTGTGCTCTGCTTGTACGTGCATACATCTTACGCTCATGTCTAAATGAAAAGCATCGATTCGTTCCACCTCTGCGGCACCACGCCCACACACACGCATCCCTTCATCATCCCCTCCCCCTCTCCCCTCAACAACACCACTCTTTTCTGGGCGTAAGTACCAGATAGTGCATACCGTTATGAGATTACCAATAATAATACACTTACCGCTCGCCGCCCACTGCCCACCGCCCACCGTCCACCGCCCTCCGCCACACCGCGCACTCTCGCGTTTTTTTCTTTTGGAGCGTCTTGAATAGACTAACGTGCATTTAGCTCACAATGCACGCGAGGACAAAAGCATGGGCAATCTTTTGGAACGCATATTTGTATGTGGATTTTTTTGTACCACAATTATCAGCCATGCTACCATGCAACAAACATGTTGCGTGTGTTGTTGTTGCTATTGTTGTCGCTGTTGTTGTTGGCGCTGTTGGCTTTTTTTTTTTTTTTTTTTTTGAGAGAGAGAGAGTGTGTGTGAGAGAGAGAGAGAAAGAGAGAGCGTGTACAACTTCAATTTCGATTATCGAGCAATGGGCTTTGAGAGGATTCAAGGTGGCGGAACAAGTCCATATATCCATATAAAACTCCTTCAAGCACACATGTCCTTTAGAGAAAATTCTTGAGTATATATTTGGATAGTCAGTTTCTCCAGCTTTTGACAGCGGACAAAACTCTTTCGGAGTTTGGAGATGTAGAGATGTACATGTACTTTTTTTTTCTTGATAGCTGAGCAATCAATCAGGATTCTCAGCTCTTTTGCTATTTGCTTTTTGCTTTGGCGGCCTTTATTTAACATCATTGGTTTGCATAGCACAACTGCGCTTTACTCTACTCCATACGAGGCCGTTTTGTGTTCCTGTCATCCTTTAAAGTCGGTACCGGGTGCGTCTTCTGAACCGACGCCGTTACCCTCATATCCTTGTCCTCGTTCGTAATCCTTCTCAGCGGGAATTCCACGGGTTGTCCAGCAAACGAGCTTTTTTTTTTTTTTTTTTTTTTTTTTTCAGAAAAGGAAGAACCGGTCAATATCACCGCCTCAACTACATACACAAAAGCACACACTATCAAAAGAACTTACTCCATGCCAGGCTTCGGATCTTCTTGGAAGTATGGGTGATTCAATGCCTCTTCTGCCGTGATCCGCTTCAACGGATCATACTCGAGCATCGCAGCCAAAAGATTGCATCCTTGCTCGCTCTTGATCGGCCATGTCTGATAGAGCGATCGCAGCACGTTTGGTGTTCTAACAAAGAGGCGTTTTTTCAACCCTTAGTTCACGCTTTTTTCCATTGCCGTCCGAACACGTATGAATGGAACTTACTGCCTAAATTGACTCAGGTTCGGATACTCTGGTTGCTGGTCAATCGTGGGCCACCGCTCCTCTATCAAAGCAATAAAAAACAGCGTAATAAAAAGAATAACCCTTTCGTTAGGAAAAAATAAATACTCTCACTTAACAATCCCTCCTTGCTCGTTACTTATCATATTAACTCCAAAAAAAAAAAAAAAAAAAAAAAAAAAACTTACTTGTAGGGTTGCCGAGGATATCAAAGATCTTTTGAAGCTGGTTCTTCTGAAACGGGACCGTCTTCTTATTCTCGACCTTGGCTTCCTCGCCCTTGAAGATCGGCCGCAGTGTAATCAATTCGGCGAAAATACATCCAATCGCCCAGATATCGATCGCCTTGGTATAATGTCTCGATCCAAGCAAGAGCTCTGGTGCTCGATACCAAATTGTCACCACCACCTTGTCTCCGTTGAAGAGTGGTTGTAAAGGCTTGTAGAACAACCGCGCCAATCCTAGATCGCCTGATATTGTGCGTATTCCGATTTTTTTTTAAACAGGCGTTAGTTAGTTAATATGCTGCTAAAAACAGAGTGACCTGAGTTAAGATCATGATCCGTCAGAAAGGGAAAAAAAAGTCGATCCCCTTATGTTTGCATACCAACTTTGACAACTCCATTGGCGGTGACGAGGATGTTGGCGGGTTTGAGGTCACGATGCATCACCCAGTTGGCATGGAGATATGCGACTCCGTTCAACAGTTGCCACAAGAATGACTTGATGGTGTATTCAGACATATATTTCCGCTCCGGATGACTGTGGAAACCGATGATTTGCTACACGAAGGAAAAAAAAGAAGTCCAAATGCATGTTAGTAAACATGTTGCTGTAGTGGAATCTAACAAAAAAAAAAAAAAAAATAGTAAAAAGAAAAAGGCATCGGCCCTCGGAGTGCTTACAAGGAGATCATGTTCTGCATATTCAAACACCATGTGGATCGACTTATCCTCCAACAGAACCTCCTGTAACCAGACAATATTTTCATGATGCAGTTCTCGACATAACTGGATCCAAAAAGAAGACAGCAAAAGTAAGCAATTACGGTGACGACAATTCCATCGACTATCGACGATCCACTCCTCTCATATCGCTTGAACAGTCCACATACAGCGATCTCTCGACAAGCCGACTGTGAGATCCCGATGTACGTTGCAGCCTCGCCCTCCTTGTCCGGCTTGAACTTCTTGATAGCGTATTCCTTGCCATCGTCCCTATGATCGCACAGAACATCCATATGAGCACATTGTCCAAGCACAGCGACTTAACGCTTCTTGTTCTTATCAACACACACACACATATTAAACGGGCCCCTTCTTTAATAGTTTCACACCATCCGCCTCCCATACTTGTTCTTGGACTTTGCCTTGTACACACGACCATAAGTTCCTGAGCTGATAAAGCCCAGAATATCGTATTTCGACGCAATCTTTTGCCGACAAGAGTCCCGCTTCTTCTTGTATTCCGTCATAGACATGACAGGTAATTCGTTCGGGTTCTCCATTTCGTGAATGTCAGCTTTGATGTCCGTTTGAGTTTGATGAGCAAAGTTTGAAGTTGAGTGGTCCGTTGGTTCTGCAACGCTGAATGAAGAAGGTCGAGGTCGTCCTGTTTTACGATGATGTTTTCTGTTCCTGAAAGTTGGAAGATGTGGGAATAGCCTGCCCAGCGGCTAACAAAAACTCAAAGCTGAAGCGGGCGTGACGGCTCGATGCGATCGTCGGCCCCAAGAGTGATCCCCCACAGGCACGCACAGCACGCCTTTTTTTATTTATATTTTACATATACTTCAGAACACAAGTATTCGGCAATGAAATAGCTGAGGTGTTTAAAAGGTGAATATTTATTTGCGTCAAATAAAAGAGTGTCAATCCTTATTTGCCCTTCCAGGGAGGTATGGAGAGGCGCTCTAACTCGTGGAATCTAAAAAAAAAGCGGGTGAGGGATGTATGTAAATATGTCGCGTCCAGAAGTCGGTCCTGTATGGTGCCGCGTCGCGCACAATGTCGTATAAGATGAGGGAGAGTGGTCGAGATGAAATCGAAGGTTCAAAAGGTGAAGGATGCTGTTAAGCGATTGTATGATGATTGTTGAAAATCCTGTATTTTTTCTTTTGGACGTGCTTTAACCAATGACGACCTTGTTGCCCTCCTCGAACGAGTAGGCAGGGATCTCAAGGTTCAATGGTGCGGGTCCCTTGCGGATACGGCCAGAGATATCGTAATGGGATCCGTGGCAAGGGCAGTACCATCCACCGTAGTCACCAGCCTCTCCAATTGGGACACATCCCAAGTGAGTGCAGACACCCAACATGACCAACCATTCGGGCTTCTGGACACGATCGGCATCGGTCTGGGGATCACGGAGCTCAGCGACGTTGATAGAATTGGCTTCTTCAATCTCGTCCTGAGTGCGGTGTCTGATGAAGACGGGCTTTCCACGCCACTTGATGGTAACGTTGCGACCCTCGGGGATGGTGCTGAGATCGACCTCGACCTTGGCCAAGGCCAAAACATCGGCAGAGGCAGACATGTTCGCCAAGAAGTCAGCGACGGTGGTCTTGGCTCCCATAACGGACAAGGCACCGGTGGTTCCGACCATGAAGTAGGAGAAGGCGCGGTTGGAGGTATCGCCAGATCCACTCTTGTACTTGTCGAAGTTGGGGATGTTGGTGGTCTCGTGGGCGGAGTTGTGGTTGAGACGGACCTGAGCGGCAAGTCCAGCAGGGGCTGATTATAGGGAATGCAGGCAAGCAATTGCGTTAGCACAGGCTCCATGAAGATAAGTCCTCCATCCTGCTGTCCTGTTGTACGATAATGTTTGCGGTCTATATAGGAGCTATAAAATCCGGGGCTATGTCGGAAAATACTCAGTGTTGACATTATTGCTGAGCTTCAGTTTCGGACCATGTCCAAATAGGGTCGTAGCAATACATAGCTCGAATAGAGTAGCCCTGGAAGTGTCGGAGAAGCCCTGTTTCTGCAATAATCCTGTCCGCATACTCAGGATCTTTGCTAGGTTGTGTTCCTCCGACGATTCTGACGAGCTGCAGTAGTAGATCGAGTACGAGCACCGGTCATTCACTGCTCCCGAAGCTCCAGACGTCCTTCGGAGAAAAAAACGTCCGAATCCATACATCTGAATGACCTCCGGGTGCACGCAAGACGCATCCTGTTACATTTCCGAAATCTGATCCAGTTAAGACAGCATAGCAACGTCTCCAGCAATGATTCGGATAACCATCCAGTGTTTCCAGGGGTCGTCCCCTACGTTGATGAAGCTCGGCGTAATACTCCGGTGTTCCCATACAGCCACGAGTGCATGAATCAAAGCTGGAAGTGGAAAAAATAAGAAGGTGTGGCGGACATACCGAGGACGTTGCGGACAGCAGCGGCACGGGTCGCGCGGTTCAAGGAGGCGGAAGCCAATCTGGCGGCAAGTGAGGCCATGGTGATGGATGGAGAATAGGGTGGAGTGGAGAGGAGGAAGGGTGGATCGCACTGCGATGATGCTTTGTTTGTACCGAAATCCGGTTCTAGGGTGTCATGTGATCTATAATACCCGATGGTTTTGGGGACGCGTCCGTTGCTGTGCTACCATTTCGAAGGCTCATACGAGATAGCCGTACCTCATCTGCCATTGCCGAGCGCGTTGCCTTTGTGATGAATCCGAGCCAACTGTTTACGCTAATGCCTTCATGGACAAACATATTTAAAGGCAAGTTATGGACTAGGAGGAGGTATTATATTTGTCTGGTTATTGGTCGAAGACCTCTTTTATTCGAGCGCTCGAGTGCGGAGGATCTTTCCTCGGATCCGATCAACATGTGGGTTGTAGAGGAAATTGGCGGCAGCTTTGAGCCGAACACGCGATTGACGAAGGCACGATATCGATGCAAAGTATGCTAGAGTGCAATACAAGCAGATAGAGGAGACGCCTCGACATGGTTCCCAGTCATGAAAGAAAAACGCGCTTGATGGACTAGTCCAAGACCATTGGTGAACGTGTGGAATGATGCAACGGCCTCCGATAGGTTGTTGAATAGGTTTTTGGATGCAGAACATCACCATGACATGGGATGTCGCACTGGACGGCACTGAGAGCTACACTAGTGTACAATCTCTTCTCCATTCCTCTTCTTATCATTTTATCTTCCCGTAGATGCTGTTTGACACAGCCATGATGAGACTCTGTGGGGTGTCAGAAGTGACGCGACCCCATGTCATTTCCCACGGCTTACGCACACCCAACACCGCGCACGTCCTTTTCTTCTCCCACGACCTCCGTCTTCCTCATTCCTCTTCATTCATCTCTTTCTCATTCCCATCCACCCAACCGCGTTCCTCATTTCACACCTCCCACTTCCTTGACAAAGCAACACCAACGAAAATGTCCACGACTACCAAACGCGTTGAATTGAAAGGCCTGACCTCCTTCCATACCCTGAACAACGATCATCATATCCCTCGTCTCGGACTCGGTGTCTACCAGGTCCCCGACGGAAAAGAAACCGAGGATGCCGTGCTCTGGGCACTGCAGGTATGTTGCATACTGATTCCTGTAGCCTCGGCGACAACTGCGCGTCCCAGTGCGCTAATAGTCGAATTGCAATTGTCATTTGTACATAGATGGGTTACCGCCATATCGACACCGCAACCATTTACGGCAACGAAAAGAGCGTCGGCAATGGCATCCGCAAAAGGTCAGTACACACATCCCCTCCACCGCACTCTTTCCCCTCAGCGCGCTATCCATCATGGCAAATGACTCACGCACCTATCCACGTCTTCTAAACAGCGGTATCCCCCGCGAGGAGATCTTCGTGACAACCAAACTCACCGAGGACGACCAGGGATACGACTCCGCCATTGCCGCTCTGAACCTTTCCCTCAAGAAGATGGGACTCGATTATGTCGGTATGGACAAAAGGAACATTGTTCAGTGTCGTATGCTTGAATCTTCGCACAGTTCAGGGCTCTGACTCCTCCGGTCTTTTTTTTTTTGTTTCCTGATAGATCTGTACCTGATTCACTCGCCTTTGCGTGGATCGGGACTGCGCAAGGAGTCCTGGAAGGCCCTCGAGACCTTGGTTGCACAAGGAAAGGCCAAAAGTATCGGTATGCATTCCACCCCGACTCTGTCTCCTGTGCATGCCTTTACTTCAAAATAACACCTCCAAGATTTACATGTACCAACATTCGCGCCTTCTTTTTTTTTTTGTTATAGGTGTCTCGAATTACGGAGTCTCCCACTTGAAAGAACTTCTCGCCACAAACCCAAAGATTCGTCCGGTCGTTAACCAAATCGAACTCCATCCCTGGCTGACTCGCCCTGAGATCATCTCCTTCTGTGAATCACACCAGATCGCTATCGAGGCCTACAGTCCTCTCTGCCAGGGTCTTAAACTCCAAGATCCCCGACTTGTGAAGATCGCGAAAAAGTATTCAAAGTCTCCAGCACAGGTCTTGATCCGCTGGAGTTTGCAGAAGGGGCACATTGTGATCCCAAAGAGTTCAAAGAAGGAGAGGATTGAACAGAACGCGGACGTGTTTGATTTCGAGATCTCAGTCGAGGACATGGACGTCTTGGACTCGATGAACGAGAACTTTATCTGTGGTAGGTTTTTCTAAAGATCTATTTTTTTTTTGGCTTGTGGCGCGATGTGGAGGAATAGGTAGATGAAAACAACACTAATGTCCATGCATCTTTTACACTCTTTGAACTGAAATAGAGTGGGATCCCACAACCGCACCCTGATCGCTAGACAGCCACAGCCGCTTCTAACGATCTGTTTTCTCCATCCAGCTGCAAGACGTGCGTTGAGCTCTTCCAATGGGCTTGATCCGCACGCACACTTTTCGCACCGTACATATATCACGTCTTCTCATTTCGTCTCTCTCTCCCTCCTCTCTTTGATCTCTTTCTTTTCTCTTTCTTGTATTTTGTCGAGAACTGTTCCTGGCAACGATGCCAGGTCCTTTCTGCATTAAAACCGTGAAACGCTGTTATGTATTTCAAAAAAGTCTTCCATGGATTGCTTAGTTTTTTTTTTGTATTGTCCTTTAATGTGTCAAAGAGTCCATTGATAATCCCGTTATTGGGTTTATTCGACGAGACATTTAAACGCTATATGAGAAACCAAGAGAAAAACAACGGATGACGATCGTTAGTAAAAGAATAGGGCCACAGTCGACTCATATGCTTCATCCATGCTATTTCCTGAAGCAATCGCAGAAACAGATCGTTGCACATACCGGGAGGGGTACATCATCTGCATCATTTCCCGAAATGAATAGGTTGACCAAAAGAGCGCGCACATAGAAACGATACCGAAAAATTAAATGTGATTATTAGTAAAAGACAACACCCTTCCAACAAGATCACCCACTGAACAGAACAACCGCAAAAAAAAGGAAGAGCGAGTTTGAAACGTACGACGCGGACAGAGGCACCGAAGGACTTGGCGGGCAAGTTGTTGCGGAAGCGGGCCTTGACGGCACCGGAGCCACCGTGGGCACGGGTGATACGGCCCCAGATGCAGCGGATCTTCGATCCGTTGACCTCACGCTTGGCGCGGTAGACAAAAGCAACACGCTTGCCGAGGTAGAAGTCGGTGTCGGCAGCAGTCTTCACACCCTCGATCTGGATGAGCGAGATGTCAGGGCGCTGGTTACGCTTAGCACGCTTGAATCCAAGAACACGACCTTTGGCGTAAAGACTAGAGAAAAGAAATAGGTAGGTGTTGGTAAAGATGGAAGCGGGAAAATGAGGGGTGATAAGTTAGACGGTTGTAACGAAAAGACGGTTGGAGACTGGCGTGGTGTGTGCACGTCTTCCGCCTCCTATGGTGATAGCGTTGTTCCTGGAAGTAAAAGAGATCCCTTTGGAGCTGCTGTAAAGAAAAGGTTCCTGACATTCGCTTTGAAGTGCGTTGATGTTGATGGCGATCGGATGGCAGCCAAAACTGTGCATAGCTTCTCTGTTTGAGAGTATTGGTCATCCCCCTCCTGGTGAGTTCCGTACAAAGTAACAGTTGTCACCGGAGACCATAGCTGTCCCTGGTTCTTTCAACTATCTCGCCAAGTATCACTCCTGGGTCGTCTTGTTTCGTTTTGCTGAACCCGTTGTAGGTGATCCTTCTCCAGAAAAAGCAGAGTCGATAATAGTCTCCCCATGGATCACGCCCAAAAGTCGTCGAAAGTAAGCTGATGTTGATGCAGATGCCAACAGCGTCCGTGCTATTCATTTCTTCAAAGTGACCTCTTTTAGAAACGTTGCCGCAGATGCTGTTGCCATCCGCTTTTGTGGGCAGCCTTCCTTTCCATGCAAGATTTGATGATGGGTATCCTCAAAAAATAAAGAGAAAAGCTGGAGCCCTGCTATAGCGATCTTTCACATCGGATGTCGAGCTTTATGGTTGCTGCAGTGCCGGTTTCCTGAATAGATGGGACGGATGGATAGATCGATGGCTGCTTCCGTAGGTCCTTGTGCTGCATCCATGTGGCGCCCTAATTCCCTGTATGTAGGCTGGTTCACTCTCACAGTCACGCACCGAGACATTGTGCTGGGTTAATTGAAGCTGAAGAGAGGGAGATTGTTTTCCAGAGCCCTGCAACCAAGTTATTCGGCCGTCTCAAGTTAAGGGTTACTCAATTAGCTCGAATGTAAGAAGTTGGTGGCAAAACGCGAAATCACTGCCTTGAGATTGACATTGATATCTTTTGGTTTTCATTATGATGGGTAGTAGACTATTAGGTGGTATAAAATATGATATAAATAGAGATTCCTGATCCCTCTCCCATTCTGTGGCCACTCCATCTTGCATTTGGTATCTTTTTTTTTTTTTTTTTTTTTTTTTGCCTTTGCCTTTGCCTTTGCCTTTGCTGCGCTTAGAAGCACAGGAATCCCTTCTTCTTCTGCATGGCCGCCTCGAGCTGTGTCTGGAGTCGATCCTGTGTTCGGATAGCATCGTCCTTCAACTGTTTCTCCTTCTGTACCTGTGTCTCCAACTGTGACTTCAGATCCTCCAGTCCCCGAACCTGGTTCTGTGCCTGGTCCAGACTCTTCCGGATTTCCTCCAACACCTGTGCCAGCTCGGTGTTCTCCTGCTTCAGTTTCTGCATCTCAAACTCCACGGACGGACCGCCCTGCTGTTTATTCGTCTGCTCCTTCTTGACCAACTCCGTCTCGAGTTCCTGGTTCTTTGACCGCGTCTTCGTGAGCTCGGCCTCAGCCTGCTCGAGCTTCAAGGCAAGTTCCTTCTGCGCTTCTTGCTGTTTGGCTACAGCAGCCGCGACAGCCGCCTCAGTCGCTGCAGCCGCATTGGCGGTCCTGCTGACAAGAGATTCCGACGAGACAGTGTGTGCCAACGACGACTTCTTGCGAGGACTCAGTGCATCATCCTGGGCTGGCGAGGAGGACCGAGGACTGGACGAGTCTCCGTTGTATTCTGGTGAAGTCGGAATTGGTGGCAGCGCAATAGTCGGTGGAGGCGTGTCTGGAGGATTGTTTAATAGGCTTGATCGCAACGTCTGCGAGCCGTTCCTGGACAACGCGGTACTTGACCGTGGCCTGACAGATATCGGTGGGGACGGGAACGCTTGGTGTTCGTCAACAGTCGGGGTAGATGGCAATGGACCTCGCTTCTCGAGCTCGGCAATCTTCTCCTCCAAGGACTTGATCAACTTGATCTGCTGAGCAGCCATCTCTGCCTGCTTCTCACGCTCAAGAGCCTCCTGCTGTCGCTTCTCTTCTGCTCCAGCAAGATCTGCCTCGTCTTCATCATCACCCTTCTTGCCAAAGTGAGCAGCCAGCAGTCCTGGAAGGAGATCGCTATTATTAGGAGAACCGAAAGGCGTAGCCGGGGCCGTGAGTGGAGGCGTCACCGGGAAAGCATCGACTCTCTTTTGCATTTCTTGCTCCTTTGTCAACAGCACTTTCTCCTTTTCTCGCAGGGAAGTTTCCTTCAAGGTCAGCTCCTCTTCCTTCGACTCGAGGGATTGTTGCTGCTTCAAGATCTCATCCTCGCGAATGCGTCTTTCCTCCTGAACCTTCTGCTCAATCTCCTCGCGCTCCAACCTCTCAAGTCGCTCGAGCTCATCCCTCTGGTCACGCTCCTCCTGGAGCTCAGCTTCATGCTTCGCCTGGGCACTCTTCAGCGCATCCTGTGCCTCGGTGGTCTTCTGGTTCGCAAGCGACAAGTCGCTGAGTAGCGACTGAATCCTATGCTCCAGTTTGCTAATCTCGCCCTCGAGCTCCTTCTCCTTGGCCCAGGGCTCATTCAAAGAGACATCGTTCAAGTTGAGGAGGTAGGCGTGGAGCTGAGACTCGTAGTCGTAGTCGTAATCATTGTCGCCCATTACTGTCGTTTCCGTACTATCACGGATGTGCGATGTCGTATCGGACAAGTGGGAGGGCCGTCCTTGGAGCTGCGACAAGAACTTGAGCATTGTTCGAACAGACACTATACCAGGCTCCGAAGAGGAATCGATACCTTTGGTCAATGGCTCCGCTGCTGGGACTTGGGGAGTATCGTCAGACTGCTTCGCAGGCTTGTCGCTGTCGATTTCAGCTGGAGTCGTCGGCGCCGCCGATGGTGACGCTGATGCCGATTTTTGCACTATGGCATTGCTGAGCTGCAAGTGATACTCCATATCCAATGTAAGCTGCTGGCTTCTCCTCTTGGTGTTGGCCTCCAGAATACCAGCGCGTTGCTGCTCGCCCTTGACGCCCTCGACCTGTCCATCAAGTTTCTCCTCCAAGTCGCGAATGGCCTGGAGCTGTTCCTGTTGCGATTGCTGCTGCTCAGCAGACCACTGGCTCAACGACATGTGCTTGCTGTTGATGGGGAGGCTATGTCGCAGGGCCTCGAGCTCCTCTCGAAGTGACTCTAGTGCTACGACGGCCTCGTCTCTCGACTTCCTGGCGGCATCCGCCTCCTCATAGATGGTGGCCAGTGTAGCCTGCAGGGAGCTTACAAGGCGGTTATGAGACTCCTCGAACTCGGTCATGTTCTGGCGAACCTGTACCACCTCTTGGTCCTTCTGTGCGAGGGCTTCGTTCAGTTCCGCGGTAACCTGGTTGATGCGTGCGTTCTCAGTAGATTGAGAGTCAGCCACCGAGGCCAAGGCAGAAGTGAGCCGATCGATATCAGCTTGCAGCTTCTCGATGATCTGTTCCTGCAGCTTGTGCTGTTCTAGCTCGGCCTTGAGAACCATGATCTCCTCCGAGCGTCTGTTCTTGAGCACCTTAAAACCGTCTGAAAGTGCCTCGTATTCAAGTTCGGCCTAGACGTGTGCAATGCTAATTAGTCATTTGCTACAAGGCATTTTCTTTTTCTTTTTCTGTAAAATGGGAATGTAGCCAGATAATATTTACCTTGCCCTTGAACTCCAATGCCTCTGCTTCGACAGTTGAAATCTTGGATTCCAGCTCCTCAATGAGGGCAGCTTGCATATCTCGGGTGTCCTCGAGACTTGTGATTTGCTCATTCAGCTCCTTGACCTTGGCCGGCTCAGTTTCAGTCAATTCTCGCTGAGCGCTGGCAGTCTCGCGATAGGGAGCCAACTCCTCAAGTTCTCCCTCTAGGCCCTGGATCTTTTCTTCGTATTCCAGGTTTTTTTTCTGGTTTTCCTCCAACTGCTGACGCAGATTTTTGATGTTCTGGTCAAGCGTCTGAATACGAGCAACACTCTCATCCCTACAAGACCAAAGTATCCAAGTCGTAATGTCAACATGCTGTCGCGTAGTACGCGTATAACATTGAAACAAACCCAATGGAATTACACACATACTTCAATCTTTCAAGGGCTCTAATCTTGGCGTCTTTTTCTTCTTGGCCTCTGCTGAGTTGTCGCTCGGCCTCGACGAGTTTTTGTCGCAGCTCTGCAAGTTCGCTCTCGTAAGCGCCCGACATGTCTATTCAAAACAATGTGCGTGAGCGTGAGCGTGTAGTAGATGCAAACACATGCAGACATGGCCGCACAGGTACATGTAACTGACAACAAGCATTATCCTATTTCGCATTTAGCCTGCATTGCATGCAGCACAAATGATCTGCAGCCTTGGAGTAAAGGACAAAATGCAAAATCCCGCATACCTTTAACATCTCCCAGCTCTGTCTCCCTCCTCTTGAGGACATTGCGAACCAGCTGAAGTTCAGTCTTCAAAGACATGACCGTGACCCGCTGAGCTTTAGCGTCAGACTCGGCCTTGCTCTTAACTTCTTTAGTCTTGACCAATTCCGCCTCCAGCCTCTTCAAGTCCTCCTGCACATCGCCCGAGCTGACAAACGCCGGTGAGGGTGGCACCTCGTCGTCTACACCTCTATTCGCATTTGCGGTAGCGATAGACCCATTGCCGTTGCTGTTCTTGAAGCTTGAGGGGAGTCGAGTGGGCATGGAGTTCTTGGATAGCAAGGCAGGGCGTGGTGTTGACCTGGGCAGAGTGCTGAAGGATCTCGACACCGTGGTTTGGTCTTGTCTCAAGAGTTCTTCAAACATCGAGTCTGGGTAGTCGCTCGGGTCGGGCGATTCACGACCAGAGGGACCTGGTGAACTTGAGGCCCTTGTGTGCTCGATCGTGTGCTCGTCGCTGTTGTTCTCGTTCTTGCCAGCAGCAAGCATAGTGATTCGGCGACTGATGTTGGACCCTGGATTAACACGAACCTTTTTGGCGCCGAACCTGTTGGTGGTCGAAGGTGTTACATTGCTTTCAGTTGAGATGCCAATAGCCTCTGAGTGAGTCGCTGTTGTGGGAGTGGTGGGAGTGGAGGGGGTAGGTGTGGTTGGGGTAGCGGTTGGAGTAACGTCTGAGGCGGACACAGGCTGTGGTTCAAGGTCGAGGTCGAGGTTGCTGTAGAAGGAAGAAAGGGCGGCAGAGGCAGACGGAGATGATGCCGCCTCTGGAAGGGATGTCGGGGGGACGGTCGTTATCCCATTGCTGACAGGAATTGGTGCTGCAACTGAAGGAAGGTCGTCAGCTGGAGTGTCAACGGAGGGACTGTCGATTTCTTTTGGCTTCTCGATATTCAAACTGAGTGTCTCTGCTCCAGCAGGAGCAGGGGCCAGAGCCACTGGTGACACCCTCTCTTCGATTTCTTGTGGCGGTGGTACCGCTTGAGGATGATTCTGCTCAAACGCCTCCGGATGGGTAAGCTCGCCCGAGATAATGGATGGGGTCTCCATCTGTTAATTTAGGTACGTTGAAGCTGGTACCTGGTCTTTCAAGTAAAAGTGATGGAAAGGATATTCAGGGGTAAAACCCAAGAACAGAATAAAAATATACAGTTATACAACTGATTATAGAACACAAAGACAGCGGGTAAAGGGGAAGAGAGGAGGAGGGATGAGGAGAAGGAGGAAGGAGGAGGGATGAGGAAGGAGGAAGGAGGGATGAGGATGGAGGATGGAGGATGGAAGAAAGAGGGTGAAGGATGGAGGATGGAGGAAGGGAAGGGATGAGGATGGAGATGAAGACGAAGGAAAGAAAAAGAGAATTGGCAAAAGAGAGACGAAAGAGAGCGAACGGTTAGTTGGGTTGAATTAGTTGGGCTGCCTGCATGCGATACTTTACTGGCCATAGACTAAACAGTTTGTCCCGCCATATAGAAAAGCAATGGTTGGAGTGGAAGTGAGCCTGGCAATGGTGGTGGGCATGCCCTTCTTTCTTCTCCGGTTGCTGACCGAATGGGTACTGCCATCATCCATCCATCCATCGAGGGTCGAGGAAGGAGGAGAGAGCAGTAGATGGGGCAATAGGGAGTTCCCCTTCTTTTTCATTCTTCCCAGCTCTCTTTCGTTTTCATTCCTCGATAACCGTTTGATCCTCCCTTTTTCACCCTCAATGGTCAAGGCAAAGGGCCATTCACCAACAAAAACCCAAAAGAAAAAAAAAGGATGGGAGCAACAATAACAAGGTTTTCTTTTGCAGCAGTGACCTGCCTAAACAGTTCCCTCCTCCATTTCCCAACCATGGTCCACTACCGCGAGTCGTGCATGCTCTGCGGGGCTCTTGTTGTTTTGTCTTTACTCTTGCTCACTCTCACTTTGTCTAGTGGGTAATTTGACTAGACTAAAAAAATGAGTGCCATTTATAAAGGAATCCGCCTGATATATTATTGTTGCGACCATTGATCAGTGAAATGACAGCTCATTATTCAACCAAACGAGGGGACCAGGGCCATGTTCTCAAAAAGGTTTTCTGTGTACAGTTCACGACCTCAAAAAAATAGTCCGATGAACACAGGCTTGCGCGTGGATGTGGGGGATATGTAGCACAATGAAGAACAACCATAGCAAGCGGAATGGGTAATGGACAATGAACATAACACAGCGGCTTTAGCATGTCATTTAGCTCGAAGATAACTCACACCTACCTGCTTGTCTTCAGTCAAAAAAAAAAGATACAGGAAAAGAATCGTTATAATGCTTGCTAATGCGGACCAAATAAATAAAAAGAAGAAAAGAGCTGGACTGTTGAGATGAGGAAGGACCGAGAGCCAGGAATGGATGAGTGAGATTATTATAACGGCTCCAGAAAGAGAAGAAAGCGAAAGCAAGGAGCGAATGAAGAAAATAAATAAGCGAATGAGAGCTATTCATTCGTAATCCAAAGTGTGATATCTTGTTACTTCGTCCTTTACTTTTTAGCTGTCTGAATGTAGTTCAGCCAGCATCGCATCAAGCAGTCTGAGGACCGGGCCAAACAAACACAAGACCCTTGCCCCTTTGGCAATTGGCGTTACTCCTTTTGCACCACCCCTGGCTGAAGGCGGAAATAGTCTTCATGCTGCCCCCTGTCATCTGCAGGCTACGGCAACAACTAACGACGCAATGAAAAGCACGCGGGCATTGGTACAAAACAAAGGGCGAAACCATTCAGCGAACGATTCCGATGTCCCTGTTGTTTGCCCCTTCATCCAATATGGGTCCCAAACCTCCTCCCCTGTTTCTTTCTGCTCAGGGCAAAATGGGGGAGGAAGGCACGGTTTCTCTCTCCATGAGTTTCCTTGTTGCCGGCGTGTTCCAACCTCCTGTAGGATGCAACGAGTGCTTTACATTGCATGTCATGACATGATGGCGGAACGGTTGTATCTATCCCTGGAGCCATTTGCCCACACTCTGTCCTGCTCAACTTGTCTTACCCTGATCGAATATTATATTTTGGTGGTACCGTCGTCGTCGTCCATCACTGTAAAACCCTGAGAGCGGTTATTTTCCGCAATAAACCGCTCATGAAAGAACCCTAAGAGCCATCCTGGTACACGCAATCAGGAAACGATCAAAAGAGAAAAAGAGAATAAAAGAAATTGTCCCGACTTCTATTGGCTACGTTTGCATAACGCTATGCTGAGAACGAAGCGCCATTGTTGTTATGGAGTATTATAGCCACTTGGTCTCGATCTCTCAGATGGTACTTCTTAACGATCCACCAGACGTTTAAACAGAGCAGGCGCTCGACGAAACCGAAATATGGATGACTTTGGATAAATATGTACTTTATTATATAGGCGCTATCGGACTCTCTTTGGATCTCCTTTAGGGGCAGCGAGGCGGGTCTGCCAAATGTGTGTTCTGTGCATTTGTTCTCTTTCGGCAGCTCGCATTGCTTATTGCTTGTCGTTTACCAATCCTTTTTGATGTCGAAAGACTAGAAATAGATACCATGCAGAAAAAAGCGAATAAGATTTAGCATTCCAACCACCGTTCTGCCTCTAACATTTTTTTTTTTAAACCACGAACTTTTTTTTTTTGTTCGTTCTGGCATCTTCCCGTTATCACCGGAGGAAAAAAAAATAAAAACAGCAAACCCGACGTACCCAGTTCCACTCCTTGTGAACAGTGCCATCATCATCAACGAACATGGATCTGGCTTCATAGTGTCCACGTGCGACCATACCGCTTGGTGCCTCCTCGACAGCGAACTAGTGTTTATCAAAAGTGAAAGGTCGTAGCAAGTTAGTTGATGAAATTGAGCATTGAAGGACATTTAGTATAGTCAATGATACTTGCCTTCTTCTCAATGATGTCGGGCTTGGCAGCATAGCTTCCGATCATCTCCTCAGACTTATCGACTGTTGATTCCAGATGGAGAACGCGTAGTGTTAGCATGTAAAGAAAGAAAACCATAAAGGTACTATTGCTCTTCCTCGCAATGCTCAAGAATATGAAAGCTACTTGCCTCGGACTCCCATACGCTTGACGACCTGTCTGTACTTGAGGCCAGAGACCAATGAGTGCTGAACCCTAATTGTTCAGATAGAGTATAGAGCGAGAGAAAAACCGCAATTAGAATCGAACAGTAAAGGCCAGAAATGCAGAGGGGAGGAGATTGATGGTCTAAGACATAAGATGATGAGGGGAAACGTACTTGAAAAGAACCTTGAGACGGTACTCAACACCCTCCTTGATCGTGAAGGAATGTTTCTTGAGTTCCTCAGCTACAAACGAGCATGATAAGGGGACGATAATGGAGTTCAATTAGTTATTCAATTAGGGCTTTTCGACACGACACTAGATGCATGCCTGAAAGTGTCCGTATTTCCGTGATGAAGTCAAAGGAGAAAAGCGCCCTACCAGTCTGAGTAAGATCCAGAACGACGTCTGGACGACCAGCAACCTCGAGTATCAATTGGAGGACGACAACGTTGTGGGGATCATCGCCGGAAGCAGCTAGTTTGACAGGTGTTCAAGAGAAATCGAGAAAGTGTGAGAAAAAAAACAAGGCCAACTTCAAAACGCGCGCATCAACAAGATGAGAAGCAGAGGAATGAAAACGCGTTTTGTGAAGAGGGCTTACCGGCGCTGGAGACACCGAGGGACTCTTTCCAGCGGCGAAGAGCCTCGTCGTCAGCATCCAGGGTCTGGTATTCGTCCATGGTCTTCTTCTGGCCGGGCTTGTAGCCGTTGGACACGGAGGGACCAAAGTCCTCATCGTCGATTGGCTGTTGGTTAGACATGGCTTTTGAATGTAAGAAAGGTAGAGTAAAGAGTGCGGGGCGGAGGTGTGGGTGTGAAGCTGTGAAGAAGAGAAAAGAAGAAAAAGAAGGACAAGAAAAGGAGAGGATAAAAGAGATGATGATGATGATGAGAGTGATGATGACTGTTGGAGGGAAGGGGTATGGGTGCTGATGAACCTGGACCAACCAGCGGACGACTTCCCTTTGGCCAGTTCCCGCTGCCCCCTTCAACAGCACACTGCACCGCACCGCACGAAAAATGCCCACATGTGCCGAGAAAGAAGAGTACGTGCCTCCCTGACTGGCTGACTAGCTCAAGGCGCCCCAATTGGCCAGTACACGCAACAGACACACGTCCGTCCGCCCGTATGCCCATACGCATGGGGCACGGCGACCGAAACCATGTCCCAGGGCTATGATAATACACATAAACAGCCCGAGAGAAAGGGAAGGAAAGGATCCCATGAAGGAGGATCATCCCTTTCTCTCGCTGATGCCCAATCAGCAGGCGTGATTGTGTGTGGTGTATATGATGTGTGCTCATCGCTCTTCGTTTCCTTTTGAGGGTTGGTCGCACCAGCCAGTTGGCTGCTGTAGTCAAGCGTGTCTAGTGGTGGCCCTCTCTCACCCATCAACGAACGACGCTGTTTCTCTTCCTCAATTCCACTCGCCCTCAGAAGAACCATCCCCTCATCTCACTCTCTTCTTCCTCTACTTCTTTGTCTGCCAATCCTCGTTCTCTTTGACTCCAACACCTCTTTTTTTCTCCTTCTCTTCCTTGCAGTCTTGACCTCACACCTCCCCTCTCTCTACCTCTCTCTTTCTCTCCCTCTCTCTCCCTCTCTCTCTCTCTCTCTCTCTCTCTCTCTCTCTCTCTCTCTCGCTTTCTCATTGTTATACCCCTACACAAGCAAGCCATGGCAACCTATGGTAATAAAGATAAGGAAGACCTCGTCTTGCCAGCTCACAGGAGCACTATACACCACATTCAATCTCTTTTATTTTATTTTATCCGCATAACACTCATCTTTCTCTGCAAATAAAGAACACTCGCAAATGCCTTGTTATCTCTCTTTGACAACTTGGTTTTGATCGAATGGACCTCCTTGTGCCGAAAAAAAAGAGTACTCCCTCCCCTCCCCTTTCTCCAGGGACCTCTTCTCCCGCCCATCTTTGTACATCTATCGACCCTCCCTTTTTATTGCCATGCGCTGCTTTGCTACCCGTCTCGTCCTTCCTCGGTCAAAATGATATATGCATGAGCCGGGGACAAAACATGCAGGAATGGACATATCCTTCCTGGAATGGGAATGGGGGCCGGGCCCCATTGCCGACTCGTTTTCCTTTATCTCTCCCTCTCTCTTTTTTCTTTTCGTCTCTTGTTTTGCATTGGTATGAGCCATTGGCTATCTATTCTATTGATGCCAAATGCCCGATCTATTCTAACCAGTTCTTCCTCCCTCACTCCCTTTTTTTGTGTATGCGTGTATGCGTGGATGGCTGTCGACTTTAGATTTCTTGCTAAAGTTCCTCATCACTGGCGATTCAGGCACTGGAAAGTACGTATTGCGTGGGTCATCAATCACGAACTGCGCTGGACTGGACGGAGCTGAACTGGACTGGATTGGACCCGAGAGATTACGAGGACAGGACTTAACAGGACAGGGCGCGGGGAGAACACACATGTAGTAATCATGATTGTGAGTGTGGAGAGAGCAAACAAACATTTGCTTACACAGTGCAGACACGGACTACAAGCACAGACTCCGCAACACACCATGTGCGCAACAAATCACATCACGGGGAGGGGAAGCAGAGAGAACAGGGGAGCTCACACACAGACTAAATACGGTTCTTTTTGTGGTTGTTCAATAGATCATGCCTACTCCATCAGTTTGTGGAAAACAAATGTGAGTCAGTCTATCATCTCACGCGGAAGTTTACAGCGAGGGCAGCGCAAAACTATAGACGAGATCTTGATTTGCTGACCTTCCATCCTAATCCTATTTCAATGTTCAACCGGCTAGTCAAAGAGGGCGCGACTCATACCATCGGGGTTGAGTTTGGGAGCAGGATTGTCACCATTGGAAAGAATCAGGTCAAGCTGCAAATTGTAAAGTCATCGTCAATCATCGACCGTTGTCTGAGCCTGTTCAATCTGTTGTTCTTCCCACTGTAGCCTGATCACGCCTTTGCTAACCCTGTCTTACGGCTGAATTTGTTACCTCGATAGTGGGACACGTAAGACTTCAACATCTCTAGAATCGGGAAAGGATGGCTTCCCTTTTTTTATGAGCGCCCCGGGGGAGGTTTCAGGCACTCAAACTAACATCGAAATCTTGTCTTTTGTTCACGCTTCGTGGATGCAAAGTGCTGGACAGGAGCGCTTTAGGTACTATATCCCACTTCGGACTGGACTCGACCTACCACGATGTATTTTTCTTACAAATTGTTGGCGCATCAACTCATCAACTCGTCCTGTTTTTTTCCTCTCTCTCTACTAGGTCAGTAACGAGGAGTTATTACAGAGGCGCTGCGGGAGCTCTCTTGGTGTACGATATCTCAAAGTAAGCTTTTGGCGCGCGCTAGTGAGGAGAGTGGGCAGGTGTTGAACACAAGGTGGACTTTGAATCTTAACTTTTTCGTGCCTGCATTCCTTCCTCTTTTGTGCGTCCCATGGGAACAATACAATGACATAGTCGTAACACGTTTATGAGCATCTCAAAATGGATTGCAGACGCACGGAAACTGGCAGGAGCGGACATTGCATTGATGTTGGTTGGGAATAAGCTGGATCTGGAGGATCGAGAAGTATCCTATTTGGAAGCAAGTCGGTTTGCGCAGGAAAACGGTAATAGCCTACGCAGGAGCAAGTACTTGAACAAAACAAGAGTTGACTGAGATCGCAACCGACTAACCATCACTCGATGCTTTTTTTGACACTGTGTTAGAAATGACTTTTTTGGAGACGAGTGCATTGACGGGTGAAGGTGTAGAGGAGACGTTTTTGAAGTGTGGTCGAGCAATATTGACAAAGATCGAAACAGGCCAAGTAGATCCGGAGAGACCTGGATCGGGTATTCAATATGGAGATTCATCGTTACGGAGGATAGCTCAAAAGAGTCGACCTGTACGCCAGAAAAGTCTTTGCTGTTAGAAGTAAGCGGCGTATTTTTTGATCCTAGTTGGCACACCATCAAACTGCTTTTTTTTTTTTTTTTTTTTTCTTTCTTGGTTGCATAAAGACAGAAGCGACAACTCGACTCACGCTTGTTGTTGGTAATAGAAATAATAATGGAACAAATGGCAGGAAAGGCACCGTTCATTTTGTGAGATTCATCGGCATGGTTCGCACTATTTATACAAGTCATGGATGTTCATCATGACAACCAAGTAAACTGCTTGGTGGCGTGATTGTATCGCATCTGGTCCATTGCTTTGGGACTTATATATGGCGACGGTGATGTAGTGCTTTCTGAGGTGAGTTCCCGAGCTGCCAAAAGCGGTCGCAGGTTCAAGCCAAAGGAGCGTGGGTCACTTGCTGCCACGTAGGTGTATCCTGTAGATTGACGGTATTGATTGGCAAAGATGTTACAGAGCTCCCTCGTGGACGTAGGGAGGAGTGTGCCATGGATATCAACTCTGAACTCGCGCTGCATCTTATCAGTTCCTTCGATATGCTTGCTAACGACCCTGCACTTGGAGATCTGTGAACAAACAGGTGTGTTGTGAAATGAAGTGGGATTAGAACCAATATGGTGATCTGGCTTGATACAGCGAAGAAATTACTGTTGTTTTTGTACCTGCGCCCGCTTGAGTGCACCATGAAGGAAGGGGACGTCGGCGATGAGAGTGGGAGATTGATAGAGGAAGCCGTCTTCGTAGGATGTTTTCAAGTTCAAAAGGTATCCAAAGAGTCCGTGAACGCTCACTAATCCCTTGAACAAGAGGGCATCCGACAGATCTCGATCGTCCATTTGAGATGCTGTTGCTGTGGTCACATTGGGTTCTTTCCTACAAGATAGAAGAACAATGCACAGCGTTAGTTGCGGAAAGCGGAAAGACGATCATACGATGGTCTAACGTGCCGAACATAGAGAAGCAGTGCATGTACGTTGTATCCGGATCATTGTCATCGAAGTTTTCCAGATCTCGTTTCGAGCTCAAGTTATGAATCGTCGTTTTGCGAGTAACATCCGGCAATCTCTCGAACTTGATGTCTATTCATCAAAAAGAAAGACCATATAAGCAAACACGTTGAACTGTTTGGCAATGCCGCAGTCCAATATTTCGTCCGCATTACGGAATATACAGCTCCTCTACCTTCTTCCTGCAGTACTTTTCGTAGTCCAGGGGTCGAGTTCGTCAGGATGGCCTCGAGGTCGCCTGATAGAGATGTGGTTCCATGCAAAAAAAGAATCGTCCATGTAGTGCCGACGTAATAAAAATACGGGCATGCTCCGTTGCGAAAAGATTGGTACAGTGCTTTGAACGCTTGCTTCCTACGTCCAGTGGATGAAGAAGCGAAAAGTAGAACCGTTAACAAGAAGTCGCGGAGCCCATAAATCTTGAATCAAAATACCAGTCCATCCGATGCTACATACCATTCTGTGGATCTTGAGAACATATCTGAAATGCCGTTCTTCTCGCCTGATGACATATTGCCTGTATTTTTGAGTAGCTTGCTGATACTCTGGGCCTGAGGTATAGTTGGATTGTTGGGTGGGTAGATCCAGTGGTATGTTGCTGCCAAGAGTAGTACTCGTGTAGGTGTGGTATTGTCATTGCCTCGTTCAGAACCACTCTTGTTACTGCTGCTGGTGTTGTTGGTCTGTAAGGACCGGGGTTTAGAGACAAAATGATGTAGTGCCTTGATTTCATCTATGGGCGAGCCCTGATCGCACCATGCAAGGGTGTCCGGTGAAGATATGGAAATTGAGGTCCTGAGGGTCCAGTCCAGCGGTATGCTATATGATGACTGAAAGTGCAGTGAGGCATGAGCGAGTCGGACACTATCTTTCCTAGGTAAGAAAGTGTCATTGAGACGTTGCCAAGAGAGAGCGTACCTTGTACTCTGTTCCTTGTTTTTTTGAAGTGATACTTGATAATTCCGGTGCTTATAACACAATACGCACGCATACAAATATATATATATATATAAAATGCTGTAAGAAACATAGCGACTGGTTTGAGTGGTGTTTGGAAGGCGTAAGCAGAATGACGAGGCTGTAGATGTACCTTGCAGTTCTTGGGTGGTCTGCGCGTTCTTCTTGCTCTACAAAGTTTCAAGGGCAAGGCAGGGCATCAGTTCGATGAGCTATGTAACTACTCAAAAGCTCCGGTTCATCCTCTTAGGAGCCCACTCACAGCCGATTTCTCTAATGCTTCTTGTAGGCGTGGTCTTGCAGGGTACAAAGAGAGGTGATCAAGTTGTTCAATGTTTGCTGCAGAGTCGGACCGCTCGATGTCTGCTGGCTCATCTTCGTCGATTTCTTCCTCGAGATCCTCATCGCCTTCCTCTTGCAGTGGCGTGTTTAAAGTTCCTGAAGTTACTGTCGCTGGCTGAGAGTAGGAAAACATTTGCAGGGTCCTGTTGGGATCCAAGGCCAGGTCTTCCTAGATCACATATCAGATTTGTATGTCAAAATTGGTGGCAAAATTTTTGTGCCCCTTACTCCACAGACCCACAAAAATTATTCCGAGAACGAAGGGGCATTTGAAGGCCATACCTCGGACTCTTCCACTTTGTTACTCTGCTGGACTATATCGATTGCGAAAGTAGAAGTCGAGGCGCTGGCTGCAGTGAGCTTTTCGAATGGATTCCTAACGTTCTTTCGGGACGGGTTGACAACCTGGAAGGGACTTGACATGGTCCTGGTGAAGCTGGCGCGTTTGCTGAAGGGTGGACCTCCCTCTGTACCCTCCTCGCCTCCCTGGCCGCCACGTGTCTGGGTGGTCTGAAATGAACGCGCGCGTGTGAATGGCGAGGATCGCTTCGTAGGGATCATGGTGTGGGCTGATGGGGTTGATTCAGGATGGATTCAACGAATAAAGAGCAGACTGAAGAAGCTGTGTACATCACGTGCGGGGTAGTCGTTGGTCTTCCCAATAACTTTGTTTCCGCCAGTAATTCATCGCAAACTGCATGGCACTTTGAGCTGCTTTGCTCCGTTGTGGTTCATTTCATCAATTCATCAATTCATCAATTACTTCTTCTTCTTTCACCACACCTCCCTTGCCATCACTGATCACTGTGATCGGCACCATAATACTACAATTCTCCTCCACCTTTTTTCCCTACCTTCATCCACCTCTTATCCTCACTCTTCTCCATCCCACCCGTCCTCCTTTTACGTCTTGCGCCATGACTGGCCCTTCTCCCGCACCTTCCTCGTCGGTTTCGCCCATCACTCTCCATGTCAAGACTATCGAATCGCACACCCACACTGTAACTGTCCCCATCTCCGAAACGGTGCTTCAGCTCAAGGAGCGTCTTGCAGTCATGCTCGAGGTGCCAAGCCCCCGACAGCGACTGATCTTTCGGGGCCGGGTCATGGTCGACAACAACCCGCTTACAGAGTATTGTATGTTTCTCTTTTGTGATGCACAGGCGAGGATACTCCCTCCCCCTTGTTACTGGGCCGCGTTGACTTGACTTGTTTGGTAGCCGTTCGCCTGTCCATCCCTACGCTGCAGCGAGAGAATTCGAAATCCCTCAAGCGACGGAGCTTTGTTATTTCTCATTATTCATATTTTTTCCCCCCAACTCGGCCCCATTTGATCCGCTCAACAGACTTGTGTCTCAACAAAGCAATGACCAGGAACTCGGTTGACTAATCATTTTCTGTCGAAACCCTTTGTGTGAATCGACGCCTAAACCTTTTTATATCTCCCACCGGCAACTCTTTATCCGCGCGCGCTCACATACAATGTTCTCTGTGTCTTGTTGTTGCACACACTTTGTCATCTCTGTTTGACAAAAACAGCACTACAGGACGGGCACACGATTCACCTTGTCACTCGGCCAGCCGATGCGCCAGCGAACCAACGCAATGGTAAATAGCCCAAGCATAACACCTGCTCGCGTTATTCGTTTTTTCCAATGTTCTCGGAAGGTCTTTTGGAGTCCTGACAGAAAGACCTTTCCTGATGCTACATAGATGCACCACACGCCAGAACAGGAGCTACTTCGGATACAGGGCCTCTTCGATTCGACACACGAGATTATGTATTCAGCATCATCGGCGTAGATGATTCTCTGGACCCACAAAATGTACGATCATCAGGCAATTTATGCGCGTGTGGTGTTGATTTGGCATGTGCTCAGCTCTCGTGGTTATCAATCGGGCCAGATCTTGAGCAATAGTCCACTGGCAGAATTGCCACCATCGTTAATCTGGCTCCAACTGGGTAGCCAGGAGTCGGACTGAAGCTAATGTTCAAAGAGTCGGGCGATGTTATCCATTCGTATGAAGGTCACTGATCATCGCGTTCTGCACACACATCCAACAGATCATGCAGGCGATCGCCGGAGGCCTTCCCTCGGATATGAACTTTGATGGGGCAGCGGCCTTTGTCGGAACACCCTCAGCTGTTACTTATCAACACCAGCCACCGCCATCCAATGCTCCTGGATCAACACCTAGTACCGGAATCAATAGCGCTCGTCCGGCTGGATTCCCGCGTGGATCGGTCATGCGTGGTATACCTCTTCCTGCGCTCGCTCGTGGCTCTGGAATGACCACAGTCTCTCTTGGCCTGCTACCTTCAATAATGGCTCATGCGCGCGCTTCGGCTCAGAGTGTCAATGCAATGGAAGCAGCAATAGCGGCGGCGGTAGACCCTAATTCTAGAGCCGATGATACATCACCAGCTTCAGCTCCACCACCTTCAACTTCGCGTTTGGCCTCCCGCACAGCCCCAGCAACCAGTTCAGCCTCGTCTACTTCACCAAGCACTCCTCAACCTGGAGCAGGACCAGTAGGCCAGATGGTTCTTGGACCCAATGGCAGTCTGTCATATACGATCCAGAATCCACCAAGACCGCCACCAAGAAGTAGCAGTTCCTTTCAATCATATGCCGCCGCTGCAGCGGCAGCTGCCAACCCATTTGCCTCCCACCACGACCCGACTGCATCTGCCCGTTTTTTGATCCCAGCAGACTACGCAGGAGCTGGATTCGTGGACTTTTGGCGAAATCTATCAGGACAGCTGTCCCCTTCTACCGATTCTGCGAGCACTTCCAATTCATCTCCTGCTGCTCAGGCATCTGCTCGATCAGCTGAGGTTGCGACGAGCACTACACATGATGCCACTGAACAATCAGACCAAGCCACAAGTTCGTCATCTTTGAGGAGAAGAGAGAGGCCTGAGGACTTTTTGAGCGGAGTCGATGACAGAGTGTCGTCAAGAAGACGCCTCGCTGCTCAGCAATCGTCTTCTGCAGCGAACTTAGGAAACCGACTGCGTCAAGAACTGGATCGATTGATTGCGACAGGACTTCCAGAAACTATGGTGGCGACGCCTCAAGTATCTGCTTCAGCCTCCCGTCCCGTCACTGGCGCCACCCCATCATCAGCACGCACTCAACTTCCCTCACGACCTGCCATTACCCGTTCTTCTTCCAATGATACGAGGCGGGCACAAACAGCGGATTCATCCCCAACGGCGTCGAGTCCATCTCCGAGCAGCCCATCCATGCCATCTTCATCCACCAACAACAGCACTAACAACAGCTCTTCAAATCCCTCGCCAGCATATAATTTGGGCCGCATTGGAGTGTTTATCTCAGCTATCTTGAGAATGGTGGATCAACCGAGAGAGGACGGATCTCCTAGGACACTTGCAGATGTCATTTGCAATGACCCTGAATCGCCCAGCACGCCCTTGCAGGAATTAGTCAGGAACGTTGCAGAATCAATTACTATCAGAGAAACGAGATCTATTGCTGAGGGCCACCCGATGCCGATGCGCAATATTCATCCGGTTTTAAACGCGTTTATTCGCGAGCGTGCTCTGCACGGACAGCAGCTGACGGAGAGTAATTTGGATGTAAGTTGAGCTCTTGGCTCTGAGCTGCACCGTGTCAAACTCATCGTACGTTGGAATTGTGTGCTGATGTTTCATCTGCTTGTTGAATTTTAGTCGGTGGCAGTGATGTTTGCTCATGGAATCATGAATGCAGTACACGTGGAGGAGATTTTGGAGACATTGACACCTTCGGCTAGCATTCAGATCACCAGTGCAGATATTCGTCGCATCTCGCTGGACGTGCTTCGGGAGCACTTTCGACGACTGATCTATCTCGTTGTTGCAGCCCCATCGGGACGAGAGAACAACTGGCCGACGTTTGCAAGAGATTTGGTACTCTGGATCCGAGACGTGGTTGGGTCCTGGAGAGTGGCATTCTATGGTCTCTTCCCGGAACGTGATCAAGCAGAGGCGCAGAGGGTAGCGACTCATGTTGTGGGATCGGCGATTCACGCGAATGGACGTCGGTGGGTCGAGCTGTCGAATCGCGCTACGAACACTCTGGTCAATGTGCTCTGTGCGAACATTGTACCTAGACGTAGGGGCGAAGAACAAGGAGGACTTGTGGGAGGAGCTTGGCCATTGATGGCGACGGCACCTCGACAGAATGTTTCGCGGTCGAGAAGTTGTATGGCTCCTTCGTTGCTTGGATCAACTGCGCCTCCGGCGCCTCTTGGACCAGCGGCTAGTACAGCGAATAATGCGAGGGCAATCGCAAGCACTTCATTCTCGGATGCTCCTTCTGCATCTGCGTCTGCGTCTGCGTCTTCGAGGAATGCTGCTGCAGGGGAAGGGTTGGCACAGTCAATTGAGACGGACACGCTGTCACGGAATTTGACGAGGCGGATTTTAAGTATGATGGAACCTTTGGGCGTGAATGTGGGTGGGATGGAAGGTCTGGCAGCTGCGTCTATTCAGGACGCTGTGCGGGCAGAACTCGCGGCCTTACGGTCTTCTTCTTCTGCAACTGGCTCCTCGGCATCTTTAGACGGTCCGACTGAAAGCGGTACAGCTTCGACTGCTCAAGCGGGTGCTTCAGATACAATTACCAGCTCCAGTTCTGACTCCGCCTCTGTTACGAGCCCCTGCACTACGGAGCCTGAAGAGAAGAGCGAAGAGAGTGAGGAAAAGATGCCCCAGGAAGAGCCTAAGAACATCCGCAGGACTCGTGTGGAAGATGTAAACGATGAGGAGGATGTGCTCTAGACCCTTTGTTGGGAGGAAGGAGGGAAGCGTTCGATTTGATTTCTATTCACCAATACTCCTATTAAGAATTGATCCATGTGTACATGTACATGTAATAAAAATTGACGCACAAGGCGTCAAAAATTCACAAACTGGGTATGGAGAATGCAAGATATAAAAGAGTAGAGAGGTTGCTCCATACCCTCATTATTCCTGCGATACTCCACATTCCATACAAAAAGTCATCAAAACCCACATCCTTTCCATCAACACCAACACACTTTCTGTAATATTTCCTGCTCAATCCCCTCTATACCTTCAAAGCGCGCCAAACTTATCTGATGTCCTCACCAATCAAACCTCCCAGCGAACTCAGCTGTTTCTTCTAATGTCATTCAATCAGCCTCGGCCTCTTCTGCCTCGGTTACGAATCCCGTCAGTCAGCCTTTTCCATGTCAAAAACAATACTTATCGGCTACGATCCTCCTCTCTCCACGGCTCCTCTCAGCACATCGATAAGTCGTCCGATGAGAACAAGGAGAGTTTTCCTCCAGGCACTCCTCTTCACCACGATCCTGCCATTAATGACGGAATTGTTTCCGCCCTGTCGTCTATTCCTTCTTGGCTTGAAGAGGATATTTCAAGAGTGGCCAATCCAACTCCTTCTACATCCGACACTCACAATCGCATCGTGATGCCTGTGATTCGTGGACGGTCTCTCTCCCCGAAAGCGTTGTCGAAACGTTCAAGATCAACTTCGCCTGAGTCGGACAAAGACAACAAGATGAGACGCTTTAATTCTTTCAGAGAGGTGATTGAAGGGAAGCCCAAGTTGCTCGCATTCAACTGTCCTATTCTTCCGTCACCACCAGCACTTTTTACCAGCACCATCAACCCACAACTGGAAAAAGAGAAAGCTCTGGAATTTGTTACGAATGCCGTCGGTCAGCCTTACCATGACAAAGTCAAGACTTCTCTGCCGCTCTCCTCCGCTTCCCATGATGGCTCTCAGGACCTCGATACATCTTCTGATAACACGGCCACTCCAACTTCTGGATCGAAGCGAAAAGTTTCATTTCAAGCACCGTCTAATCCGCCGAAACTAAGAAGACATGACGCTGCCTATGACCTAAAAGCTGAGATGTACGATCCCTTTCTGAAAAGTGTGGAAAGTTGCAAAAGCTGGGGAATCGAAAAAGGTTATTTATTAGGTGCAGATCACGATGAGTCTACAATAGGTGGAGTTAAAAAAAGGGTTCGCGTTTAGTCGACGAGCTTACTGCTAAAAGACTGGATCTTCGTTGCGAGGTGCTTCATAGAGTAGTGATTGGCAAAATTCACATTAACGCTATTCCATCCTGCGACCAGATGAAGGAAAGTTTCGAAATTTCTGCCGCCATACACTGTTTGAACAAATTGATAGGAGGTTTAGACAGAGACGAGAAGCACCTCCAAAAAAATACACAGGATGTTCCTGAAGGAGAGATTTAGTCCAAATGACAGATCATTTCTATCTTTGGTTCATTTTTAATTTTTGGTTCCACAAGAAAGTCTAATAAAAATTTAAGCTCAAAAGATTCATTCCTTACGCATTGGAAAATAACGCGTCCCGGCACACTGTGGTACTGTGACAAACTTCATTTATTCTTGATCCATGCAAAACCTCATCTTCTTCCGGAGCTCTGCTTCTACATCTTCGTCACAATACGCTCTTTCCCTATTGCTACCATCGACCTCGTTGCTTGAGTCGCCAGAGTCACCATCATCTTTTGAATCAGATGAATCATCGTCACTGTCAGATTCCCATCCGGCGACAATATCAGGGTCCAAAAAATCACTGTAAGATCCATGCTCAACACGTCTCCTCTTCCCCTTATTTCGCTTCGAGACAATAACAGCACCAACTTCTGAACCCGTGCTATCGCATTCAATGCTATCGCTTCCAAGACTGTCGCTGTCGTAATACCTTTTCTTGTCTTCGCGAAAAGTAAACCGATCGTTCTCTTGTTGGTCCAACAGGTTATTGTCATTGGTACTTTGTCTTCCTCCTGAACTGCATCCGTTAGCCTCTTCAAACTCTGGCGTGTTCTTCTCATCAATGGACAAAAACAAACCACTTTCATCATGTTGCTCAACCTTGTCCTCCTTTTCTTCCCACCATGTGTAGTCATTGACCGACTGTTCTCCGCCACTCTCTAGATCAACAGTTGAAGATCTCTGAAATAAAGACCTATTGCCGGAAGTTGGAATCGCCTGTCCACTTCCATAAAGCAGATCTAGAACTGAGTTGGTGTAATCCTCCCATCCTTGCAGCCGCAACTCGTGCTGTCGCATATTAGAAACCTCACCTCCTCCTGCCTCGGAATCGAGCTCTTCTTGCTTGTCCATCTCTTCATCTTCTTTTGTTCTTGATGCCTCAGAATCCTTTGTCAAACGAGTTATGACTGCATGTTTTACACTCAATAGCCCCTTTGCCGACCAATTCTTGATGAACAGATCATTACTGGTGCGAACCCTTCTCAATGCTACATAGGCTTGCCCACTAGCAAACACATCACGTAGATTGACGGCGACTTTGTTTAACGTCAGCGATTGACATTTGTGAATCGTTAATGCCCAAGCAAGAACCAAAGGGAACTGGCGTCGCTCTTGACCATTAAATTTCGTTCGTCGGCACTCTTGTTGAATATTGAAAATTCTTCCAGTGTTATCTTCTCTCACTTGAACGACATGTTGATCATAAAATCGAACCACTATACCGGTAGCTCCATTAACGACACCACCAGCAACGTCGACGTTGGACGTGCACATGACTCTTGCGCCAACCTTTAGCCATAACACAGAGGCGAGTCCAGTCTCTGATTCGATAGCTCTCCTCCTATCTTCGTTCTTCGTTATCCTGGCGTTATCATACGCAATAGAGTACCACTCTTCACCAGGAAGATTTTGCAATTTGTTCAAATTAAACCTGTCGACATCCCTTTTGAACGGATAGAGATGAAGAGCATCTTCAGGAATATCACTGGGTAGATTACAAATATCCAAAAACATGGATACCGTGGCACTAGTAATCATGCTACATCTGATATCATCGAGCAATGACTTGAACTCTACATCACCAGACTGTCGACAGGGCTGAATCAGATCTACTCGTTCAAACCAACGATAAATCTCAGAGTTCCAAATCCAATCCGTTCTAGCAAATGATTTGTTGACAGGCCCAAGCTGACCAAAATCACCAAAGAGAATGACTGGAATTCCCCCAAAAGGGACACCTATTTCCGTGTTTACAGCTTCCTGTAATGCCTTTGATAAAATATTCAAGATATCACCAGATATCATGGACGCTTCATCAATCATAAAAATTGGAGATAATCCTTGATCAGTAATGTCCATCAGTTGCTCTCTTATTGCATACGAGTTGCCTTCTGATTGTCTTCCTGACATGGTAAGCTTAAACCAACGATGCAATGTTTGACCTTTGATATTCACGGCCGCAACGCCAGATGGGGCTAGACGGATAGGCTCAAACCCTTCGTTTTTAGCGATCCTACAAGTCTCTTCCAGAACTGTTGACTTGCCAGTGCCAGCTGCTCCAGTCACCAAGATCAAACATTCTTGCTTCGATTGAATACGTTGTGTCACCATCTCAAGAACATTCTTCTGGTCCTCCGTCCATTCGATCTCTCTTGGCACGTTGATGAAATGATCATCCACCACATTTTCATAGACATTGCCATAGTCTAAAACCGCCACCAATCCATGGGCCAACTCTTGTATCCTTTGGCGTCCTAAAACTTCCACAGCTAACGACTGATATGTTCATGATCTGTTCCAGTTCCAATCCAGCTTTCAACATCCGTCCTCCAAGGGTGATCCAGCATTAACAAATGCATAAACGCGTCTTCTGATCTGGTAACCTTAATTTCTCTTGTTCTTATCAGGGATTCTTTTCCAACACCTCGGCGACAGACATCTTTTCCTCGGCCATCGACGTAATTTGGCCCACTTTTCCTTTTAGCAAATCGGAAAAACTTGAAATACTTGTGATACTTCATGTTATCAAAATCTGGCGTTCCTTCTTGGGTTTTAGGTCGTTTCAAATACTGAGTCCATTTATTGTCAAGGAAAATATCTGTATCATCCTCCAAAATCCTAAGATCCTTTGCTCTCTTCAGTATTCGCCTTCGATTGTTCGGTAACTCTGTTGGCAAAAATTCGTCAACACGGGAGCAGCCGTGCATCTTCCAGCCACAAATGTCCATTACAGCTTCTACCACGCCCACACTTCGGTAATGAAAATGGGAAATGTACTCACTAGAAGAGCGATCGTCTTCAGCTGATGTAGCCGACCCTCCAATTTTGTCTTTTTCAGTAACAATCGTTACCTTCTTTGGGCCACCTTGCATAGTGACATATTTACACATATAGTGTTTAGCCCTTTCTCCTAGATTGTACTGCAGGTCCATATTCACTCGAGCAAAATGAAGGAGGTCCATATTGTATCCAATTACGCGTTCATCTCCTTCACCGCGCGGCAAAACGTATCGGTCGTCTTCGTCTACATGGGCAGGCAGATCAGTCGGAGTTTTTGGGTACTGCGGTGTAGGGGGTCTACTAACGGGTTCTATAACTTCTACCATTAGTTCTATTTACAACGGGAGTTACCACGCGAATAGGACTTCGGCAAGGCTGTGCTTCGGTCACTTACTGGTTCGTGGTGCAGGGTCCTCCTTTAGATCGGAATGTAAGAACACAAAGGTAAAATAGACTAGACGTAAATGGAAAGGAATAAATATAGGGATCTGTTTAGCTAAATGGTGCGAGCTAGGACTATATTCCTTTGGGAATGACTGGGGTAGTTGCAAGGAGTTCGCATATTGTGATGTCCGATGAGGTGAGGAGTCGTGACAATGAAGTCCACCCCTCTGGAGTCGTTGTATGCCAATAGTTGCTGATCAGGCCTCCGTTGTACCTTTATAATGCCGTTTGACGAGGGTGGGCCGATGACGGATGCTCAATGAGACGATCGGTAATCGGGGAGGCGCTGCGGGGCAAGTACAATGTCTAAATAAGAGCGATTGACGGCGCAAAGGTGGCGAATGATCAGGATCGGCATTCCCTGTTGATTGTATCTCGTTGCATGGGTTGCTGACGGTGGTAGTCAGTACCTGTCGTTGATGCGGTGTTATCCGGACAATCTGGACGAATACAATGTGTGATACAAATGATTTTGGTGGAAAGAAGACTCTGGTTCAGGTACCAGACCGTTTATTCTTTTATTCTGGGGGCGGTGCTCTTCCCCGTGATCTAATATTAACTTTGCAAGAACAACCAACTGATTCTCATTTACTACACCACAGCACTTGTGGATCTATGTCAACGTTTGAACGGCCCTCTTCTTCGTTTGATTCTGGCGGCATTGGAACGAAACGAGAGACATCAGTCGATAGGAAATATGATGATCGAGATAAAAAATACTCGGCCATATTTATCGAAAAATGTTACTTTGCCACAAGGAACAGGCTAAACCCTACGAGCTCAGTTTGCCGCAATCGAACACGCATTGAGCCACACTTTCACGCCGCCCCACTGTCTTGTTCGTTCCGCCTCCGCAGACAACATATTTAATTCAATGACTTTCATATCTTTCAATTTTGTTACCATCTCTCAGTGAAGCAAAGACTCTGTGTCAAAAGGGATTGTATAGCAATGAAGTTTGCAAAGATCCTCCAAGACGAGGTCGTCTATGAGAGGCGCAAGGCATCCATGGACTACAGGCTAGGCAAAAAGTATCTCAAGAATTTCTATGCGGATCTCGAGGATTGCGATACCACTCAAGATCTGTCTCCACCTCCACAGCTACCAGCAACACCATCATTGTCAACATTGCAGCCAAGTGTTATCGGCACGGCCAGAAGCTCCCTTATTGAAGATAACGTCCAAAGCCAAAAGGTTGACCCACACCAAAACAGCGGCCATACCGGTATCCTGGGAGGCGACACCGTAGCAGAACTTGATACCAGCTCCCTCCCTGAATATCCAGCACTCGTCTACTCGCCTGATCTTTCAACATCCACACGCACGACACCGATCATCCGACAAAGCCAGACAGTCAAAAACGATGATGTGAGGGACATCTGGCATTTTCATTTTTTTCCTATGCGTACCCGAGAACCTGCGAGAAGAGATTCTAAACAACCATCTCGTTGGCAACAACCCATAGACACACTATGCTGTGACAATGCGGGCTGGCATCCTATTAGGCGCGTCATTGATACTTTTGATCCATGGAATTGGAGGAGCGCTCTCCAAGTATCGGCAGGCACAGATACCGTACTGGGCCGATCTGATGGCAGTCTACGGCGGTTTGTTCTTGACAATCTTGCTTGGATGTCTATTCGGGATCAATATCCATGCGTGGTCAAAGTCAAGGATCAACTACAAGTTCATCTTTGAATTCGATCCTCGCGACAACCTAGGCTACCATGAATTTATTGAGGTAAAAGAAGAGAACAAGCAGACTTGATTGCTGATTTTCTTGTCTTGGTGCCTGGATGGCTCGTTTCTCAACTCGCTAACATGTCTTTAGATTTCCACACTTGTATTGTCTCTAGCTACCAGTGATTTTCATGTTTCTCCTCTGCTTGGCATTCTACTTTGATTTCGGATGGGACCGCACGGCCCAGGCCTCTGTTGGCTACCACTACCCATTACTTGTTGCGATTTGTATCATCTTGGCCATCCTACTTTGTCCATTCCCAATTTTCAAGTGGGAGGCGCGTCGATGTTTCCTGCAGGGCATGGGAGGGATCTTTGTGAGTGGCTACAACCGAGTCGAATTCCTCGACTATTTCCTGGCCGATGAGATGAACTCTCTCACGTACTCGATCGAGCAGTTTGAGCTTGCGATCTGCGCATATTCAATACGGTGGCATGATGTTCGTAAGTGATGTGTTGTGAGGAACCACCCAACCATGAGAACAACCATAAAAAAAAGTGTAAGCAAGCAACTCGTATTGAGCCTCCTATGTTATCCCGTCCTAGCCCAATTTTGCACAACAAGTCAGATGTGGGCGACACCATTGGTGACAGCGCTGCCAGCGTGTTTCCGGTTCCTACAGTGTCTCCGTCGTTACCACGACACTTTCGAGTGGTGCCCACACTTGCTCAACGCTGGCAAGTACCTTACATCATTGGTGCAACTCTTTGTCTATTTTATATACCGGAGCGACACAAGCCCTCAGACCAAGGCTGCGTACATTGTGATCTCGTTGATCACGAGCACGTATTCATATACTTGGGACGTGTATATGGATTGGGGCCTGTTCCAGTTTGAAAAACATGGTGCTGGGCCTGCTGGACATCCGTTGCTGAGGGCCGAGTTCATTTATTCACAAAAGTGGGTCTATTATTTTGCAATCGTGGAGGACTTTGTTGGGAGATTTGCGTGGATTGTGAGGTTAATCCCGACGGATTTGAGTCCGCTGCTGCTGTCGTTCATCATAGCGTCTGTCGAGGTGCTCCGGTAAAGTTTACAAAAAAAAAAAAAAAAAAAAAAAAAAAAAAGTATCCACAAAAACTGGTTGTTGAAAAGAGAGACTAAGAAACTCACACACATACCTATTTGCCTTCTTGTATGCTAGTCGTTGGATCTGGAACTTTTTCCGTGTAGAGAACGAGTATCTTAACAACTGCAATCAACTCCGTGCCACCAAGGATATCCTCCTGCGAAATAGCGAGAGCGAGACAGAAGATGAGAAAGATAATGATTGTCGATCTATGTCAACATTTAAACGACCCTCTTCTTGGTTCGATTCTGACGGCATTGGAACCAAATGGTAGATACCAGTCTATAGAAAATATGATGATCGAGATAATAAAGACTTGGTCATATATCTCGAAAAATGCTACTTTGTCACAAGGAACAGGCTAAAACCTTAGAGCTCAAATTGCCGCAATTGAACACGCATTGAGCCACACTTTTATGCTTGGCTTCAGATACCATATGTAAAGTCTCCAAAGGATCTATTCCTCAATTAACCAATTAACGAACAATGTCACGCAAGTAAGAGGGTCGAAAAGAGTCGAAAAATAATGCACCAAGAAAGAGATCTTACCCTGAAATAAATCATTCTTTTCTATCAAGGTCCAAGGCTGTAAGAGAACTTTTCTTAGCATTTCAGAAAATCGAATCATCCACAGTGTATATCTTTTTCGAGATACAAGATGACCTAGTTGGAGCAGAAGCGACCAATATTCCAAAGGAGCCGAGGAAAGTGACCTTGAAAAATAGAAATGGAATAAGGGTTACACTTCAGGAAGACATTGCTTTGCAGCAATTCCATTTGTTCTGGCTCGCTCCAAAACTGAAAGATTCAAAACAAGTGTTGTTCCCGTTCACGAAGGTCGAGTGGGAAGATTTATGGGAAGATTTAATTGCGAAAACAAAAGAAGCTTCCAAATTCATCCCACTCGCGCCATTGAGAATGTTGGCACCCAGCGCCGAGGGAACAGATAGGCTTATCCAACAGATTCTTCAAGACACCATTCCTACACAGCGACCCTCTGTCCTCTGAGAGCCGTAACTGCCAGTTGCTATCACGTTGTCAGATACACGTTGTCAGATAAATTATACATCAATAAATTATTCACATCAATAAATTATACATCAATAAGGATGATCAATAAAGGTAGATTATGAGATATTTTGCGGTGAGTTGATGTCAAGGAGTGGGGTGGTCTGCTAGGACGCGACAGATTATTTAAGGGTGGGGAAGAATTTAAAGTCAGATAAATTTCACAATGGAGGCGTTTTGCGGCTCAATGCGTGCCAAAATTTTAATTCACCTGAAAAGATCTTTCCCCAGGGTCTCGTTCATCCGGCCAAGAACATAATATCAAAGGTTACCGAGCGATGGTGTAGTTCCTTGTTGACGGTGACGTTCACGGTGTGGGTCCAGACGGGCCAGACGGGCATGGGTCCGGCCATGGGGACGCCGTCCCGATGCGAATTGTGGCGGCACGTCGGATAACATGCCACCCGATAAGCTCGCGGGCGCGGGCGATATTGGCGACGTTGGCGGTGTCGAAAAGCGTGTCGTAGATCTGACGAAGCGAATCTAGCTCCATGTTGACGTTGACGTTCTCGGTGTGGGTCCAGATGGGCCAGATGGGCGTGGTTCCGGGCATGGGGACGTCGTGTGCGAGGGAGCAAGTGGTTTGGTATTGTTGGGACATGGCGGGTGGAGGTGGAGGAGGAAAGAAGGAGAAAGCGCGTTACATCGACGTTGCCAGACTGCATTTTCAACCTGGCCGCATTCTGTGCCTCAAAAACACGCAACCGCCCCTCGCCTGCTGTCCTATGTCCCCCAGCGTCCAGGCCTCTTACACAGCATAGATGGCAACTAGCGTTGACGACAGGTAGATTCGCCCCAGTTATAACCCACTGGTGCCACGTTTCCAAGCAGAGACAAAAAAAAATGTGCAGTGCAGTGGATTGGGAAGCAGAGGCAACAAAAAAAAAATCAAAACGGAAAAAGGCGAAACCAAAAACGGCAACAGCGTTACCAAAAAAGGCAACAGCGTTACCAAAAAAAAACAGCCTTCTTCTTGCCAATGAGAAGTGATCTCAGATGGGACGAAAATGGTGTTTGTTGAAGAAAATGCGTTCTCAAATAGCTTTAAGGTATTGTCCACAACTGCTCTGTCCAAGGCATTGTTGTTCGCTAGAGTGGCGAGAGAATGTATTGAAATGTTGATTCCGTTTTGATTGTAGACTTTATTTCGCAAGTTTTCGTCCTTCTCAATCATGTCGGTGAAAGAGCTGGGGAGTTCTGTGTGATTAAATGTTTTCAGCCACGAGAGCAAGGGTAGCGCAATGTCTCGGTGGAATCCTTCAGCGCTCAATTGCTCAGACATTGTGTTAAAAAACGGTTTGGTGAAGGAAGAAGGAAGGAAATGAAAAAGTTTTTCGGAAAGGATTGTCGAAAAGAAAGAAAAGTTGTCAAACCCCAAACGTCACCCCCTAACGTCACCCCTAAAAATTCGCTGAGAATTCGCTGAGTGTTCGCTGAGTGTTCGCTGAGTGTTCGCTGAGACAGCCTTTTCTGCTGGACCCTTTTCTGCTGGACTTTTTTTTTGTCCGGGGGGACACCCTTTTGCGCTGGAATTTTTTTTCCTGAAAAGTCCCTTGCGCTGTCAGATTTTTTTTTTCTGCCGCTGTTTCCTGTGCGCTGTCAGAAAGATGACACGAAAAAGGGTGGTCCTTGCCGTGTCACGACAAAAATGACAGGGTGTTCCTCACCGTGTCACGAAAAAAAAATGACAAAAAAAATGGCACGAAAAAGGGTGAACCTCAACGTGCAACGGCCACTTGTCGGCCACTTGTCGGCCACTGTCAATCGTTGTCGGCCACTGTCAGTCGTTGTCGGCCACTGTCAGTCGTTGTCGGCCACTTGTCGGCCACTGTCAGTCGTTGTCGGCCACTTGTCGGCCACTGTCAGTCGTTGTCGGCCACTTGTCGGCCACTGTCAATCGTTGTCGGCCACTGTCAGTCGTTGTCGGCCACTTGTCGGCCACTGTCAATCGTTGTCGGCCACTGTCAGTCGTTGTCGGCCACTGTCAGTCGTTGTCGGCCACTGTCAGTCGTTGTCGGCCACTTGTCGGTGTGGTGTGGTAAACCCACACGGAGTATAGACGGGGTATCCAGGTACAAGGGACGGACACAACACCTGATATGACACGATGGGAGGAATAGGTACAGGACACTCATACGATCATACCAGGCACGTGCTGCACGTGCAGTTACAGGATGTGCAAGTAGAAGGACATGCAATTAGACAAGAGTCAATAGGGTTTGCATTTATAGAAATTTTCTTTGGTCAATAAATATCACAGAACGACAGGACCAAATGGTTCCTGGTCTGTTTCCTCACTATACTTTGCTCAACACTTGCCCCCGCACGACACTCCAAGTCGCTCCACGCATCCCTGTCCCAACACACTGTACCCTTCGATCGGTATACTCTGCCACAGCTGGCCTTCATAGCATATCGCCCAGCAAGAGTAGAGACGGGACCCGTGCGTCTGAACTGCTGCACCTCTAGTGCCCCCCCAAGTGTTTCTGCGAGTCCGCTCACATTACCTGCCTGCCCCCACGACAGGTAATGATCATGGTCTTATAACGAACAAGAGCGGAGGATCAAGAACAGTACCCCTCGATGCCGACGTCTGGACACAGGAGTCAAGACAGAGTCCCTTTGACCTTGCAGATCCCTAACCCGAGTGTGTTGTCGCCTTTATTATTCTCGTAAATAGTTTTGCTGTCTTTATTATCCTCACCGTTGAAAGATCTCTTACCAGTGCCCCCACATCTGGAGCTTTATCCATACACCGTAAGATAATTATTATGTAGAGACTTCGTAAAGCAGAAGAGACTTTTATTGAGTAACATATTCACAGCTAGTACTTTTACCTGATATAGACCCACTACACCACATCGGCCACTGTCAATCGTTGTCGGCCACTTGTCGGCCAAAAATCTGCCACTTGTCAACAGTTCGCTTGATCAAGCTTTTATTTATTTCCTTAAAAGAACTGAAAACTGCACAATCATCCTCGTCCGGCGCCTTGATCTTTTTCATCCCATCGCCCAGGTCCTCTTGTCCATTACGTCAAGCATTCAACGGCAACGGAATCAATCACGAGAGCTCGGACATCTCATGCTTCAGCAGTGGGACCACGACCTTTTCGTTGCAGTTGCGTAACTTGGTTGAGACGAAGCCCGCGAGTGAATTCAACAAATTTTCCAGAGCAGAAAAGCGGTTGTTTCCAAGAATCGAAATCTCATGCTTGTCCTTGAAGAGATTCAAAATCTCCCTGAGTGGCACCAGGCAGTCCTTCTCATTTTTGACTTCACCTAAAAGATCCAACACGAATTCCTTCTTCAAAACCGCTTCTCGACCTCTTGCATTCACTTCTTTGGCGATGCGACCAAGAAACGATGACACCAGACAACCATCTCCAGATCCCTGTGAGACAAGACTCAAAGTAAAAATCGATGCTACTTTGGCAGACACCATGTTGGCGATAATGTGACTGGACGCTCGACCCATTCGAAAAGAGTGCGTAGAGCAGAGGCGAGATCGGATCTGTCTGAGATTTTCTACTTCAAACCGTGGAGTGAAAACACCGGACACAATGTCTGACGCCAAATCAAATGAACGCTTGTCAACGAAAATTTTGATGTCCTTCCTCCCAAACAACGGAAAAGCACTTGAGCAACAACCGGCGGTGAATGCGCGTTCGAAGGAAGAATCCTTGCTCAATCGCCAAACCTGGGTAAACAGAACGTTGAAAACCTTACAACCGATAACAAGGCGAAAGTCGTTCTTGTCGTGCTGAATGCGACAAACAGTGGCATGGGGATATGAACCAGAGGTTAATGGCTGAGAAACTGGGGAGATCTCTTCACCAACTCTAACGGGCTTTTCACAGTGAACATCAACATCACGATCTCGCCCGTACGTTTCTGCAACAAGGCAAAGAATTGCGTTCCTGTCTTGTGGATTGAAAAGTACACAACCAGCAAACAAAACAGCAGTCGCGTAATTAAGGATCGGCTTTTCGAGCCAACATCCAGAAACAATGTCATCCCACTCTTTTGGAAGTCGCTGACAAGTCGGAAACTCAATCCAACTTGTGCTCTCAATCAGTTTAACGTTCGGCGAATCTGACAAAAGCGACAACAGACCCTCGGCAGGCGTTTTTGGAGTTCCAACATCCCTCACGCCAAGATCCCGACCTGACATGCTGAATTTCACGTCAAGTCTAAAAATGCCTTCTTCATAGCGAGATTTCACCAACTGAGCAGACATGTTCAAGCGCTTCGTCACAAAAGATGGCAAAGGAGAGGATGACCCTGTTATAAAAAGAAGAACACAAACAATGAGTCCTAAATTCAAAAAATGAGTTGATTACTGATTGCAATGAAAAAGCTTAGAGAGCATACTTTTTTCTCTCTGACTCGGGCTGTGACAAGACGAATCCTCACTGCCTTGGACTTCAAGGGATGCCACAACCTCATCACCTGTTATGCAATAGCGCAGAGGACTCAATTAAAAATTGCAACAGCATAATAACCAACTATCAACGCCTTTCATTCAACTGATGATCTTACAAGACAAGACTGAGTAACTGAAAGATTCATCATCCACGAAAGTTTCATCACCGACATCAGTGCAGTAGTTCTTCAGAAAGTTGGAGGCAATGGCACCAACTAAAGACAAAGAATATCAAATTAAATATTAAAACGAACAGCAGGAAGGGTGCAAGACTACCAAATATTGTTTGCAATCTTACATTCCTGATCCTTGGTTAGATCCGCAACTTGTTTCAAGCCATTTTCGGTGGCAACTAAAAAAAATGAGACGAGATTAAAAACTTCACTCTTCAGAATGTCTGCCATATTTTTCGATTTCAATTTTCAGCATTTTGAGAACTTACACCAAGGACACCTCAGTAAACTCGCGTGCTTCTTAAACATTTTTCTGTTGCTGCACTTTTCTTGACATTGCGAACACTCCAGCTCAGGCTTGTTCTTTGAAAATACAGGGACACCAACGCAATGGAACGATCCGTGATCATGACTTACAGTCACTTTGGTGTGATAGTCGGATTTGTGTTGTCGCATTCCGCTGGCGCTGCCGAAATACTCACAAGGAGGTATAGAGCATTTCATTTTTTCGATATCTGACTCGTTTCTTGCAGTGACATCCATTCTTGCTTGTCTTTTGTTGGAGGGAGTCTGGTGTTTGTTGGAGGGATTCTAGTGATTGTTTCCAAAAATGCAACCTGGGAAATGTCCGGTATTTATCTGTGCATTGCGTCTAAATGCATTGCGCAGTGTTCAAGAAGTGAATATTCTGCGAAAACAAACTGTCAAATGAATGACCCAGCCCCTAAAAAGCATCCACTTTGTGAGTTAAAAAAAGGACTTGCATGAGGGAGAGGAAGCAAAACAGTGTGCACAAGAGCACAAGGGGCAATCAAGGACACAGGGCAAACCTTTACAGCGCTCTTTCTTTCCACACCGACGCCCCACGCAATTTGCATTTGTGTTCACAGACATTTTCAAAAATGTGTCCGGACGAAAGGATGCGTCCACACAAACAGTTCCGGACGAAAAAAAGTGTCCGTGAAAACTTTGCATGAGCAGGGCGAGGGACCCTAAAGGAACAATCGAGGCTGTTTTTTTTTCTAGAACAAGAATTGCATGAGCAGGGTGTGACACCAGTGTTTGTATTCGCAATTTGCATGATCACGGTCTGGGACCTGAAAAAGGGACAAGATTCTGTGTTGACTTGTTTGCATCCACAGACTGCATGAGCATTTCATGGGCCAAGGAGATTGTAGTGAATGTTTGTGTTTGCATGAGCAGGGCAGGGGCATGAAAATCCCAAAATAGTTACTCATTTATTTCTCCACACGAATCCTGTTGCTTGTTCGAGTTGACCTGCGAGGTTTGGGAATCTCATCCGGCGTTGCAACATCTCTGGCATGGGGTTCGGGATTCTCATCAACTTCCATCGCCTCCCGTGATTCAACTTCCACCGCCTCCTCGGAATCATCTTGAACATCGACTTCCTTGGCGCTCATTTCTGAATAATGATAGGACATCGTTGGGGTGTCACGAGCGATACGGTGGATCACGATTTCTTGAGTTAACACCCGTGTTGCTGGGCAATCCTTATGAGTCTTCTCATCGCCCACAATGTGCACCTTCAGATTGTAAGGATTGGCGAAAGTGCTTGCGCAAAGACAGCGATATTTCATATCAAAAGAGGGATCTCTTCTGAAAACAAAACTTGCCCCAACGACGCGTTGTGGTGTAGTGGCTCTATATCAGGTAAAAGTACTAGCTGTGAATATGTTGCTCAATAAAAGTCTCTTCTGCTTTACGGAGTCTCTACATAATAATTATCTTACGGTGTATGGATAAAGCTCCAGATGTGGGGGCACTGGTAAGAGATCTTTCAACGATGAGGATAATAAAGACAGCAAAACTATTTACGAGAATAATAAAGGCGACAACACACTCGGGTTAGGGATCTGCAAGGTCAAAGGGACTCTGTCTTGACTCCTGTGTCCAGACGTCGGCATCGAGGGGTACTGTTCTTGATCCTCCGCTCTTGTTCGTTATGAGACCATGATCATTACCTGTCGTGGGGGCAGGCAGGTAATGTGAGCGGACTCGCAGGAACACTTGGGGGGGCACTAGAGATGCAGCAGTTCAGACGCACGGGTCCCGTCTCTACTCTTGCTGGGCGATATGCTATGAAGGCCAGCTGTGGCAGAGTATACCGATCGAAGGGTACAGTGTGTTGGGACAGGGATGCGTGGAGCGACTTGGAGTGTCGTGCGGGGGCAAGTGTTGAGCAAAGTATAGTGAGGAAACAGACCAGGAACCATTTGGTCCTGTCGTTCTGTGATATTTATTGACCAAAGAAAATTTCTATAAATGCAAACCCTATTGACTCTTGTCTAATTGCATGTCCTTCTACTTGCACATCCTGTAACTGCACGTGCAGCACGTGCCTGGTATGATCGTATGAGTGTCCTGTACCTATTCCTCCCATCGTGTCATATCAGGTGTTGTGTCCGTCCCTTGTACCTGGATACCCCGTCTATACTCCGTGTGGGTTTACCACACCACAGCGTCCATCATCGTTGTCTGTGATAGTATCCTAGGCTAACCTTCTGCTTAGCCCTCAACCGCGCCCCCATCACCGCGCCTCCACCACTGCGCCCCCTGTATATTAGTATAAATACAGTCCACGGAAAAAGTGTTAGCATGTTTTGCTATTTTGGACTTATACTCCTTTATCTCCCTATTACGCTATTACCAAGGACCGAGATGTCTGGTGGACAATGTCGTAATTTACAAGGAGTTTTCTAGAATGTTCCAGGCTTGAATGACCTTCAGCTGAGGAACGAAGGATCTCGAAAGTCATGAGGTGCACTCTAACACTTTTTAAAAAATCCTATAAATTGTGCTCTTCCCTTACGGTCTGCATCCTCACTCGCAACTAGAACAATACAACTGCACAGTTATCCACTACTCCCATCCTACGCCACATTCATCCCAAGTTTACATCAAACATGAAGCGGCTGCGAGAACAAACCGTACGCGATGCGATTATCCAACTTCGTGCAACAGCAGCAGAGTCAAGGGGTCAAGGGCAGTGGTCAAGTAGGAATGCGTAGAAATGAATGCTGTTTAATGATCGTAAGTAGGGTCTATATATACATGTCTGGGGCCTATTGTACAGTGTCGTAGTGGAGTTGTCATGATGCCGGGCTCCCATCCTGGCTCTGTGTGTCGTAACCGTGCAGCTTGGTAACCGAGTGGTAATCCTGTTGCACTTCGGCAAGGAAAATCTGTCCGCGAGGTCTCAAGATCCTTGCATATCTCTACTTTCTCCGTTTCCAAGATTCGTCAAAGGGACAAGGAGAACGTTCCATCCCCTAAAATAGGGCGTCCTTCGAAGGTTTCGAAGAAGACCAAGACCTTACTTGCTCGTCATTTCGTCACAGGAAAAGCCGTAACCCTCCGCGACGGCCAGCGACTTATCCAATCGGTGCAAGGAGTGCAGGTTCATGTAGACAGTGTCCGGAACTACCTTAAACAGGAGGGCTTAAAAGCATACGTCCAGCCTAGGAAGCGTGATCTGACACCGGATCAAATCAGAGCACGCTACGAATTTGCTAAGGCGCACTTGAAATGGACCGTGGACGACTGGAAGAATGTGATGTTCTCGGATGAAACTATAATCAGCAGGATTGGGTCCTTCGGCAGGAAATTCTATTACAAGAAGCCCAACAGGAAGGATATCCAACCTCACCAAGTGCAGAAAACAAAGCAGGGCGGAGGGGGCAAAATTATGGTCTGGGGTTGCATGACATTTTATGGCTTGGGCGATGCCTGCTGGATCCCAGGAAGTATGGATGCACAAACCTACTTCGATGTACTGAAGGACTATCTTTGCGCATCTCGGGATTGGTTTGGTATGGATCCAGCAAAATTCATTTTTCAGCAGGACAATGCCAAAGTGCATACAGCAGGCATAGTCGAAGACTTCCTTAGGAAATCCAAGATCGCAGTCATGGAATGGCCTGCGAATTCTCCGGACCTCAACCCGATCGAGCATCTATGGTCGCACCTCAAGTACCGACTTGATCAGTACCCAGAGGCACCAAGCTCTTTGGACGACCTCTAGGAGCGTGTTCAGGATATATGGACAACAATAGATATCAAATTCATTCACGAGCTATATGAGAGCATGCCCGAGCGCATGAAGAGGCTTCACGCAAATAAAGGAGGCCATATCGATTATTAATGGCAGAAAAGTAGCTAACAGAATCAGAGGGTGGTCATATTTCGAAAAAGTGTTAGAATGGGGTCAATATGTTCATGTCCTCAATTAGCCGGATAGAGTGCATCCATTGGCTCGTAACTTGGCAGGTAATCTTAACAAATATACGAGATTGATCGCGTGAAGCCTCGTAGCAGTAGGCGGTATTGATGTACAGTATGGTGCAAAACTGATTCAATGATGCGATGATTTTTGCGTTGGCACTCGCCTACAAGGAACCAATGCCTCAGCCATCGTCATATTCACCACAAATGTAGCCCAGCCAATGACGAACAGGGTTGCTTGCTTTGGAGCCAGAAGTATGCACACCCATTGCTGCATGACGATTGTGCCATCCGTCATCATTGAATCAGTTTTGCACCTACTCCTTGAATACGAAGAACAGATTTTTTTTTTATTCAAAATGGTACCTCTTTAGTACTTAGTTTGCTTGCCCTTCGCTCTGTGGACCGCGCTGAGCCTCCTCGGCATGCTCCTGATGAGTTCCCGGCAGAAATCAACTGGTATCTTGTACCATTCCGTTGATATTCTCTCCCATAGCTCCTTGCAGCTTTTTGGCGGGTTTGGATACTTTCCCAGCTGTACTTTGAGATAGGCCCACATATGCTCGATCGGGTTCAGATCAGGAGACTGTGCTGGCCAATATAGAAGGCGCTCATCAGCCTCAGTCATATGGACGGACTCCAGAAATGCCTTGGTGACCTTGGCCGTATGCTTCGGATCGTTGTCGTGCTGGAAGATGAATTCGTCCTTGGCCATGCCCCACTCCTCGACAGACATCTGTAGATCCTCCTTCAGAATCTGGATATACAACTGGGAGTCCAGGGTCTCATCGATCTTTGCGATATAGCCAGGTCCGTACCATGACATACAAGACCATACCATGACGCTTCCGCCGCCAAACTTGACTGTTCCCTGGACTGTACGGCTTGTCAGTCGCCCCGGCGCGTCGTCCCAGACCCACCTAATGCCATCAGAACAGATCCTATTGATTTTGCACTCGTCTGACCATACAACTGTGGCCCAGTCCTCTTCCGTCCACTCTTTGTATTTCTTGACAAACTGCATCCGACCTCTAATGTGCTTTGTTTTGAGTGCTGGTCGCTTGACAATCTTTTTGGCCACTAGTCCAGCTTCCCGAAGTCGCCGTCGAACTGTCCACACCGATACAGGTCGTGCCAACATCCTGTTGGCCTCGCTCTTGGCCTCCACGGCAGTCCTAAGAAGTCCGCGCTTCATGTTCAGCTTGAGGTGCTCCACGGTTTCTTGACCAATCTTTCCCGGACGGCCTCCCTTGTTGCTCGGTATGTTTTCTTTGTAACCTGAACGTATTCTGCTAGCCGTTGCCTGAGAGATGGTAAGACGTTGGGCTGTCTCACGAGTGGAAATACCCTCAGACATGAGGCTTATTGCTTCCTTAACAGTGGATGGAGGTAAGGGCTTCATTTTTTGCGGATAGATAGAGTAGAATAAGGCAAACAGGAAAACGAAACACAAAATGGGTTCATTTATAATGAATCTGATGAAAATGACGATGGTATTTAAAATTACATAAAAATGAGGTTAAGATGCAAAACTGATTCAATGATGACGGATGGCACAATCGTCATGCAGCAATGGGTGTGCATACTTCTGGCTCCAAAGCAAGCAACCCTGTTCGTCATTGGCTGGGCTACATTTGTGGTGAATATGACGATGGCTGAGGCATTGGTTCCTTGTAGGCGAGTGCCAACGCAAAAATCATCGCATCATTGAATCAGTTTTGCACCATACTGTAAGTATCAAAGAAAAAAGGTCGAAATTATGAAAACATGCTAACACTTTTTCCGTGGACTGTACCTCTATCTCTCTGTATAATAAAGATCATCCGTTCTAGCCCTTGTCTCTTGTCCCCTGCCTCTTGTGTTCCTACCTCGTGTCCTCTTGTTCCTGCACTTGTTCCTTCCTTCGTTTTGTTGCTATTACATTCCGCCATCCACTCAAATGAGGACTCAAATGAGAGATAAATTAAGGGGAACATACCAGTCGACTCTTTGAGATCTTGTCCTCTTCAATTTCTTTGGAGCAACATCCGAGGTGACAGGGATCTTTGCACAGGCTGCTTGAAGAAGTTGTCGATCTCCAAAAGGTAAAGGCTTGGCAGACATCCTTCGGAGTGTCTCTTCTTTCACTAGAAAAGCAAATTCAAGACAAGCCTCCATGCAACGACGCATCTTTTTGCCGAAATCATTTTTGGTAAGAGGTATCACCATACTGTTGATGGCATAAAATCTGAAAACACCAACGAAGTCCATCTTGTAGAAAGTTGTTTCATTTCCACAGGAAAGTGAACCGAAGACGGAAAATCCTTTCGGTGGTTGACACTCAAGACTGAGTATCTTTATCTGGGAAATCCAAGCGTCCCGCATACACCTCTTGAGTTTGTAGAGGTCAAAAAGATGCTTATCCGGTTTAGGGTGATAGAGTAATCCAGCCTCTGCGATATAGATTTGTTGTCCATTATGAAGCCCAACACCGTCTGCCATCTCTGAAGTTTCCTTCGCCTCAGCCATCAAATCACGCCTGAAGTTTTTTCGGACATCCACTCCATCCAAATAAACCTCGAATATCCTTGTTTGAACGTCTACAAGATGCAAAGCCGAACTAATGAATACCCAAGTGCACTGAGAAAACCCCTGACGTTCGCAAAGCTCTGTTGGTATCTGATTGGAGAACCTGAAATGATCATAACTGGAACAAGAACAAATGTAAGTAGTCAATACTCATGCAATCAGAAAAAACCCACAAAGATATGACATACTATGATAAAACGACCTTGGAAACGTAATCTGCAATGTCATCCTCCAATAGTACTCCGCGACGAATGCTGTTGACGTCGTCGAAATTTGCATTGTCAGGGCAAAGCTGCTGAAATCGACTCGGCAAATTCGCCCATTCTAAGATGATGCCGCCGATTACACCTCGTTGCAAGGCAAGGACGGGTGAACAATAGTTCCTCTGAGAAAGGAACATCTCGAAATCAGAATCAGGACCTGTGAGGTCTGCAACAAAGTCTAGTGCGACAGAGTGTGGATTATCACACTTTGTTCTAAAGGATAAGAACAATGATAATATGTCGTGTCCATCAATCATCCACGTTGTAGATTGGTTGAGTGTTGCCAATGCATCATGTTCCAATGCCTCGGCTACGGATGATTGACGGAGGAATTAGCGGATAAAACATTTTGAGATTTGTCTCCATTAACAAAGAAGTTCACTTACCAAGAGGAACCGAGAAAATTGTGGAATCTGATTTATCCGACCCCTAGTCTACGGCAACTTCTTTCTTGTCAAACCCTTTTTCTAGAATTTTAACAAGTGCAACATTAAAACGAAGGTGTAAATATCAAATAAATCTTGAAACATCATCTCAGAATTCCGATAATTCATTTACCATCTTTATAGACCTTGAGACTATGTATCATTCGTGCACGGACAGACTTTTTCACATCCGTAGTCGTAGGCCGTGAAAGCATATCATATATCGTCAATGACGTCTCATCTTCATCCAGAGAATTGGTTTGAAGGAATGCGATATATGATACGTCGTCATTTTCTGGATTATTCAACAGTGTGCACAAGGGGCAATCAAACATCGCTCTCCTTTAAGAGTGAGGAGTGTGCGGCGTAAACAAATTGCGTGATCGAAGATCTTGGACGGGGGAGCTGGAGTTAGCCATTTTTGGCTCCTGTGTATGTGCCAAAACGACATGCATAAACAAACTGACTGAGCATGTGCGGGGGAGCTCGAAAAAAGAGTGAGGGGTGTGCGGCGTAAACAAATTGCGTGATCGAAGATCTTGGACGGGGGAACTGGAGTTAGCCATTTTTGGCTTCTGTGTGTGTGCCAAAACGGCGTGTTGACAAACTGACTGAATCAATTTTTGGCTTTGTGTTTTCTTTTATTTGGTCTTGTCCAAACAAATTAATTCACAGCTTGCTCTTTGATCTTCCTTTTACACAATGTCAAATCCGGAAGCAATTCGTTGTCAGTATTACCACTGCATTCATGGATATCTCGACCATTCAAAGCAAGACTTGGAAAAAAATCAGCGACGACATGTTCTACTGTATCATGAGGATCAACCACTCATCTTAGGCTTCAAAGGAGCGCAATTTACGTTCAAGAGAGATTCTTCTCACGACATGAAATACGTTTGCCTTTGCGACAAGGCGTGTCACGGATAGCACCATAGCGTGTGGTGCAGAGTGACAGTTGAGCTGCGCACACAATTGCTCATATTGATTTGTGACTGCTTCTACGCGCTCACGCGCTTGCACGCGTACCTCTGCCACCGTATGCTCGATCAACATATGTTCAACGAAGTATCTTTATTGATATTGCCATTATCCGGCCCGCCTAGAACCATTGTCCGGCCCGTCTAGAACCATTGCACCTGATCCATACCTTTGTGCTATTCCTAGCAAATATACCTCGCGTCCCGTAGTAGCCATCCGAGTATCCTGACCAAGAATCCTAGAAACACATAAATAGAGCCATAGAATCCATAGCATATATGCAACAGGATTACCACTCGGTTACCAAGCTGCACGGTTACGACACACAGAGCCAGGATGGGAGCCCGGCATCATGACAACACCACTACGACACTGTACAATAGGCCCCAGACATGTATATATAGACCCTACTTACGATCATTTGTCGCATATTTCACCAGAGTTCACTGTATATTTAGTTTAACAAGTGTACCTCCAGCTCACTATTATATTTAATACAAATAAATACCTAATCGGTGTGGTGTGTGGAGCCACATCTCTTTCTCACTTAATTCTGAATCCCAAAAATATCTCATCATTAAACAGCATTCATTTCTACGCATTCCTACTTGACCACTGCCCTTGACCCCTTGACTCTGCTGCTGTTGCAATATAACCTCAGTCTGCAATACATTTCTTCCTTACCTTGTCCACTGTCTGGCTCCTCCATAACACATATCCCACTCTTCCAAGTCTGTTCCTGACAAGGCGTTTCCGAATCCGTACACTCTTCGACAACATATTCAGGGTGATGGAAAGGACCATAAACCTTGCAGAGTCATTGGCTTTCTTCTCAAGGATATTGCAGCCGGCAAGATGACCCGTGATAGCGATACAATCTCTTTTGGTCCATCACAGCAGCGAGGAGACAGCAAAGAAGCCGATGAGATTTCAATCCAAAAACAATAAAACGAAATTAGATCTTTTCCTGACTCTTGTTGTAATAGCTCTAGGCAGTCGAGGGCAGGGGTAAGGATGGAAAGGGTTGGAATGCGTGCTGTATTAAGATGGCAACTAGCTGGTCTATATATCTATGTCTACGGTCCGGTTCCGGCCCGGCCGGTTGTCTATAGCCGAGGCCCCAGTCCTTTCGGAGTCGGGGCTATAAGCGGGGTTATCCTGTTACACCTTCCCATTAAAAAAAATAATTTTACAGTCTATGCTGTTTCTTGTACTGCCGTAAAAGTCGCGCACAGTTGGTCATATTGCTCTCTGGTTCCCATGTGGAGTCCTCCCTTGCATATCCTTGCCACTTGACCAGGTACTCCACGCGATTGTTGTTGTTTCGATGCTCCATGATCGTCTCAGCCTCGTATTCTTCCTCGCCATCAATGATCTCTGGTGCTGGCCTCGCATGTGCACGTCGGCCGAATGTCACCGGTGAAGGTAAGTAGGGTCGAAAGCGGTCAACGTGGAATATATCGTGTATCTTCATGGCCGGGGGTAGCTCAATGCGGAAAGAGACCGGTGAGTGCTGTTCCAGGATGGTATAAGGTCCGATGAAGCGTGCCTGCAACTTCTTGGTGGGGCGATTCCTGTCAGCAGCAACAGTGATGTCTTCTGTACTCAGCAGCACCTGGTCTCCAACTTTGAAATCGTGATCACGGCGACGAGAATCCGCATTCTTGGTCTGCCGTTCCTGAGCATCTGCGATGGCCTCTTGCGCGAGGACTAATGCTGTGCTCTGTGCCTCTACGAATTCCATGACACTGGGATTGGGACTGGGCTGAGGTTGTAGCAGAGACGACGGTACGCGTGGGTGAAATCCCAGGTTCAAAAAAAATGGGGACTGGCCAGTGGTGGCATTGCTGGAGTTGTTGTAGGCGAACTCAGCGGCGGATAGGAGTAGATCCCAGTTTGTCTGTCGCTGGTCCACGAAGGCGCGTAAAATGGACTCCAGTGTCTGGTTGGCACGCTCGGTCTGTCCATCGGTCTGAGGGTGGAAGGCGGTCGACATGGCCAGCTTGACGTCCATGAGGCGGTGCAGCTCCTTCCAAAAACGACTGGTGAACTTAGTGTCGCGATCAGAGACGATCGAGGTCGGCATGCCGTGCAAGCGAAAGACGTTGTCAAAGAACTGTCGAGCTACGTCGGATGCTGTGTCGGTGGTGTGGGCTGGGACGAAGTGGACCTGCTTTGACAGTTTGTCGACGAAGACCGTGATGGAGTCATAGCCGCGAGGAGTCTTGGGTAGCTTGACAATAAAATCCATCGTCACCGTCTCCCATCGCTGAGTAGGGATCTCGAGGGGCTGGAGTAGACCGGCAGGTCGCTGGTGGCTGGGCTTGTTCCGTTGGCAACTCTCACAGGTTTGCACGTACTGCCGGGTGTCACGTGCGATGTGAGGCCAGTACACAGTGCGACGGAGTGCATCGTATGTCTTGTCGAAACCAAGGTGGCCGGCGATGGCGGAGTCGTGGGCATCGTGAAGAAGAGAGAGACGAATGTCAGATTTCTGGGGGATGCAGACAAGGTTGTCTCCTCTGCGATCAACACAAAGAAGACCATCAATCAAGCGGTAACGCGGTGGTGTACTTCCCTCGAGGCAGCTTTCATAGATGGGACCGAGCTTGGGGTCGTCCCGGTAGCTGTCTACAAGGCGCTGCCTCAAACCTGAATCCAGCTGAACGGTCATTGAGTTGATGTTGACTGCAGGGGGGTCTTGGTCATGATGGTCCGGTCGTCGCGATAGAGCGTCGGGAACGATATTGTCGACTCCACGTTTGTACTTGAAGTCGAAGTCGTACTCCTGCAGCAACTCCATCCATCGTGCCTGGCGTCTAGTTAACTTGGGTTGGGTTGGGAAGTGCTGAAGAGTAGCATGGTCGGTGTAAACGACAAAATGTGTCCCGTCCAGATAGTATCGCCATGTCCGAAGTGCGTGCACAACCGCCAATAGTTCCTGTTCGTGGGTGGGATAATTGCGTTCGGCGCTGTTCAGTTTGCGGGACGTGAACGCCACGGGTCTTGACTCACCATGTTCATCAGTCTGGAACAAGACAGCGCCTAGCGCGAATCCAGACGCGTCGGTTTCAACTGTGGTTGGTAGATCGGGATCGAATATTCGCAGCACAGGTGCTTTGCTGATCGCCTCCTTCAGGGTGGTGAAAGCGCGTTCTTTGTCCGTGTCCCAGGAAAATTCCACGCCTTCACCTAACAGAGCCGTGAGAGGGAGAGCGATGTTAGCAAAGTTGTTGATGTATGTGTGGTAGAACTGTGCGAGGCCAATGAATTGTTGCACGTCCTTCTGCTTCGATGGGCGAGGCCATTCCCTGATAGCCTTGACGTGGCCGGCGCTGGTGTGGATGCCATCCTTTGAGATGACATGTCCGAGGAATTCAGTTTCTTCTTGCATGAAGGAGCACTTGCTCAACTTCGCATAGAGGCCGTTCTTGCGGAGGAGCGCCAGCACACTTCGGATGTGGGCAATGTGCTCTTGTTTCGTCTTGGAGTAAATAAGAATGTCATCAAGATAAACAACAACCCATTTGTCTAAAACCGGATCCAAAACCTTGAACATCATGTTGGAGAAAGATGCAGGAGCATTAGTGAGACCAAAGGGTACCACATTGAACTCGTAGTGTCCGTACCGACAGCGAAATGCTGTCTTGTGCGTATGAGGCTCAAATATCCGTTGCTGATGGTATCCTGACAGCAAGTCCAGTTTCGAAAAGTATCGTGCCCCTCGGAACCTGTCGATGAGCTCGTCGATGCGAGGGAGCGGGTGGCGGTTCTTCCTTGTGATTCGGTTGAGTCCACGGTAGTCAACGCACATTCGGAGCGCACCATCCTTTTTTCTGACGAAAAGGACGGGCGCGCCATAAGGCGATGTGCTGGGCTTAATGAATCCTTTGGCGAGGAGGTCGTCGAGCTGTCTCCTGAGCTCGTCCAGTTCCGCAATAGAGAGGCGGATCACAGGGCGGAATGGCGGGTCTGCGTTGGGGTCAGTCTCGATTTTCATAGCATCCCCTCGGTCTGGTGGTAGACCGGCGGGGAGTGAGTTGGGGAAGACGTCTGCAAACTCCTGAAGTACAATGGGTCGGACTTCGGGCGGAAGATCAGGTGTGGAAGGTTTGGTATCGTCGTCGTTTTCATCATCGCCGTCGTTGTCATTGTCGTTGTCGCCGCCGATTTTCACCAGAGCCATGAACACTTCCGCGTCAGGCTGAGCTGCAAGAGTATGAAAGTGCAAGTGACTCATCAAGAGGCCACGGGACTTAGCTGTAATGGATGAGGGTGCGAAGCCTCGACACGTCCAATGAACGGTGTTGCCATTATGTGT